AACATGACAATTGGGGAATAGGTTATGTTTGATTGCGATCTGACGATGATGTTCCAACGCATATATTCGCTATCTTTATTTGTTGTTATGGACAGAAGAGAGAGAATTCTACCATTTTCAGATTACTCTAACCGTTGTGTCTTTTTTTTTTTTGTTGAGTTTCTCTTTTTTTCTTTCTGCTAGAGTGTATTATGGCGTCCTTTCTTCCCTCCTATCTTATCACCTTTCGAGCTCAGGCAGTTCCATTCGAAATGAATTCCTTGTGAAAATATCCTGATTCCTGATTCCAGATTCATCGGTTTACCCGGTAAGTGGGTGTCATACTTGTACTCCGGTGAGCCTTGCTCTTGCCTTGGTTTGGTTCTTGGTTCCTCGGTGGCTTTCTCTGGTATACGTACTACACTACTATGCCAGTGTCCGTTACTTGATGCTGCTACGTACGTACTTGATCCTAGGTGAGTCGATGGATGAATCCACGGAGTTTACCGGGGCAAATCCAAATGGGAATCTTGATTCATTCGACCCGTTCTGGTCGTTCTTCCTTTCTGTCGTTGACATTGAAGTCTAGGCCTTTTACGGATGTATCCATAGAAGGTGGGAATTGAACGTGGGGATAGGTAGGTAGGTACAAGGACCTGCTTTCCAAGTTTCCAAGTGGAAGGCAACTAGGCCCGAGGGGTTGGGGCTGGGGTTGGGGTTGGGATTGGGGCGAAAAGCATCACGCGCCTTGTGGGTCTGCTGTGCTGTATCGCCTCGCCTGCTGCTTCTGTTTCTTGTTCTTGGAGGGCTGGGTTTGAGGGTTGGTTTGGCTGGTTTGGCTGGTTTGGCTGGTTTGGCTGTTCGGGATTGTCTTGTCTTGTCTTGTGGAAAGGCCAGGCAAGGGAAGGCCAGGCAAGGGAAGGCAAGGCAAGGGAAGGGGAGGGAAACAGGGCAGGGCAGGGCAGGCTGGCAGGATGGTCTGAACGGGTGAGGACCTGGGTGCGGTAGTCGTACCCGGGGGAGGAGAAAGGAGGGAGAAGGAGGAGAGACGAGCGCTGTGGCCAATTCTGAAATTCGCCTTCTGGGTCGTCATCGTCTGGGATTTGGTGTCGGGGTTTGCATTGGATTGATTGTATCCTTCTTTCGGGGGCATGGACGTCATGGGGTCAGGGCAGGGGATCAGGGATCTAGGATGATTTCTGGGTTGTGAGGAGGAGGACAGGACATTGGGTCCTGGGTTGGGAGGTAGGTAGGAAGGGAGGGTAAGTAAGGCATGGCTGGTTATACTTGGCTGTTTGTTGAGGTTCTGGTTGGGGTATGAGGAGGAATGGGTACTGGAGCTGCGTGATGAGGCACTGCAATAAACAATAGCATGGTCATTCTTACTACTACTACTACTACTACTACTACTACTACTACTACTACTACTACTACTACTACTACTACTACTACTACTACTACTACTATTATTATAATTTTATTGTACTTGGACAACAGTGCTAACAGGGTTTAATAGGATATAGGACAATGGATCGATCTTCTTCCTCTGTGCAGATGGGAAGAGTAGTCGTCCACATGAGATCATACCGAACTAATCGTGTCTAGTATCGAGTATCGAGTATCTGGGAGGAGGATACAGTCTGCCTCGTTGAGTCTTGTTGGACAAGTCCTTCGGAGTCCACACGCCATGAGAGGGTATAGTAAAAAGAAATATGGTGGAGGGCTGCGTCCATATCCTTTGACAGGACAGGCCAGGGCAGGGCCAGGGGAGGATGACGATGAGGGGAGTCGCCATCTCCGTCATAACTCCAGGTCATGTACGCCGCCTGAAGAATCAGGTGTCTGGCCTCGCTCAGGTTCTGTACACACAGCACTGTACCTGCGAGTCAATTGACTGATGGCAATAGCATGTATATTAGCTAGCTTTATTCGCCATTTCTGGTTGCATGACTTCAGATCTATGAGAATGAGAGCATAGCATGGATACTCATATGTAGCAGAGGCGGCTGTTATGGCGATGGCGATGGCGAAACAGCGAGAAGACCAACCTCATCCCTGCCCTTACTGGATTGTGTTGGAGTATAAGCAATATTCCCAGATATCAAAGTGGCTGGTCCTGGTGCAACCAGAGCAATGTGATTCGGAGACGATAAGCGTGGCGTCATGGGTCTTGCAGATCCAGTCACCGGCCGAGACTACCCCCAAGAAAAGAAAAAAAGGTTGGAGAGCCTCACTGCACTGACCAAGTCAATCCGGGTGTCGTGTTGCGTTGCGCAAGTCGCATCATGGGGCGAATGTTTATGGAAGCCGGTTCCACGAGTTCTTGGAACTATGGGGTATGACGTTGGAGGAGACGGTCTTGGATTGAGTAACGAGGAAATCCTCGGTCGAATTGTTTTTGGTATTTTGTAAAAGGAACGGGGGATGGGAAGACAGATGACGAGGAAAGGTGGTGATGGTGATGGTGTTGGTGATGGTGATCTGGACCTGGTCGGGGAGGGGAGGCGAAAGGGGTGATATCATCTTGATGGTGAGGGCTGTCTGGCCGGCGTAGCCCTGCCAGCCTCGTCCACGCTGCCCCTTCTGCGGTTTCCCGCCCACAACCAAGGATCCAAGCATTAAGAATGGGATACTAGTTACTGTGGTTATTGCTCTTGGAACGCTTGCAGTATTGCTGTGTTTGGGATCCAGCGAGGGGGGGCTGGTATGGAAGTGAGCGCTCACTGGCAGCGCTTTCCGCTGACTTCATAGGGCAATGGCAAGGGCAAGGGCAATGGCAGGCGGCGCGAGACCGTTGAGCGGTTCTAGAACATGCCAATGGTTCGGGGGTCCTGGTTTTGTGCAGTGGTGATCGTCGATTCGATATCCTGTCGGACACATGGACAGTCACTGTGTCTGCAGTACTCATAGTAACTACGGCAGACATGTCAAAACGTGTTGCGACTGTCGTCGATACTTTACGCCATCCGAAGTCCGACGGGCTGCTTTTAGTTGTTGGCACGATGCACGTTCGGGGTGGATGTTAGGGCAGGGGTTCGATCCACAGGAGGGATCTGTTACTGTTGCTGTTCTGTTTGAGCCTCGGGTCCATTGAAATTCTTTCTTTGGATCACTGAAACGTCTCATAAGCAACGTGGACCGCGAGCAAAGAAACACAATTGCACGCCAGTGTGATCTGAGGCCAGTTGGCCTTTGGGATGTGGTGGTTGGAGGTCGTGGAGTCGGGGCCATTGGGGGAGAGATCGATCCACTTTCTTTGCTGGTGGATCGACAACGTGTGGGCAATCCAGCGGTTAAGTTATGCGCAGGTCTTTCGGGGACAATTGCAGCTGTTGCCGTTAATTATGCCATTACTGTACTGGGTTGTACTAGTTCTAGTTGCATTTGTCCATGGAGCAATTGTTTATGCATGAGTGTAGGTGTCAATGTTTTATCCTCCATACGGTACTCCGTAATCCGTACTCTATTTCCAATCGTCACGATGTCACGTTATCCCGCTGTCGTTGATAGTAACTACTGACTACTACGTAGTGGGCGGCTAGCAACTGCGCCGGAAAAGTAGTTCCATGCACCCGCCCATTGTTAGTGTTGGCTTTTCTGACCTCCCTGACCTCACTCTTGTCGCAGGCAATCGAGAAGAAGAAATGAGTTGTGGCTTCGCTGAGGAATACTTGTTGAGCACAACAGCGTCTGTTTTGATGAGTTCCTCCAGCAACTGGGAAAGTCGTGCAGAGAACAACGATGGAGGCGATGCGACTCCATCCATGACTCGGTGGCACAGACGGTGACGTCAGGATCTCGGCCTCAGGCACAGACGCCGGCATCTTCCCGACATCCCCTTCTGCAGTAATCATTCCCCGTAACCACCACAAGCTTCAAACTCTACCTCCCTCACTAACACCACACTATCCACGGGCCTCGCTGGAGACATCCGTGCTCAGCAACGAATCAGAAGCAATCGAACATTTCGAAATCACCCATGAGTTCAGAGCCCATCATCACCGATTCCTTCAACTGTGTTGATCACTCCCCAACTGGGATTCTTCCCCCAGCACCCCCCGATCGGAGGCCATTTTTGCCTGCAGGACGACCGACAGCCGCTTGGTCGATTCGGGGGATGGCTTCACACCTGGAGCTTGGAGGCCCTCTCCTCCTTCCCCGCTGCATAAACTAGTGAATCTAGTGAATTCTGATCGCCCCCATTTTCTGTGCTAGCTCCGGCTATGACACATCGTGTCCCAAATCTTTCCTCATTCCCCTGGCCACACCAGCCCGCTGTCAAACATTCGACTCTGGCGAGCTCACACCTGACGCTCATGTCGCTAATCGCTTACGGGCAGCCACCCTTCCCGTCCCCCCGTGGCAGCGTCGATCTACAGGGACGGTGCGCCGCAGCAACGACTACCAGGAAAAGTTAACTGGCGATCTCACTACGCCATGTATTGCAGATGGGCCAGTCGCATTCACCAGTGACCTCATTCTGCTCCTCGAGAGGGTGGACCGTGGTCTATCCGGGGGGAACGCCGACCCTCGAGCCAGTGGAGTACGGTTATTTCCGATCAGCATCCTTTTCTGATGTAGGACCGGCCGCCGCCCTAGTCGCCGCCGCCGCAAGCCCGTACCGATGAATTAAGGGACTTTGCTGGGGAAGGGGGCGCCGATGTCTGATTTGCTAGATTGGGTCCCTTCTCAGTCAATGGCCGGGCGCGCGTCCTCATTGGCTGTCGTGATGTCATACGCCCCCTCAAGGGCGAGAGCATAACCTCATCCGTGGGCATGGGTTTGTGGGTACTTCCGTTTTGATGTGGGCCATCATGCAGACGACAGTTTGGAACCTACTGTCACGGCATGCACATTGATGGACCACCGTCATTATTGTTGTAGTGATCTCATTCGGTCCGACTCGCAGATTTGTGTTTCCCCGCCGCATATATTGCGCCCTATCCTCTCGTCGGTTGGGTCGAATACAGTTCCATCCTCTATTGAGACGAACTAGTCCTACTCCGGGCTTTCACGAATCTTCTTTGTCTATTGTATTCTACACCCTATCGAAGTCTATTCCCGCTCCCAGTCTGCCAAAGGTGAGGCTCAACAGTTGGTTCTATCCACGATATGCCCTTTCTGTATGTGTTTGCTCCTTTGCGTGGTCGTCTGGATGACATTTGAAGGTCTTCTGGCAACTACACGCATTGTATAAGTTCATGGCGTTATAGTGAGGACGTACAGCTAATCCGACGGCGATAGACAAGATAACATGGCCACCTCGATGCATGAAGATCAATACCACTCGATGCCTCCCACTGGCGGCGAGGCCTGCCGTCCTCCCGGCGACTACCGCATCAACAGTCACCCGACCACCGACCCCCATACCTCGGTGGAAGACTACAACCGAGTTATGCTCGAATACACCCAGCGCCGGATGGCGGGTTTCGCCGAGTTCGACGACGACAAGGGCTCGTTCCCGAGCCGGAGCAGCCGCAGCAGTCAGACCAGCGGCAACAGCGGCACCTCGACCAGCGGCGTGCTGGCCCGTCAAGCGGCTGGACCGACGTCCACTTCGGCCGGGTCTCCTCACGCCTAAGCCTCCGCGCTGCAGGGCCGGCGCTGACTCGTCCTAGCGGGGATCAGAGGTCGAGGCTGAGCCTTGACTTGCTCTTGGAACCCGCTTCACGAGTGAACGTTTACTGAAAAGGAGTTTAGTTGGTGTGCTTAGGGGATCAGTGACTAGTCTGTTAAGGCTGCGGCCACTGGCACCCCTAGGCGTTTCGAATTACTGGATTAGCGAGAACGCCTTGATTTAGAAAGCGAAGCGAAGCAATGCCGAGCGATACGCATTGCGCACGATAGAAGGGCGATTTCTCGAGCTTGAGGCTTGACAATAATGACCCGTGTTTTTTTGATTGATACCTCGAATCGAATGGATTTTGACCTACCATATGAACTTATTCTGTATGTCATGTATCTCGCTGCAGAGATAGTGTGCGGTTTACCGAGGTTTGCATTTGGTTTGCTGCATTCCTGGACAGAACATGTGTTTTGTTCGGGGGCATCTGCTCTGACCATTGTCGCTCTTTGCATATGATGCTGCATTTGAATAATCTGTTACTGTGCAGCTGATTTGAGTCAGCGTGAACTTTGTAGTTATCTTCTTGTATATTGGTTCACTAGGACTGGTCCTACGTTAGTATAAGCTGAAGTAATCTATGTTTGTTTCAGTTTGTCCTTGCATCAACCTCCTTTTTTGCATCACAACATATACAGTACATACAATCAACACTCAACCTCTCCAGCAACCAACAATTCCGACCACGAGATTCGACTCCAAGACAACCATCTAATCCTCTAACCAATCGTCCAGGCCCAAATCCAAGGCCCAACATTCCACACCACCAGCGCATTCCAAAACAACCCCGATAAACAAGTCGCCTCCCTGCCGGCCAAAGCCAGTCAATCAACCAAGGGAGGAATTTGCGCAGCCAGCCAGGCAAGCCCTGGCGACCTCCAGTGCAACGCAACAAGCCATGTCTTATACAAATAACGCCACCATCTCCCCCTTGACAGCGCCCACGCCCTCGCCCTCGCCCTCGACCACACGCCCACCAGACCAGAACCCACATCCACCCACTCCATTCAATCCTTCAGTGGTTTCTGGATTCCCGACCCTATACACTCTTTTGATGGGCACTGGCACTTTTCCACCGCACCAATAACCGGATAATCGAAAACGCTAAAAAGAAAAAAACAGCAAACAGAAAAATGAAACTCTCGACCCTGCTCCTCATCACGCCGCTGGCGCTTGCTATTCCCTTCACGCCTAACCCAGCGCAGCTCCACGATGACCCGGACTCGGATGCGCTGACCCAGGGCCAGGACCAGGGCCAGGGCCAGAGCCAGGGCCAAAGCCACGCGCAACCACAAGACCAAGACCCAGGCGAAGCCATCAAGAACCACGTCCTGCAGAACATGCGGCCCCAGACGCAGACGCAGACGCAGACCCAAACGCAGACTCACCAGGCCCATTCGGCCCCGACCAGCACACGCACCACCTCAGGCACGAGATCCAGCACGAGAACCAAAGGTGCAACACCGGAACATACCGTCACCGTCACCACCACCGTCGTCACCACCACCAGCACCACCAGCCCAGAAGATATCGACCCCAGCCCCAGCCCCAGTCCCGAGGACGAGGCCGAGGACGACAAGAACAAAACCCCAGAGAAACCCACCACCACCACCACCACCGATAAGTCCAACTCCAACCCCAAGAACAACAACCCCAACCCCAACCCCAACAACACCAACAACGACGAAGACGAATCAGGCCTATCCAGCGCCATCGCCCTCATCCCCAACCCCAACGCATCCCAAAACCCCGGCACCACCCAGACCTGCCCCACCGGCCGCCCCTCCAAGCAATGCTGCCAGAGCATCGAGTCCGTCGCCGACTCCGTCCTGCAGCCGCTCGGCCAGCTCGTCCCCTACCTGTCCGGCGTCGACATCTCCAGTTTACTCGCTCTCGAGTGTACGTCCCCTCCCCCTTGCACCCCCCCCCCCCTAAATACTGGGGGATTTACCGTCCCGGGGGAGAACCCCCGGACCCCCCTTTCTTTCAGCTCCCTGGTTCCCTCAATCCCCAGTACTGGGAAAATATGCCCTTATTCTAAGTCAAGTATCGACCACCACTAACAATCCCGGATGCTGTAGGTACAGGAATGGATGACACCGACCCGAACGCAAACTGCTTCAACTCCGTCATGTGCTGCGAGGGCACCCCCGGCGTGCGTCCCCTTCCCCTTCCCCTTCCCCTTCCCCCATTCCCCTTTCCACCCCGAACCCGCCCCCGTATCTTATCTTACAGTAACCGCAAGCTGATAACCTTGATGGAATGAATAGAAGACAGCCAGTCAGCAGACCCTCAAAACCGCCTGCGCGACCTGGGACCAGGCCATGGCTGATAAGGCGGACGATGATGCGGCGGACGCTGCTGCTGCTGCTGCTGCCGCCGACGCACAGAGGCTGGCTTCTTCTTCTGCGGCTATTTCGCCCTCTCCTACTCCGTCTTCGACGCCTTCGCGGGGGGTGGTTGGGGCGGGGGCTAAGGCGTCTGCGACGCCGGCGAAGAGAGGCCTGCCCGCGCTGCCTATCCCTGCGCTGCCGGACCTGGGGCTGGGGAAGCTGCTGGAGAGCGGGGCGGGGGTGTTTGGGGGGAAGGGGAGTGTTGTTGGTCTTGGCGGGGCGGGACCTAATTAGACCCCTGGGTATACATACCCCTCGTACTTAGATTGAGCGTTACCAGGAAGCTGAAAGGAAGGGGGTCCGGGTTCTCCCTGTACTTTGGGTCGAGGTTACCAGGGAGTTGAAAGGAAGGGGGGTCCGGGGGTTCTCCCCCGGGAACGCTTTACTCTCTAGCACATAAGTTGTGGTGATTGTGTTTTTGTATGGTTATTTACGTGGGTAGTTGGTCGAGTAATTTATTCTTCTTTGTTGGGTACATTGTGTGTATATTCTCTATCTACCGCTCTATGGAGATGCACTGTCGACTATCGACCCCCGCGCGGGTACTGCTGCCACCCCCGGCCATGGCCGTGGCCGTGGCCGTGAGACGCGTGTGGCGGCGGGAAGTGGTAGGATCCCGGGGGCATTTGCTGGGCGTAGGGGCCTGATTGTGCTTGGTACTGGGCCGGTGGGTGGTGGTATTGCGCGGGTGGTTGGCCGGGCGGGCCCTGTTGGTATGGCGGCGGGAAGTGGGAGGGCTGGTGCGGCGGCGCGAAGGGCATGGGGGGCGGCGGGGGCGGCCATGGGCCCTGGTAGTTCGGGGGAGGAGGAGGAGGGGGAGGAGCGTGGGGTAGACCCGGTGGACCCGGGGGACCCGGGGGGAATCCGGTCTGGTAGGAGGAAGGAGGCGGCGGCGGGGGATAGCCCATGGATGGATGGGGAGGAGCGGGCGGAAGGGCGTGTGGTGTGGGCGGCAGTAGCGACGGAGGAGGGGGCGCATGGCCGTAGGGATTGGCGGCAGGAGCAGGCGGTTGGCGATAGTCGGGATGATAGCCAGCGGGCGCCGGCTGGGGAGAGTACGACCGGGATCGCTGCCCGGGCTGCTGCCACGCGCCTGCACGCGGAGGGGGCGATCGCGATCGCGACCTCGTCCGCGAGCGGGACCGCGCATCGTAGCGCCGTCTGCGCGGCGACCGACTGTCGTCTCTCCAGCGTCCGCCCGCCTCGCTCTCGCTGTCGCTGTACCGGCGCTTGTGATACGCGTCGCGACTGCGGCTGCGACTGCGACTCCGCGAGCTCCTGCCCCTGCTCCTGCTGCGGCTGCGACTGCGCTCCTCCTTCCCCTTCTGGGCCCGTTTCTTCATCTGCTGACAGAACCCCCTCGACCAGCCATAATACGTCTCGCCCTTGATAATCTCGCCGCTCAAGCTCTCGCGCACGACGAGCTGGCCCAACTCATCCAGATCCACGACCTCGTCCTCCTCAAGCTCGAGCGCCTCGTCCGCGGCCCCCGCGTAGAGCCCGTCCACCTCGCCCAGGAACCGCTTCAACGCCGCCACCAACTTCCCATCGGCGGGCCCGGCCAGAAACTGCAACGGCTTGACGGTCTCCCCGCGCAACGGCACCGGCTCATCCGGAATAATGTGCGGGATCAGATTGCCGGCGGGCAGATCATACCAGGGGGTGGCGGGATCGCCGTGCGTGGCCGGCATGACAAACGGCAGGTTCTTTTGGTGCTGCTGCAACGAGGAGAGCTCCTTCTCCGCGACGGCGAGGCTCTCTTCGACGATCAGGGAGGTCTTGACGGGCCCGGACAGCGCCGCGTTCTGCACGACCTCGCGGAGCTTGCGCACGTAGTCGGCGGCGTAGTAGCCGTGCGTCGCCCAGATGTCCAGGAGCTCGTCCAGCCGGCGGTGGTGTTTCGGGTGCTGGTCGCGGGGGTAGCCGGCGGCGGCGCCGAGGAGGTCGACGACGTGCGGCTGCAGGGCGCCGGTCAGCGTCGCGAAGGCGGCGGTCGTCGGGAGGTGGTATTTGGTGTGGTGGAAGAGGTCGTTCAGGAGGTAGAGGATGTGGAGGCGTTTGCGCTTCGCCGAGGTTTGGGACGGGGCAGCGTCGTCAAATGAGCCCGACAGCGCGACCAGGTACTTGGCCCACACGCCGACGCGGTTGGACGAGGAGACCACGTGGTGGTCGAGGAGCCAGGTCTTGCAGGTCTAGAGATTGCAGGAAGCATCGGGATTTTAGTATCTCTTGCGGTGCTTAAGCAAGGGCCAGAGGCGGCCACGGCGGCTCAAACCTGGATGTTTGCCGGGGTGCATTGCGACAGCGCCCGGTCGAGCGAGGTGTGGAAGGCGGTGATCGCGTCGCGGGGCACGGAGGTCGGGTCGGGTCGCAGCAGCCCCGCGGAGAAGGAGGCCTTCGCGATGGCAAGTTGATGGGATGCCATCGCTCTTTGGTGTGGGGTGTTGATGAGGTGAGGAGGAAGTGAGAGCGGCCGACGTGAGACCGGCGGGAAGCTATCTGGCCGCACGTGATCCCGTCCGCCCTATGTGATTGAGAGTACTTGGGTATACATGTTGGGTTACTGGTGAAGGTGGTTCTGGTTCTTTAGCAAAAATACTGGTAAGTTCTAGTAGCAGTCATGAGTCCTTGTGTGAGCCAGTGCAGTAGTACTGGTCATTGTGCCCTTCACCAAATATTGGTGGGCAACTGCGAGATCAAGTTTATAAGATTAAGTACGGAGTACAGTAATTAGACTTAACCGTTTTTGTCTGAGGAAAAGGGTCACTCTGATAGAGTTTTGGTTTACTAAAAGGATCACGTCGATACAGAGGTTGGTCTAATACCAGTGCACAACGAAGTGAATTCAACTCGTATACATAAATGCATCATCTATAAGCCAGAATATACACACCACAAGTGGTCGAGAAGCGAAATTATTATCATCACATAAACTGAACCAAATCACCCCTCAAATACCACCCACCCCCCCCCAGGTCAATCACCCCCGACCTAGTACTGTCTGCGGCGGCCGTGACCGCCGATGATGTTGCGGCGGGCCTTGTGCGAAGGAGAGGCGGTGATGCTGGGGCTGTGGCTGGACGCGTGGGCGGAGGTCTTGGACGCGGCCGCAGTGGACGTGGCATGGGCCGAGCCACTGCTGGGGTGCGCCTTGGAGGTGGCCTTGGAGGTGGCCGAGGAGCTGGCGACGTGGGAGGAGGAGCCGGTCTGCTTGGAGCTGGAGCTGGAGCTGGTGGTCTTCGAGCTGCTCGAGGACTTGGTGGTGGTCGTCGTGGTCGTGGTGGACGTGATCTTGTCGAAGCCGAAGCATTGCTCGGACAGCGTGGTGGCGATGGACTTTACGGGAATATCAGTAAAAGATCCCGACTTTCTCAAGGGTCGGGCACACTTACCGCAATGTTCCAGGTGCTGATGGGGTTCGCTTCGTCGCTGGCACTCGCGACGTCGGCAACCAGGTTGACACCGGCCGAAGGAGTAATCTCGACGGCGTAGTGGTACTCGGAGCCGTCCTTGGAGCAGGCAGCTTTGTTGGCTGGATCCAGTTAGCACCAGCTTATAGCCTCACTGAGGGGACACTCACAAGCCTCGAGGGCCAGGTCGGCACCGACGTAGGGCTGCATGTAGATACCGGCCTCCCAGCCATAACCTATTGCGCGTTAGCTTCGAGTCATCCTCCTGGCAGGACCGACTTACTGAAGATCTCGAGCTCAAGCTCCACCGACACCTTGCCGTAGATCTCGACGTTAGCCTCCAGCTTGGCGTCCAGAGAGATGTCTGTGGTGGTGACGGTGGGCGACCAGCCGCTCTGCGTGAAGCTGACGGCGTTCTTGGAGCCCTCGTCGAAGGTCAGCTCCGCGGTGGCCGAGTCCTTGAGATCGATTTCAACACCCATGCCGATGGTGGCTTCTCCGTCGATCGGACCGATCGACCATCCGAGGGCGACCTTGACCATGGGGCCGATGGTGGCGATCTTGGCGATGCTGATGCCGTCAATGGGGATCGTGACCAGGTCGACTTCGTCCGCCTCCGACTTGGTCAGGTTCCCGCCCAGCTTGACCTGGGGCTCGATGTAGGCGGAGACACCCTTGGGCGACAAGGTGGCCGTGGCCTTCTCGCTGCCAGTAATCACGTTCCACAGGCCGCTGGCACCGCTGGTGTACTCGAAGACCAGGTCGAACTCGCCCTCGGTCTTGCAGGTCGAGCATCCGGCAGACAGCGAGACGCCGTCCTTGTCGAACAAAGATTTGTCACTGAAAGAGAAGTCCTTGGCGATGTCGATGGTCTTGTCGCTGGTGCTTTCACCGCGCTTTCTCTTGGTGACACCGCGTTTCGCAATGGCAACCTGCGAGTCGGTGGTGGGCTTGCCGATCTTGATGGCGTAGTTGCGCACGGAATCCTCCCACTCGGTCACGTTGCCGGTGAATCGAGCAGTGTTGACGTTATCGCGGAAGCTGGCACCCGTCATGATGAACGGCTGTCTGATGGTGTTCCAGCCACACTGGCCAGCACCGGCCACCAGCATGACATAGTGAGCATCGTCGTCGTTGACCCAGTTCCAGGCATTCTTGGCATAAGAATATGAGGTCGAGTCCTGGAATGCAACGGTCACGCTGGCACTGGTGCCGTTGGTGCAAGTGACGTTCTGAACCAGATCCTTGAACGCCTCCATGGCGAGGATACTCTCATAGTCCTCCAGCATGCCCACTGTGAAGTTTCCCAGGATGTCGGTCTCGCCACCTAGTTAACTGTATTAGCCATTAGACATGCAGATTCAGAACTCTCAAGCTTACCACCCCAGTAGAATGAGTGCTGGTCCTGCAGATCCAAGGACGAGGTAGAAGTAGTAGTGGACCCCGACACCGCGATCTTCACCTCGGCGTTGGTGGTCGTCGTCTCGTACGAGTCGATCTCGGCCAGTTCCACAGCCAGAGCTTGCTGGTACAAGGCGTAGGCCATGAGGCCTGATGCCAGACCATTCTGAAAGAGTTTAACCATTTTGGATATGACAACCAGGTCAATAGTCGAAATGAACGAATGAAGAGGGAGAATCCCGAAAGAGCGTGTATCACTATCGTGATGGAAAAAGAACGACTGTCGCGGTGGACCAGAAAGAGTGACTGAGAGAGAAGGTGATGATTTGCGTGGGTATCTCTGAATCCGCCGACATCTTCTGGTCTTTTAAACCAGGCCATGCTGTTGGCCCCCAAGTATATCCGCTCAGGATCGTTTGGTGGTCTCAGGTCAGCCCGGCTCACCTTACTCCTTTCATTAGACAATCGTCTGTCCGCAAAGAGTAATATTCTAGACTTGGACTTCACAATGCAGCTCCTAAGGGGCGCAGTCATGGGGGAGCCAACCGGCGATAGCTCTCGTTCCTGGCCAAGTTGGGGGCGGCTGCATAGGGCTTCGCTGAGACCCATCACAGCAACCTTCGCCCGCAATCACACCCAAGCACTGGGCCCAGTGCATAGACCTTTGAATTCTCGTGTCTCTCTAATGTGGGACGCAGAGCAGCTGTCTGGCTTGCGCGATGCCACACAAAGATCTTGTACCTTTCTTGGCGTCAGAATTGTGCCTCGTCCAGACAGAGCGAAAAGACCGATCCATCTAGCTGAAAGGGAAGGACCCTTCCCACAACAATCTTAGAGTTGTTTCAAGGCCCCTGCTTGCCGTCGCAGTAGGATGGATGGTGTATACCAACACAGGTCAAGCATTCTCATCCATGGGATAGGCTCAGAAAATGCTTGGCTCGGATCCATGTACCTCGCCCCACTGGCAATTCGCTTCGATTTACAGCCGCATTGCCCAAATTTTTTTCATTCGGGCCTGAACGGTATCCCATACAGTCTGTAAGAAAGGAGAATGAGCATGATTGCTGCTCAGCGATTTGATGCTAATAGGAAAACCGCGATGGAGCCGTGGAGCGATTGAGGCGTGGTGGGCAGGCTATCTCACGGTTCAAGGACCACGACCATGTCTTGGCCGGGCGATGATCCTGTCACCAAGAAAAGTTGACATGAGGCTGAGTAGGGCATTACATGATATCAGCTGGCGGGCCGAACGGGTTCCTGCTTATCTGCACAGACCGATGGGGTAGGTTGATCGTGCAACGGCACCGTTCTCGTCAGTGCCTTGGAGTGCCCATAACTTCACTTCTTACTTCCTCAACGTCATGTATACGGCACCAAGGAACCTAGAATATTATTAGGTCTTCTTTGGAATGAAGTCAGAATGCGGAAAGGTCACCGTGAAGCTCTCGCTCGACCCCCTGCATTAGGAGGTGGCCCCCACGCGGAAACGGTGCCTTTCGGCCAGAGTGGCTCATGGGGAACCAGTGTTTGAGCCTCTGGGGGCCAAACTGGGGATTTGCGTTCGATCGGCACTCAAATCGCAGGATACATCGGTTAGTCTGTTGTGAAAAGGGGCATTGCCAGTACAGTATTGAGCTATGGTGGTGGTGGTGGTGGTGGTGGTGGGAGAGTGTAGTAGGCGAAGTCCGGCGTGGCCTGTTAAGGTACTGTACAGTCAGTACCCGGGGCTGGTGGGTTGGTTTGTTTGTTTGGGGCCCGACCGCCCGGCCTCGTGGGGGTTAAAATAAACCTCACCTGCACTTGTTCTCTACTTTACTACCTTACTTGTATTTACTTGTATTCACTGCGGACCGATCACTCTCTCCGAAAGCGCAGCTCACTGGATCCAGAGACATGAAGTTCAAATTGAGCGGGTGCCATCTGGTGGTGGACACGAAAACGGGAAGCAGCTGAGAGGACATACGCCCTTAAGTATAGTCTATGGTGTCCATACTGATGATTTCAGACACGTAAAATCTTCCTAGGTAAGAATGAGCCACCTCGACTAGATTGCGAATAGATTGCAAAAAAGAACAATTCTGTTGACAATTGCTTCACTCTACACGGGGGAGAAGTAAGTTAAGCCATGGTTGTATATATTTCGGCTAATGCTAGCAGCAGCCTGCCCTAAGAGGACAGGGCTCCCTTGTAACAGTCTCTATATTGTACATACCCGAGGACTGCAATCAGCCACTTCTTTCGGTACACTATAACATCTCTCTTCTCACAATGAACTGGAGTCGTATGCAGGCTAATCCCATTCACCTCATGATGGTTCCCGCTGGACAAAATGACTACGGTCCCAAAACGACTCGGCTGCACCGGAGCCCGCAACAAGCAACCTATTTCTGACATCGGCAAGCTTCGTAAACCCCTCCGACACGGCGATTCCGCCAGACAAGATACCCAGAAACACCGGCAGGCTTTCCATACACAGAGCAAGAACGGATTCGGTCAGCCCAGGCCAACCATAACTGTTGGTGTATGCGGCTACTCCAGCTTTGTAGAGCACATACCCAAGATAGTTCAGTTGGAACAGTTGCTGGTGACTGGATGAAAGCTGTTGCAATGATTCTAGAGCGACCTGGCCTCGGACCAGCTCAGCGATGTCAATCTTTTTCCGAACATTCAACGCTTTTCGCAATTCTGCTTCATGTTTCCGAAATCGCTTCAAGAGGGGGGAGCACGCTTTCTCCTCCAAGTCCGTTTTCCAAATCCGGTTCTCTCTCAGTTTCACAGCCTGCGGTGCGTCTAACTCTTGGCTCAGATGTTCTGTCACGATCAACAAAATCAAGACCATTGATTGGCTGGGAGGTCTTAGGACTTGGGAGACCCATGTTTGAAGCGTCTCAAAGGACTCTTTCGTCAATCGTATGCTTTCATGCTGGTGCCGCGTGAAGGAAGAATAATCGCCACCAGCAATCCATTTCAAAGTAAGAAGGCTCAGCATAAGCCGATTCACACTTGTAATCTCCACGGCGAATAATTTATATGATGGTGAAAGCTCCCCGTTCGGTAGACGACCGGATTTGCGTGGCTTTCCGCCCCTATCAGCTAACTCAGCCTCTCCTAGTAAGGTAACCTCGTTCTCGAACTCGCTCTCGAACTTTCGAATTGCGTCGTCATCGGTCAGATGTCCAAGCTCCCATCCAGAAGCAATCTCCATCAATGATTTCCTGACAAACAAGATCGTAGATCCTTTTTCGAAAAGTAATTTCACCACTTTCTCATGCTTATATTGCCTCGCTATAGAGAGTGGTGCCTGGCCGTTAATGTTTCGCGCCTCGGAGTCTCCACCCTGCCTAATCAGTATCTTCACAATATCGAAGTGTCCGTGTCGAGCCGCCAACCAGAGGGGTGTGGCCTGTGTTCGAGATTTGCTATTGATGACAACAATCTTCTCTCTCAAAAACATGGACACGACAGCTGGGTGGCCTTTCTCAGCCGCGTGATGGAGCGGTGTATACCCTTCAAGATCGGGCAAGTTGACCTCGCATAAATTCAGCAAGCGTCTCACAATCGAAGTGAAACCGAATCTGGACGCAATGTGTAGAGCTGGGAGGCTTTCCCCAATAAGTGGAAGGTTGCATATCTTGGCGAGCTCCTCTTTATACAGCATAACAATCCGAAGCAGAGGAATATGTTGTTCTCTGACAGCCCACCCAAAGAGGCCATGGAGAAACGAGTGACGTGAGCGTCCACCCGCTACCCAGGGATGGAAATTCCACGTCTCATTGAAACATGTCGCAAGCTGCGTGAAGCTCTCCCACACCGGAGACTTAGGCGTTATGTCTCTCGTCTGCAAAGCCCAATTTGATACAGCGTAACTGAGAAATTTGTATTGCTCCCCCGGCGAGTCCGTACGGATCCGGCGAGTGGGTAGTTTGATAGCAGCCTTTTGGATCTTCGGCGCACGAAAAAGAGAAAACAAGGAGGACTTCATCGCTTCACCGGCAAGCAAAGCTGGCGAGACTACTGCCGAGCCTGCTGAATTGTGATCCCGTCCTTGCTTCTCAACCTGTAAGCTAAAGTTTGAGAAAGAGAGATAAGCAACACAGAACTCCCCACATTCGAGGTTTCCCCGCGCCTCGCTCTCCAGATATCTGGCGTCATGGCCGGCTCGATCACTCAAAAGGAACTTCTTGACCGACGAGTGCGCGAAGCGAACACAGCCATCAGTAGGGTCTAGCACCACGAGATTAGCGCAGCAGCCGAGCACAAATTCGTCCTGGGGTACTTTCGCGTGATCCCAACAAGTATCATGAAGATCAAAGGCCACTGCTTCCTTCAGCTCCTCAATATGCAGTGGTCTGGTAGCAAAGCTGACCCATTTAAGAACCTTCGCAGCCCTGGGATCAGAGGAAATTCGCTGAGTACAGAGCCTATACGTTTCCTTCAAGCCTTTAGGAAGCCGACGCAAAGCGGAGCGCACCTCTGCATCCGTGAAGCATGTCGACCACAAGATTTCGAGAATAAGGTAAACCCATAGAAACCTGCTCGAGTCAGTCTACATACGAAGAATTTGTGGAATTCCCGACATACATTCCTGAGGCCTCGGCGAGAAGCACGCGTTTGACCTCTTCCAGTAGAGAACAGTCACTGGTAAGCTTTCTAAGCATAGACTTGTCATCAATACTGGCTTTGATATAGAATTCGATATCCTGGGTAACATGATTGAATGTTGAAATTCGGAGAAACCACGGCATGAATGTAGCAATATTCACGTAGCCTGGTACGTGATTCCTACTCGACAGCATAATCTTTGATCCATTGGGCGGGCTGGCAGAACTGAAGGTCGCTCGAATCAGCAGCAACATTTTCTGGCACTCCTGCTGTTCCAGTGCATCGAGTCCGTCAAGAACATAGATTGTGTTTGGCATGTATGAGAAGAGAAGATTGAATATTTCTCGCAGATCGTCATAGTCTGGCACCCTTCGGTCTCTTCCAAAAAAACGCTCCAGCTCACGAGCGACATCTGGCGGAAAGCTCTGATGCGACTCGTACAAGAGCTGAGCTAACTGTCTGATTAGACTGGCGAGAATGTAGAAAGCCTGTAACGAGCCAGAATGCTCGTTTTCGCAATAGAAAAATACTGTAGGGCAATGGTAACTGGAATTCTCGAGTGCGCGATACTTGACAACCTCAACGACGGAAGCCGCGATGATCGATTTACCTGAACCAATTTTCCCCGAACACCAGAGGCTGGATTGATCCAACCCCGTAAGCCATGATTTGAATGTTGCATGGTTCAGGAACCACTGAGTTGTTCCAGGAAGACGCTTGTAGGCAAGTCTCCGGTGAACCTTGTCATGGTCATAGTTCGAGATCCGCTCGAGTAGCTGTCCGATGTCTATGTGGAGACTTTTGCTTATTTCGCCTGCATATGTTTCCGTGCCGACTGGGGCCGTAAGACCGTATTGCGCCAGCTCCAAAGCCACACTAGGTGACGGCATGTCGACCACTTGCTTGGTATGAATCATGGACAGAAGCTCCTTGGTATATGCTGCCGCCGTGGCAGCCGCGTACTCTTGCCACTGCTTATTTTTATGAGAGTCTGCATAGTCACAGATCCCTCGGATCACCAAGCAAGGGAAGTTATCCATCAGGCCGGCTGCTTCCATCTCGAAGCAGAGAATCCCAAATTCGTTCGCTAGTTGATCTCTTATACGACCACTCTTCATTACCTGGTTTGCGGAGGCAATCAGGCCGTAATGAATCACGGGGACATCGTAGCCTCGATCGGGCCGACTTTTCCTTCTGCTGGGGTTACAGTTCGCGCAGGTACTCTCGACGTCTTCATGATCATAATCAGCCTCGAACAGCACATCCTGCTCCGCACCACGGTAGGTGAATCTGTCTTTCATTTTTGGGTACCTGCATACCATATCAGACAATATGGCGGGGATATTGCTCGACCTCACCATGTGCTCCGCCTGTAGTCTAGAGATCGCAGTCAAGAGTACCGACGGTGGTTTGTTAAGCATGCCGGTTCTCTCGAAGCGGTTGTTGCTTAGAGTCTTTCCGTAGTCATACTGCACAATGCCACCATAATCTCTCGTTGGCTTGCTGACCACCACATCGCCAAGCCGGATGTCGTCTTGTGATGGAACCGCACCTCCGATGCCGACCATCAAGCCGAACCGGATCGATTTGAAGGTAAATTGGACCTGACTGGCGATCACTGCAGCTGAGGTTGTGCCATATACCCCGGCAGGAAGACATACGATGACAATATTATGCCCGTATATGCTGCCGAAGATATAGCTATTATTGTCACTCAGATCAGTGGGTAAGTCCGGATGTCTCTCGTCAAGCATTGCGACCGCGGCCGCCATCTCCAAGGGTAGTGCAGAGATCCACGCGATTGTGTAATCATGATGACGGTAAGTCCCAGGGATTGTCGCCATTTCAGTGTCCTGTTTCGGGAGACGGACTATTGTCTGTCGGCCCGGGGTGTCGATGCACACTCTTCACTGGGTATACACTGTCGGGGATATACATCGACATTCTCCATTGTCGACTAGATTGCGTATTCGGCAGTCATTCAGTCGGGTGTTCGCTTCGTTTGGGACCTCGGTACTTCACGCCAGAGCCAAAAGCCAAGAGCCAAAAGCCACGTTGTGGCATCATCAGACAGGGACTGAGGTTGGTGAGGGGAAGGGGCGCGTGAGGCTGAAGCAGCTGGGCTAGCGCAGAGGGCCAACAGGACTAAACAGCATTGGTGCCTGAGGCATCGACCATGCACACAATGCGGGGAAAGCTTGCATTCTACTCGGTACCTGGAGGGTTCATAGGATGACGCTTTGGAATTCGTTTTCCGATCAAGCAAGACAAGTGGAAGTAGCATCATCAATCACTCAGATTCTTGGATAATCTTGCTTGAAGCATCACATAGTACGAGTAACTCTCTTCTGCACCGAGCTGAACTACGTACTTGGTATGCTGGTGGTGGTGGTCACATGATACGGGGGATCTCTGTCGTCATTCATCGATTTCCTTCCTCAGTCCTCGTCGGCTTACCAATTCCGACATACTAACGATGTAATTCTCATTCTTTTCTGACTCCTGCGTCTGGATCCACTGGTCATTGCTCATTCTTCTTTTTGAGGAATTAGACAATCCCCTAAACTTAACTTACTCGTGTGTTCCGCCGGATGGTCGACTCCCGCCATCAGACAAACAGTGAGCAGACCGCAATTGCCACGGGCCGGGCAGATGCAGTCCAGCGCCAGTGCCCAACCGCAGCAACTACCGCGATTACCCCCCAGTGTGCCTGGCCGGATCTCGAGTCGCCGGAACTCCACACTGGAAAGTCTGACTCTGCTGGGTACGTACTGTGTGGACTGTTACGAGTACTGCCCCTCTCCCTTTCACGTCTTCGGCCGGAACTTGTAGATCATCTGCCCCTCTTGTTGATGGCGTGAGCATGGCAATACGCATTCCTCGCTGCACCCGCACGAGGGAGAGGGATGAGGGGTCATCGACAACTCGACAACGGTATGACAACAAGGTCCTTCCTTCTTACCCACTAATGGCCGTAGGGGTCAATTGCAGGTCGAAGTTGCACTGGAGTACGGAGTACCTTGTTAGGTATCCGAATCCTTTAATCCGCCATAAGACTGGCCAGATGCATCCAAGACCAATGGGGTACTGTACAGTACCTGCTTAGTTCAATTCTGACATGCAGGGAGAACTGGTGGCTTGAATCAGTAAAAATGAAGAGCGCACCTCAGATGACACACTCCCAAGTCCCAAGTCCCAAGTCCCAACTGCCTATGCTGCAAGCCGATCGATGTTTCGGCTGCTGCAGGAGCCATGGAGCCATGACGATTGAGGACCGTTTTTCCGCGTGCGCGCTATTTCTTTTTCCCTTTTGCACTCGATGAGTGGGCCTCGATGACCCCATCCCCCATCTGGACCCTCCCCGCAACTCTTCCCGAAACACGCTCATGCTCTCATGCTCATGATCTGATCTCGGGATTCCAGAGTGACTCTTTGCTGATCACCACAACCACCTCAACTATAAATCCCTCATGGTTCCCACCCTCTGCAGGGTGTGCTTGAATTCTAGCTAGACTTGATCGATTCACTGCTATACCTAAATCTGACTTGCTTCTACCTGATCTCCAAGACATCACAATCCACAACGCTCTTAGACCGACACACACACGCACACACACGTACACACACTATACATACAAAACATACCTTGAACTCGTTGTCTACCTCTTCGCGTCGCATCGCATCACACCAGCCCTACATCTCCAATACCTTGTCCCTCCAAGCCATCACCATGATCGCCATCCAATTAGCCCGCCCTACCATCCGCCATTTCTCGGTGCACCGTCCGCGCCCCGACACGCGCACCTCCCGCTTCATCACCAGTTCCTGCCTCTTCTCGGCGGTAGTCCTCCCCTTCATCCCTCCGGCGCTGGAAAGCTCTCGGGAAAAGAGCAAAGGCTATCCCACCCACAACAAGTGAGTCTCTCATTTCTGCATGTGTTGATCGCCGCAACCCTCGACTGACGGAATCTTTTCCTCTCTATCAGGCCACACCCCCCACTCTGCTTCCATGCCCGCTAGACCGCATATATCCGTTCGGATTTACACGTAACTCCACGAGTGGGGCCATACTTGCAGCGACACAACATCAACTCTCTCGTGTTATCACGCCATCCTCCGATTTTCTGTCGGATTATTGATCCTTTTTCTTTTCTGAGTTGGCTTTTTCCGGCTGGCGTATGGATACTGGCATATACCTTTTTTTTTCTGTCCCTTTTTTTTTCAACCACCCTCACAGACGACATTTTCTGAGGGAATTGCATCATGAGAAACCCCACATATGGATTTTCAGGGGTCATCGGGAACGTGTCTGGCTGGCGTTTAGCTTGCAAACCTTAATATTTTCTTTTGTTTGGCGTGACCGTGCGAGAAACTCGGGGTTCGAGGGAGCTCTTGTTTTTGAGGAAAGACCTCCTGGACAGGTGCCAGGCAGTAATGTCGACAGGGCAGATTCTTTTTCTGTCTCCCCCCCCTCCCCCCCCCCCCGCGGTCTCCTTTCATATCCGTTACCGGAGGTGGAAACCGCCTGAGGTAGCGGATCACGATGTTACGACTATGAGATAGCTAGCTAGCTGTCTAGCAGCAATATAATTCGCGTTACTAATCAACCAACCGACGCGTTCGCTCGAGAATGATCGGTCCCCGGGCCGATTTGTCTTGGATGTAGGTGTAAATCCGATTAGTACTGAATTTCCCCCGGATCTTCACGAGATCCAAGACACGCACGAAGTATGTAGTGTATCGTGCAGAGAGAACAAGCTTTCCACCCCACGAGCCAAGCCACACGCACCTCGAAACCGATTTTCAGAAAGGGCAGAACCTATACATTAAGGGAAACATTATGGTACAGTACAGTGCGGCACACGAAAAGATGTCACTGGCACTTTTTTTTTTTTCGCGCCATCCCTTATCCCTACCTTTCATCTCTGACCAAAGACTCCTCTCTATACCTCATTTCCCCCCGCACCCCCATCTACCCCCTAGAGTCGATTCCCCTTCGGCGGCCGAAACGGCTGCGCGGCCTCGTACTTCCCCTTCTCCAGCACGCGGTCGGCCTCGGTCTCGGGCTCGTGGCGCGTCGCGGCCGGGTCGTGGCTCGCCTCGGCGCTGGGCGAGGCCACGTCGTCGGCGGCGTTCTGCTGCGACCGCGCCAGCTGGGCGGCGCGCTTGAGGCTCGGGTCGTCCGCGGGGATCGGCGGAGGGGTGGTCAGCGAGGTCGCCGACTGGCGCCGGTGTTCCGCTTCCATGGCAGCCAGCTGCGCTTTGCGTTTCATCTCCGTCTCGAATCGGGTTTGGCGGTCGGCGTTGATGGATTTCTTCGCGAAGTAGTAGGCGCCGCCGCCGGCTTTGGGGGGGGGGTTAGTTTTTGTTGATTTGATGGGATAGGGTGATTGGGAGGGGAGGGGAGGGAGGGTGTGGTGTGGTGTTGCGTTGCTTACCGACGCAGAGAGTACCCCAGCCGATCCTGTTGGGTTTGGGAGTCGTGTTAGTTGAGGCGCATTTTGAGGGAAGACTGTGGTTGTGTGTGTGTGTGTGTGTGTGTGTGTGTGTTTGCGGGCTGGGTTGTTTTGGGCTTCACCTTACCAGGTGGATTTGATCTAGATGTTGAGTGAGAGATGAGGTTAGTGAGCATGAATCTTGCAAATGGCTTATGAGTGAGTCCAGTCAGGCACATACTGTGTTCATCTTGTATATCTTGACCACTTCTTGCACGCAGTGTCAATTGAAGGGAAATTGAAGACCGAACGGAGGACTAGGACGGGGAATTGAATGCGAGATTGAACTACGTCAATCACTGCCGAAGCCCTTCGGCCGAAACTCTGACCAATTGAACTGCCCGCACGGCGCCGACGCCACAGGCAGGTGGAAGCTGGCTGAGTGAGCGATCCCATTGTTGCCTCAGGCTGTCCACACCGCCGAGCCTCGCCTCTTCCGCTCCGCAAGCGATCGATCTTCTTTCATGCTCATTTACGCCTCCGCCTCCTTCTCCTTCTCCTCCTCTTCCTTCCACACTCCATTCCTCCTGTCCCTTGTCGACCACCGCCATATATACCACCAGCAGTAAATAAAAAGCTGGTAGGTGCTTTTCGTCTGATCGGGATATGGTCATACTTATTTGAACGGCTCACTAAGGGCGCCGGTAGCCTGTCGGGAGCAAAACGATACCTTCTTGCCTGGTCACGACCGCGCGGAGTCGCTTTTACAAGCACAGTATAGACTTATAGAGTTCTCAGGGATAATATCCCGGCCCCGCTGGACTGGACAACATGCCGCCGGTCAAACGCAAAGCTTTAGATAGTATGCCTGCCCGTCCCACCGCCACTACTCCGGTGGTGATTCTATTCTGACTGCATAGGTGGTCGATCGAGTCGAGCCTCGAAGCGCGCCACTCCCGTGCCTGATATCAGTAGCGGGGATGAATACTCGGACTACGAGGAGGAGGAGGTCAAGGAAGATAACCTGAAAGGTGAGCAAGCCATATATGCGAGGGGGCGAGAACGTCCCAGAACGAAATCACTGATTCGCGGCGGGCTTCGCTCACAGATGTCGTGGAGAATTTCAACATCGAGCATTTCAGCAAAAAGGGCGGCGGCGCCATTCAGAAGCAGGACCCCAACTTCGGCTACAAGGACTTCTCGTCCCTGGCGTTGAAGCCCGACCACGCGAATCGCCCCCTCTGGATCGATCCGCTGAAGGGCACCATCACCCTGGAGAGTTTCTCGCCGCTCGCGCCCCAGGCCCAGGACTTCCTCACCACCATCGCCGAACCGCTCTCCCGGCCGACGCATCTCCACGAGTACCGGCTGACGGGAAACAGTCTGTATGCCGCCGTGTCGGTCGGCCTGCAGCCGCAGGATATCATCAACTTCCTCGATCGGTTGTCGAAAACGCCGCTCCCGGAGACCATCAAGTCGTTCATCATCGATTTCACCAAGTCGTACGGAAAGATCAAGGTGGTCTTGAAGCATAACCGGTTCTTTGTGGAGAGTACCGATCCGGCGATGCTGCAGATGCTGCTCCAGGATGAGGTTATCGGGCCCCAGAGATTGCAGGGGTCGGAGGGTATCATTCAGCAGGCGGCGCCGAAGATGGGCGGTTTGGTTATCCCCGGGACCAAGGATGCGGCGGGTGTGAAGCAAACCACGGACCAGAAACCGGCTGAGGACGCGGCGGGGGAGGCTCGTCGCGAGGACGATATCCTTCTCGCCATCCGGGACGACGACGATGATGATGAGGAACAAGCACAGGTGCACAGTTTTGAGATTCCGAACGAAGCCGTCGAACCGGTCAAGGCGCGCTGTCAGGCCATGGGTTGCCCGGCGTTGGAGGAGTATGACTTCCGGAACGACGAGATCAACCCGACGCTGGATATCGACCTGAAGCCCAACGCGCGGATTCGAAGTTACCAGGAGAAGAGCTTGAGTAAGATGTTCGGTAACGGACGTGCTAAGAGTGGCATCATCGTGCTGCCGTGTGGTGCCGGCAAGACCCTGGTGGGTATCACGGCGGCCTGCACGATCAAGAAAGGCACCATGGTCCTGTGCACCAGTTCCATGTCCGTGGTGCAATGGCGAAACGAGTTCTTGCGGTGGTCGAACATCGATCCGGGCGACATTGCCGTCTTCACCTCGGACAACAAGGAGAAGTTTCGCCGGTCGACCGGTATCATCGTTTCCACCTACTCCATGGTGTCTCAAACGCGGGCGCGCTCCCACGATGCGCAGAAGATGATGGACTGGATTCAAGGGCGTGAATGGGGTCTGATGATCCTCGACGAGGTGCACGTTGTGCCTGCTTCCATGTTCCGAAAGGTCACATCCGCCATCGCTTGTCAGAGCAAGCTGGGGTTGACTGCCACCCTGCTGCGTGAAGACGACAAGATCAAGGATTTGAACTTCCTGATTGGTCCGAAGCTGTACGAAGCGAACTGGATGGAGCTGGCCGAGCAAGGGCACATCGCCAAGGTGCAATGTGCCGAAGTGTGGTGCCCCATGACCACCGAGTTCTATTCGGAGTACATGCGGGAGAAGTCCCGAAAAGCCGCCTTGCTGTACATTATGAACCCGCGAAAGTTCCAGGCGTGTCAATTCCTGATTGATTACCACGAGAAGCGCGGGGACAAGGTCATTGTCTTCTCGGACAACGTCTATGCTCTCGAGCGGTATGCGCTCAAGCTGAACAAGGCCTACATTTACGGGGGCACCCCCCAGAACGAGCGCATGCGCATTCTCGAGAACTTCCAGCACAACGAGCAGGTCAACACGATCTTCTTGTCCAAGATCGGCGATACCTCCCTTGATCTGCCGGAAGCCACCTGTCTGATCCAGATCTCGTCGCACTACGGTTCGCGGCGTCAGGAGGCTCAGCGCTTGGGACGGATTCTGCGGGCCAAGCGTCGTAACGACGAAGGCTTCAACGCGTTCTTCTACTCCCTGGTGTCGAAAGACACGGACGAGATGTTCTATTCCTCCAGGCGGCAGGCATTCTTGGTCGATCAGGGCTATGCCTTCAAGGTGATCACCCATCTGCAGGGGATCGAGAACCTGGAAGGCCTGGCCTATGCCACCCCGGCGGAACGACGCGAGCTGCTGCAGGAGGTGATGCTGCAGAACGAGACGTCGGCGGAGGTCGAGCACGTCAACGACGATCTGTTCTCCTCGCGCTCGGGAGGGGCGCGGGCTCGCAAGGGCGCCGTCAAGCGGAGCGCGGCGACTCTCAGTGGGCTGGCGGGTGGCGAGGATATGGCCTACATCGAGTACAACCGCAGCCGGAACAAGCAGCTCAAGGACAAGGCCGGCCACCATCCTCTGTTCCGGAAGATGGAGCGGGAGCGACTGAAACGGAAGAAGGAGTTGGAGGACTTCGTGCGTTAGCTATTCTGTTATATGGTAGAAGTCTGGCAGAATGAAATAGCTTCGCCATGGTGCTATATAGTGGAAACGAAACTATAAATAACTACACTGGAACAAAGTAAACAAGCCCACACTGGAAGCGGCCAGAATCTACAATGCCACTCGCCCTGGGGCAGCGCTACGAAGACACCAGTTCTCGTCCCCCAGCGGACTACTACTAATTGGGTCGGTCAGGTAACCACATATACAGACTGCCAGATAACTCATGTACCACCTAGTAATGCTGCAATATATCCTGACTGACCTAGGTCAGCCTACCCCGACCATTAAGTATACTCTTACTCATGATGACACCGACCGCAGCCCCGACCGACGATCTAGATCGGCGCATCCCACATAATCAAGGGACCACAAATAACCCGCAAGCCCGCAAGCCCCGAAGGCCGAGCCCATTTATAAGCACATCGTATTGACGACGGCGATCATGCGGCGCTGATTCACCACGACCACGATCCACAGGAGTTCCCGCCTGTTTTCCGGGGTAGCCTAACCTAGCTTGAATCCGGATGACGTCTCGCTCACTGCACGGGAAGCTCGGGCTTGCTGTCTCCGCAAATCAAGAGCAGGTAATTTGTTTGCCTGCAGTGCAGCAGCATACTTACCTCCAGCCAGGGTCTCCAGGGTCTCACGCGCATTCGACTTGATTCGCTAAGTGACAGCTTGCTTTCCAGGTCTGCATCCCGGTTTCTGTGAAACCCTTGGCCAGACCAGATTTATTGTATTGTCAGACTGGGAACCCGGGGGGCCGGGCTAGATGCGTCGGATTACTTTTCCTTTATGGATGAGATGCCCTGGCATCGGATATAAATCTCGTGCGGTGGCACTGTCCCTGCCCTCTGTACTCAGCAGATTCTGTGCTACGACTCGATTAAGCGCTTGGTATGCTACGAGTACGGCCACTGATTTGACGAAAAGCACCAAAGCCCTCACTCCTGCGCTACGAAGCACCCGACACACCCCAACCTGCGCGAAGCCCACCCCATTATCACCACCACATCTCGTCCACTGCACAACCGACCACCCGCAAACAACAACGATAACAACAATGGCCACAGCCCAACGAATCCACCTCTCGCCCGCAGCACATCCGGGAATCTTCTCCGTCCCCGTCTCCACCGCGGGCTCCTCCCCAGAGAACCAGGAGAGCGGGACCGGTACCATCACCGAAGCCTCCGCCCGCGCCACCAGCGAAGTCCTCCAACATGACCTGGAACATCATCATGTCTTCTTCAATGATATGGGGTTCCACAGTACTGTTCCCCATCCCTGACCCCTTCTTAACGGAAAAAGAAAAATGGACATACTGACCGAAAGAAGACCACACCGTCCACCACATCCTAAGCGCCTACGCCCTCGGCGCCTCCGCGGACGAGATCCGCACCGCCTACGCGCGCGACCGCGCCTACCAGCGCAAGGCGATCCCCGTCGACGAAGCGACCGTCGCGGCGCTGTCCGACCGCGGCCGGTTTTTGGAGCGGTTGGGGCGAAGGCAGCACTACTCGGATTTTCTGCGGTTCTTCCAGCGCGAGATTGAGCGGGTCGGCGTGGAGGCGGTGCTGGATGGGTATCTTTTCCAGGAGGGGGATGAGGTTGCGCGGGCGATGTTGGGGCGGTTGTTTGGGGGTGAGTCTTCTCCTTTGTGTTCCGTGGCTGGTGTTCGATACTAGGGGGGTGGTGCTGACTGCAAACGAAGGGCTGGTCCACCCGTTCATCCACCTGGGCTTCGGCCTGGAATTCGAGCAGCCGGCCCTCGTGGCCGAGGCGCTGGCGCAGACGGCCGTCCATGAAGACTGGACGGGCCCGATGTTCTTCTGGCCGGCGGAGGAGCAGGCCGGGGGCGTGGGGCGGCGCGGGGAGAAGGGTCTGCTGGAGATTCTGGGGGCGATCCGCCGGGACGAGACGCTGGCGCGCTCGGTGCGCTGGGAGGACGGGAACAAGATGCGCGATGGCGTGTTGGCGCGCGCGGGCGAGACGATGCTCGCGTACGCGGCTGCGTATACGGTGTCGGCGGAGCAGCTGGAGGAGCGGACGGCGGAGATGATCAATACCGTGGGTGAGTCTTCTGTTGCATTGCATCGCAAATTCGGGTGTTTCTTGACCGTGTGTGTGTGTGCAGTGTACTACACCAGCGCCGCCCAGCGCCCCACCAAGCCGATCAAGTTCGACTTCTTCTACCTGCACGGTCTCAACTCCTCCATCTTCTTCTCCAAGATCCTCACGCTCCCGTTTCTGGAGGTCAAGACTAAGCTCCGCCTGCTCGAGTGGAAAGGCCGTCTCGACCTCCTGCTCTACGTCTCCCGCGGCACGCCCGCGCTGTCCCTCGAGGCGATCCGGACGTATCCGGTCGCGCACCGCTGGGAGGAGATCTTCGCCTTCTGCACCCGCCACCCGCAGGACGACGGCCACCTGGCCAAGCTGGTCCGTGCCGTGGCCCACGGGGAGCGGGCCTGTCGGCCGTTCGAGGGCGAGCGTCCCTGGCCGATTGAGGGGGATATGTGGCTGAGGATTGCCAATATGGGTAGGTCGTCACCTCCCGTCAGACTTATCCTTGAATCAACCTACGTACGCAGTAGACTACGTGCGGAGTACGCGTACCCGTACCCGTACCCTGCAAGGCTATGCCGGAGGTGCTCGAAAGCATTGGGAATGGATTGAAGCTAACGGGATCCACTTAGCCATGGACTCAACATCCGACCACGATCACCATCCGATGTGGGTCCGCTCCACCGGGTTTGACCAGGCCTGGCGCGAGTTCGACGGGCGCCCCGAGCTATAGGACGACACTGCTGGGCCTGCGTCATGGCAGGGGGATTCTGGAAGTACTGTACGTCTATGCCGGTTGGTGTAAGCATTGCAAGCTAGCCATGGGCGTCCGCATAATGAATGCATGGTAGAATCGGCTTGAATGGAATACAGAATGAGAGAGAAGCTGCCCAGTGAACCGATGACAGCGTGGACAAAGGGCGAAGGGTTTGCTTTTGCTTTTGCTTTGGCTTTTGCTTTTTGCAGCTGGCTGGCACCGCAGCCCCATCGGGCGAGCATCACGTGGTGGGTGGGACTGTGTATTTTACTGTATTGTACTGTAACTATCTGTACTGGTACTGTCCTGTATAGTGGTCACCAGTATTTCGGGGCTGAAGTATAGTATAGTGCTCCGTACAGGTCTCCCAATATCTTGACGCCCCGCTAGCTGGAATTGTGTGCCGAGCGGGAACTCATCCCGGCCTGATGGCGATCCCGCCTGTAAAGATGGCGCTGTACGATAAACGTAGATATGATATGATTGATACGATTGATTATATGGAGGACGGAAGCAAGGAAGAAGTTCTGAAGAGACCAAAGAATAGCTGTAGGCGGTGGGGGAGGCGGTTAGCTCAACAAGGCAGAATCAACAACTATAAAAAAAAATACTATAGGAGTGGAAGGGTGACTTACACGTCCTGTAGCTGCGGCTGTGGCTTCACGCGGCTGATTTCCATGCCCATTTTTCCTCGGCAAGTGGAACCTCCAGAGGGTGGAGAGGAGTGGCTTCGAGGCATTGTTTTGGGCGCTTGTGATTGGATATGTTTTATGAATCAACATTCATTTGGATTCATACAACGAAGGTTGAGGAGTTCCGAAAGCTCTTCAATTGTTGGTTCTATTTGGAGCAGGGGAGAGAGTAGGCGTCAAATTAAATAGCATTTCCGGAGGATAGATAGCCTACAAGTCCAATTACTTCTACGTTTTCTAGCGAAAATCGAATCCAGACGCTTGAGCAACTATCTCAAAACATGAAAGTGTAGATTCGTGTGCCGGATCAGGGAAAGAAAAGAAAAACATGTATTCTCCTACCATAATCAAAACACGATACAGTAAGATTTCCATCTACTCCATTTCCCGCGCTCGAGAAACGCCCTCAACGGCTGTGTGATTTTGACCTCCAATAGGTGATCCACATTCAGGGCATCTAGCTTGCTCCATCGGCATACCGCACTCTCCAATAGCAAACTGCAGAAAGAATTATTTAGCTTATTAGGGTGATCGAAGGTAACTTGGGAACAATTCGAGGGATGGGAAATTTACTCACCGGATGTCCGTTGACGCAATTGTACCAGTGCCCCGAGTGCGTCGCGATTCCTCCTCGCCCACTCACCATGGCCGTCTTGATTGATTGAAGTTCTTCTAAAGTGACTGGTTCGTATCGTGTGCCCTCATAGAGGCGGACCATCTCCTGGACCTTTTGTTGGAGCTCAGGACAGTTCCTCAGTTCGTCGCATAATTTCAACGCATCGGCGAGAAGATCGCGGGTGGTCTGAAAGCGATCCTCAAGCATCTCTAGACCATTTTTTTCTTTGAGATGTAGAGCACTTGTTGTTGTTCCTGGATGAGAGCGGTGATACCACGCGTCCAGCTGCGCGATCTTGGCGAATGAGATGGTCGCCGTGATGACGATGCGGGAGAAATTTCCTTCATTAGCTTGAGTTATCAAGTCTCGGCAATCCTTCAGAACTTGAATCAAGGTTGATGATAGTTTGGCGAATCTTAGCCGTGGTTGTGTTGCAGATTTTCCGCTTGAATCTACCACTTTAGAGGTGTCGCTCAACATGACCTCCTTGGACTTGATGTAAATTAGCCTTGCGCCGAGGGTGATTTGGTTGTCGGATTCTCGTGCCGCTATATTCATCGCCTCCATTCGGGTTGAGAGGGAGGCTATTCCGTCCCTTGGTGACTTTTGGTGGATGGCAATCGCATCCATGAGCCGTTTCATCGGCTGATTCTCGGCCTCCATGGCTTTGCTGAGCCTTGATGCCTCCGTCCCAAGGCGCTCACAGGCTGCATATCGTGCATTGAGCTGCAATTGAGTGTCCCCCACGGACAGCAATGCTGGCTCAGAGTCGAGCTTGTCTTCAATGTCATTCAGACGCGATTCAAGGGCTTCAAGGTCAGCGCGACCTTTGATAAGCAGCCGCTTAGAAGTCTCATCCATAACAGCACGGTTGATGACACGATTGTAACGTTTCGTCACAAACTGGCGAATGGGCTGCTTACAGTCCGGGCACGATGGGATGGCACTGGCGAGAGAAGAAGAGATATCTCGGAGACCGTCAAACTTTCCGTTTTTATCTCTCGTGTATACTTCATCCAGGCCAACAAATCCATCAACCGATTCACTCGTAAAAAAGTGGCCGCATCCAAGCACGATGATTGGAGTTTCATCGAGATTGATTTCGGAATAAGTTCTCAATTCGAGGAAGTCAACACGGGCGTCTCCCTTATCGCCGCACTCTTGACACAGATTGTTTGGACAATCTTCTCCGCAGAGGCTCGGACATCGATGGCCACATTTAAGAAGTTCAGTGCATCTCTCATCACAAGGAAGCCGATTGCATATTGCCGCACAAGGCATTGAGCAGGAGCCTTGGTGTTTGCAGGACCAGGTGCATCTCTCGATGCATGGTGCACATGCCTTTCCGCAGGTCAAGTCGCATGCTGAGTGTGAGCATCGAACCTGTACATATGATTAATATTTCCCATACAACGACAAGATGGTGAGTTTGGGGGATTTTGACCTCGCATTTTGCCTCGCAGTAACCACAGCTCTCCTCGTTATGACATGTCTTGGGACACCTATGATTGCAAGCACCGTGGGGCCGGTCACATCTTTTCGTACACTTCGGGTGCTTAAATACTCTTCTTCCGTTATGGACTTCCTCAAGACAATTTCCGCAGCAATCGCTGCAGTTGTGGCCACAGCCGAGGATGCCGGTGCATGGCTTAGGGCAGCGGAAGCTCGGAGACGTGACTTCCTTGAAACACCCAACCTGGATTTTATGGCCACACTTAGGAACAGTCTTTTCGACCTCGACGTTACATTTAATGACTTTCAAGTTTGACATTTGATGGCAAAAGATAGCTTTCTTGATATGACCACAAGGAAGCTCCACGTCTTGAATCTTCGCCATGCAAGGGCCACAGTCTTCACCACAAAGCTTGGGACATTCGTGCTCACAAGTTGATCGGATACGTGGGCAAGGTTTCCCACATGCAAAGCCATCGTGCATGGCCGCTGAATGGCACTTAGCCTGGCATTTATGACCACATGGCTCGAGTCGACGGGTACACGGGAGACTGCACCCACCTTCGGGGCTCTTCCTCTCAAAGTCGTGAGGTTCATAACAGATAATAGGCGTTTCTGAGTGGCGAGGACAACAGAGAGCCAACTCCGTGCCGACTGCTTTTGCAGAGGCGAGCTGAGAGTGGACACCGGCCCACATTGGGACATTGAGGTATGTCTCAGCATTTCCAATAAGATACATGCCGTGCTGAGCTCGACTGAGGAGCACATTGATACGGTTTTCGGTGCGTAGGAAGCCAACCTTGCGCTTTGAGTTGCTGCGGACTAGGGAGACAACGATCACCTTTGCCTCCTCGCCTTGGAAGTTGTCGACGGTAGCAAGACGGAGCGTCTGGAGCAACGTCTTCTTCTCGAGTGACTTGCGACCATTTGACTCAGGATATGCATCTTCAAACTTCTCAAGCCCATCTGCGGCCAAAGTCTCCAAGTCCCGCTCGCTGAGACAAATTTCGAAATCATTGGATAGAGATGCCCTGAGCTTCCGCAGCTGCCCGGTATAGGGCGTCAAGAGGGCAATATCCGTGCTCTTGTACTCTCCCTGCCGAACAAGATGCCGAACAAGAGCAGTAGCCATATCGACCTCCCACTGGTTGCTATGAGACTTTACACGGCTACCGTCATCCCTTGAATCTTCATCACATCGATGGTCCAGCCAAAAGAGGTTGTTCCGCATTCCAACAACATTGGGTAGACTCTTCACGCTTTCATGATCCTCAAGTTTTGGATAGACGCTCCTGATAAGCTGCGAGATCTCAGGTCTCATTCTTCGCTGTACATTGAGCTGTGCAACAGGGGCTGGCTTGAGACCTGGTTCGCCGACAGCACGTCTCTCAAACTGGCTTCTGTCTAGCTGCCATGCCTTTCCTGTGGATGTTTCGAGACTAAGTGAATGATTCTGAATCTGTGGTCGCAGCTGTCGATGATCCCCAATTTGAATGAAGTGTTCAACTCCTGGCATGAGGGCTGAGATGACGTGGGCTTCCATTACCTCAGCTGCTTCCTCGCATATAATGACCTTTGTTCCTACTCGACGTAGTGTCTCGATATGGCGTGCGAGGGCTGTGGTCGTGATTCCTACTACATCTGCTTGAATCAAGGCTCGGCGGTTGACCTCTTCATGGACCGCATTAATGTCCCCGCGAAGATTTGCAGCGCGATCAAGAGCCTCGAACAGCGAGGCGGATTCGATTTCCTGCCACTGTTTGAACCAGCTCATGGCAAGAATCCGACGTTCTGGCATCGAGAGACTGTGAATATTTTCATTCGCAGCGCGTGTGAGGCCTTCCAAGCGCACATTGTCAACTTTACTCTCATTCTGATCTTTCTGGATTTTCATTGATTTGGACCCTAGCCAGTTGAGTAATTTATCATCAGTGACAGTTGTGAATCCTTCCGTGTCTGGTCGCTTCAGTTGTTCATGTATAATGGGCCATTCTCGGTGCAAGAAACGCTCCATCGCGGTCCAAGACAGGCCTTTTTGAGACTGGTGTAGAGGTTTCATTGCATATCCAGCGTTCTTCATACAGTCTTCAAGTTTCCCATAGGACATGCCGAGGGTTTTTGACTCTATCCTCGTCTTCCCAATGTCTTTACTGACAACGCGAAGGTTCTTGCCTTCAAGCTCAGTGGCCTGACTGCGGCCGCCAATGCGTATGATCTTCTGGATACCAACATCAAGAAGATGCTTTAAGAATTGGTCCAAGGCATGGTTGGTATAGCAGCTGTAATTCCCGTAAGTAAAGTATCAGAAGGTATGGAATTAGTACTCACATCACTAGAATTGGGCCTAGCTCTGCCTTTTCCTTGATTTCAAGGAGAACTTGAACAAGTTTAACACCCAAATAGGATTTTCCGGTGCCTGGTGGGCCTTGGATGAGGGCATACTCTCGTGTGAGAGCCGCGATAAGTCCCTGACACTGGCCATGGTCGAGACCCGTTTGAGTTTGCAGCTTCAAGAGGTCAATAGCCTCTGGGGTACTCGGGTTCAATGCAACCTTTTCAGCTCCAACAACTGTGATCGAAGTCAGGGGAAAGACAAATCCTGGCTTGCGTGCGTATGCTGGCGGGGGTATCCTGTGACCATCTTCACTATCCTTACGGCCTGGCAAGATCCATTTTTGAAATGCCAACTCTCCTTCGCGTTGGATTCGCTGAAGGTTTTTCAGGATAGGAGCGAACGTGGCAGGGATCAAACCATGGAAGTCGACTAGAATACCGGTAAGCTTCTTGCTGTAAATCTGGCACAGCAGAATCAGTTCTTGCTGTAGGCATGCCGCAAGCTTGACCGTAATACTAGGCGGAAACCTATCAGAAACAAGACTACTTTTGTTCTGGTGCGCTCGGTCCTTGGAAGCATTCTTCACTGTGACCTCGAGGAATATAAGCCTCCTGTGGGTTTTTTGGGACGTCAAGAAACACACTAGGCCTCCTTCCTCTAGTCGACTGGAGTCTTGCCACCATCTGCATTGCTCGTTGGATGTCTTTTTGCGGATTTGGGGTGGAGTAGCAAAGGACACGGTCGCTTCAAGCTCTTTTCTATCATTGATAAATATTTGGAGGACCTGTGCTCCCAGATAGAAATGTGCCCCGCTATCTTTGCTTGAGAAATACGAAAATTGTGTTAGATCATTCTGCTGCAGCAGATCTCGAAGGACATCTTTGGCTGAGCCGAAGATATCATGGCGCAGGAGTCGGAATGTTGAGTCAATGTGTCTTTGTAAAGGGTCGGGGAGAAAGTGCGGCTGAAGGAAGTTGGTAGAGGGTAGATATTCTGAATTGCCGCTGACAATCTCTCCATGGGTAGGAAGAATCTTAACCTGAGAGATATCAGCGAGGTCGTTGTCGTGTCTCCCACCAGGGATTTGCATATCCAGCGGAAAAGACGAAAGGGCTGATCCACTCTTCTGGGCGTTTCCCTCATGCGCCCTGGGTGTGTAAAGTCTGCTGTTTGCGCTAGCGATCAGGCTCTGCATGACTTCTATTCTGCTTTCAAGTCCGTCGGTGTCGGCATTCGAGCATGTTTCAGTGACTTGGGAGCCCACTTCGCGAATCAGGTCGAGCAGTGCGGGAATTTCATCGTGGAATCGAGCGAGTCGGACTCTTGACAAAAGTTGGTATAGGGTATTCAACAGTAACTTCATCATGTCCAGAGAGATGACTGGTACATTTTCGTTGGTATCTTCACCTTTACTCATCAGGCTCCGGCAGACACTTCTCAAATATCTGATTGCTCGATCTCCATCCGGACCGCCAAAGGATGTGTACAGAGTGCCAACAAATGAATCGACAGAAAGACAGTGCAAGAGAGAAGCATGGGTAATTACTTTAAGAAAAGGCTCGTCGTAAGTAGAAATAGGTCGCACTCCATCTGGATCGTCTGCATCCGCAGTTGCCAGGATAAAATCATGTCCATGAAGATCGTCGTCCACAAGATCTTTGGCGAGGAATTGATGATTCTCTCTGTTGTCGCTTTCAAGAATTTCAAGAGCCCCGTTCCAGAATTGAACGATCTCTTCATGTTCCATTCGAGAAAATCCGGACCCTAAGAGTCCTCGTCTAAGAAGTCTCTTCCAGTCGAAGTATTGATTCCGAGCGTCCAGATCATGGGTTGTGGGATGATATGTAGCCGGGGTTGACTTGAAGTCGGCAGCCTTATTCACATCGTGTGAGAATCTGCACCGCTCACCGTGGTGGCACCTGCCACGTTGAAAGTGCACGCAGAATATTTCCGACTGATTGCGCTTTCTGGAGCTGTTGGGTCCTCCTCGGTTGCTCGTCCTTCCACGAGATCGCCAATTTCGGTGGTGAGTCATCGTGAAAGGAGACAGCCATAGAATTTGTAGCTCTCGTGATCCTTAAAGCAGTATAAATATTTATAACGCGGACGGTCGCACGGATGGATGAGTGGATGTGATTATCCGGAGGAGGGAAAGATACGCTAAGCAGGTGCCCTCTTTGATAAGAGGGACGTAAGTAAGACTGGCTTGTACTTTGTAGATCTGACGTGGCCTAATGTCTTGCAGGACAACTCATACCTGCATCTGCATCACCCGTCGTTTCAAAATCTCTTTATGTTTTGGGGGGTATTTCCAATATCTGCCTTTCATCTCCGCTCGCTTTTTTTGGTTCAAAATCGTCAGAAGGGTTGAATGGTTGGTGGGAGGTGCCAAAATCATGGGACAGATTCCCGTCGTCCGTCGTCCGCGTAATTATGGTGGGGAGGAGAGGGGAACAGAGTTCATCTAAGCCTTCGCGTCGTGGTTGGGTAAAGAAAAACCCATACGGTAAAGGATGATGATGGCTCGATTGGCCGACTGGCCTTCGTTATCAAGACATAACCCAATGCACAATTGATTGAGCTTACCATACCCAATACCACGCCCTAGCTCACCCCCAGACTGTCTTGGTCGGGTGCGGAGAAAGGATACCATGGCCTTTCGTAGAGGCTCAGCTTCGTTCAGCTTATGTCTTGGGCCGCTATCTGTCTCGAACTGGGAACCTCTGATCGTGGGTCTTGAAACTGCAATGGTCATGGACAGAAATTGGTTATGCGCGATTCCATCTCAGGCGTCTACACCAAGGCAAGCATTTTCCGGAAGCCAGCCATTCTCGCCTACTTCTGTTATCGAGGAGAGGACTGCCCTTGAAGTACCGCTGTGCCACATGCAAAGACATGAATGAGGTCGTTCTGAACAGCGAACTCAAAAGTATTATTAAACTTCGGGAGTAGGCCGCGACCATTAGGCAAGTGGGGAACTTGTGGTTCTCCAGAAGGCCCATTGGACGGACACAGGTATTTGGCGGTTTGAAACTGCGACTCCACTACCCTTTTGAGTTGCTTCGGCTTTTCTGACATCAAAGCTTGTTGTTGATCAGGAAGCAGGTCGGTCATCAAATCCCGGAAAGACCGCCTCTCAAGTATTCAAAGGGGAACATAGCTAGTAAAAGAAATCGTTTGTATGATAACTTTGTGATGATTGTATAGTGACGCGGTCCAGAACATCCATCCTTAGCTCTACACCATTGGATGAAGAGGCACTGGAGGCAGTCTAGAAGCACATAACCAGAGTAGATCGCTCCCAGAATTACTCCTCTAGATCCCCGAGGCAGAAAATTGATCTTGGGATTCAAGCCAAGGATTTCAGGAACAAGTCAGCTCCTAGGGTCAGCTCACGCGTTTCGAGACCCGATAGGGTTGTAGACAAAAGAATGAGCCTACAGTAATATTCGAAATCAGATATATACTGCCTTCGTTTTCTGGTAGTATCAAAGACTCGCGTCCGGTGACCCTGAATGCAGCCTGGGACATAATGGCATGTCGAAATCACGACAGAGGTTTTGCAAGAGACGGCCGTTCGCTGGGCTTGATCTTTCCTCTCAGTCTTTCCTTGACATGAAAATCGTGGTGACTCCAGGAACGCATTTCTCACTCCCAGGATCTACTCGAGCCACTCGTGGTAGCGACTACTGCTCTCGGAATCATGGTTATAGCTCCTCGAGAGATTGAGGCCGTTCCTGGGAAGCCATAGGCCCCAAAGTCCGGGAACTGAGTGGTGCTATAGGTGCAAAAGAGAGAGCCCCATAGGCCATTGTCGATTTAACACAAACCAAGATAAAGTGTGCTCATAGTTTAGCTTTGACCCACGCTAGGCTAGCACTTCCCATAGTCATCGCAGCACCCCCCAACTGGGCAGCCCCGTTGACAACTACAAGGCCACTCCCTCCTGCACCAGCACTCTGTCCTATAGCCATCGCGCTCCCGGCTGCAATATTTCCGATCCAACTGTGAGCGGCTGCGGCTGCAGAACCTATACTTCATGATGAATGGTCGTTCAAGCTTCGGGGCGCGGGAAACAGAACTGATTCTGTTGACTCCCCCTGAAATATGGCACATACCTGCCTGGATGCCGCCCGTTGTGAATCCCACACTCGATAGAATTGGGGCTGTTACGAGGCCAGGGCCAGCGAGAACAACGACACCAGTGGTGCCGACAACCGCGCAGGTGACTAGAATAGGGTTTTGAGCGGCCCAGCTGGCTGCCTGCCATTTTTCATCGATAGAAGTGAGAGCATATTCTGTAAAATGAAGTATATACGAACCTGAACTGTCAAGTTGGCGGACTTTTCAAGGGCAGGCTTGCCGTAGGTTCCGACAATCTTTCCGCCCTCCAACCCCGCCCGCACCATTCTAGTGCCTCCAGAGATGACATCCCCCGGAGAAAGATTTTGGAAAGGCATAGATGAGATGGATAGTTACTAAACCTTCAAATCAAATGAGCGTGTGCGTGATCAGAGGAAGATGAAGTGAAAAACGGTCTGTGTGGTGCCTGCCCAGGACGCAAGGGATGCCTTTCTCGGGCCTTCGTAACCCCGAACTAAGCACAGGAATTCCACCCACTACAAGTAAAACTTGACTGCTAGATTGCCTGTCTTTTATCGACCTTTTAAAGCTGGCGGCGGCCATTACATTACTGGGTCAGAAGGGAAGGTTATAAGACGGCGTATTGGGGCACTAAGCTTGAAAAAAGGGCGAAACTAAGCTGAAGAGGGGCAATTCACAGGTCTGCCGTTTACGTTGTGGTTTTAGGTGCAAGGAAAAAGGAGGGAATGGTCTAAGTATCGATTAGGATGGCATGCATTTTCTACGTGGCATATTGAGCGTTGTGCTGCAGTATACCGGTATGGACCTTTCCCCCCCCCGGGCGAATTTCTGTGCAAAGTGAGTCGTCACCTCCGGCTAAGCAAGATCCTGTGCCTCCCCGCTCCCGCTCCGCCTTGACTTGGTAAACGATCCTGTTATCGGTATTTCGCCGTCTGATAATGCTGCCTCGAAACTGCCCAGAATTGTGGGGTTCAGCTTCTTGAATCCGCCGAATTTTGCCCAGAACTGATGATCAATTTGGCTAGCCGCAGGTAATTTTAGCCTCAAAGTGCACGCTAGGGCAACCGATTTAGCATACGCCATTGTGTATTAGGTCAGGTCAAGGCGCACCATTTCGCCTCTGAACGGATTTTCTTCCTGTCTTTGGGGAAGAAAGACCTGGATCGGCTGACATGTCTTACTTTAAGCAAGCGCCATGGATGTATAGCTCTTTAACTTACAGCTAAGACTTGATCGTTCACGGCTAATGCAAAACTTGAAGGGCATAGATAGATAGCTTGTGAAAACGCTGGTGCAAACTAACCCGCATGTGACGAGTCCTCTTCGATGCAGGATCCATCACACTCTTAACGCCGCGGGTGGGCAGGAGGCTCTGTATGGTTTTGAGGAATATTGCACCCCACCGTCCAGTACTTTGTCGGCGTCTTATAGCCGCTCGTACTTTTTAATTCAAGTGGATATCGGGACTGGAGAGCCAGGGCAATGTTGCCTTTGCAAATCACGACTTATTGAATATTCGGATTGGAGCAAATGACGGTGTCTAGCTTATTCCACTCCAACATCGACCTTGACTTGAAATGGCATCTACTTACTAACTATTTGTCTTTAGATTTCACGGACGATATTCCCTGGGGTAAGTTGACCCATGATCTCAGTCCCCCGGTCGTATCTGTGAACGAAGAGACCAATCCGCCGAAGCCACAACCTCTGGAGGCTTTCTCATACCCAACCCCTCAATCTGCTGCCTCCAGTCCAGACGTAGGAAGCGACACGTTGATCCCTGATTTCTCTACCACAAATAAATGGTTGATTTGGGAGAAGACAAAGCTGCTAGGTTGGAAGGTCGGTTAGACCTACCTAAGATTTACAAAAAGCAGTCAAACTGGAATTTAAAGTAAGCTGATAAGAAGCGTCTCGATGAAATTGGGCATCTGTCTGCCTTTACCTGCTATCTCCTAGCAGGAAACTACAGTTTGGATGGCTTGAATGCTTTGCAAAGTATATTCATCGGCGCTTCTAACATACCCTGACTGACTGGTATGCAGTGATGCCTAACGGCGAGACTAGCTCCCCGCGGAGCCAACTTCCAAAAAGGACGCGCTCTTGGCTAGCCAGGTATTTGGCTCATATTCCGTGTCATCTTTTGAGCTCTTCTCGACTCATGCAAGTCATGACTCGCATACACGAAAGCCACATACCTAAAAGACATCGCATGACATGACACACTTGCACTTGCATGCATGAGTAGCAACATTGTTGTTTCCCCTTCCTAGAAGGTGGGAGTTTCTTCGACTTCGAGGGCGATGGGCAAGGAACGAGCGCTTTTGTGGATTGGATACCCATTCCCCAGACTTATCCGTACCTTTAACATCCCAGAGGGACAATCGGGAGGGCTGCATTGTCTCACAGTCTCACGCTCTGTCCAAAAGCTTTATAGGCTCAGACACTGGACTCTATTCGAGATACCTATTTACCCAGATCCACAATGGTTATCTGCGTTCCTTGTGATCGGTCATTTCCCACTCAACGTGCTTTGGAACAGCACCTCCGGTCCCCAAAGCATTGGTGTGAGACCTGCAACAGATTTTTCAAGTCTGTCGATTCGAAAAGGAAGCACATCAAGAGCTCAAAGAACCACCTTGACCAGACCAACAGCGATGGAGTTTACAACAATCATCCGTCTGTCTCCGTGAACAACCGCAGAGTGGGAAGCCATGGAGCATTAACGATGAGAGTCACAACCAGAAATGAATACTCAACCCCTGCATATACAGGAGTGCCTCGGAATATGGTCACTCCTGTCTTCAAAATGGCATGTCGCCTACGTTTCATGAAGCCGGACGTCAACGTGCTATTGAGCTATATCGATACACAGCTAGACCGCCTGATTATCTCAGCGCTCATTGAAGCTGCTCTCCGTCTGCTCCCACCTGATGACACTCCTGAAGGACGATTGGAGGCGAAAGAAATAATGCAACAAAAGATGGAGCGTGCAAATATTCAAGAAATCGCTTTTGTCAACCAAGTGCGAGATTTTGGTTATCAATTTCTGACAGAGAAGGAACAAAGAGATGGTCAACTACGCTCGACTCCCGATCTTCGATTTCTTGAGCCCATATTGATTGATGGGCACCTTTGTCACTGGATCGAATTCAAAAACTACTTTGGTTTCAAATCAAACCCATTTATCGCTTCAAAAAATAAGAAGCAATTGAAGAGATATGTCTCAGAGATAGGATCTGGTGCTGTTGTCTACAAGCTGGGATTTGAGATTGATCACATAGTCATCGTAGGGATTCATTCGTTTCGTGAAGCGGAGGTTCTACATTTCCTAGAGCAGCAGTCCAAGCTTAGAAAGTAGCTCTTCGAATGCGTATCTACTTCGAGGCTCAAAATTTGATGCAAAAAATGCGCTTTGAAGACAAGGGACTAGGTACTAGGTACCAGGTTTAGAACATACCCCTCAAGCCTTCTCCTTTGCTTGACAAAGAATAAAGTGGGACCTGAGATCAGGGACCCTGGAGACTGGCTGGTCCGTCTCCAGGAATACAAGAGCTGTCCCTAGGAACGCTGCCGTGCGCTCCCCGACACGTCTGAGCTCCTGGAACCCGATCACAGAGCTAGCTCCTTCTGTTCATGCGCATTGAAAGGCCAGAGCGAAGGAGGAACGGGAATGTAAAATGGAATCTCCTCCAACCAAGAGAAGGACATGAAGTTACATGCAAGATGAACACACTTTCAGCGGTTTCAAATAGCGACCGAAGAAGGCTATTTCGAAAAGCCACATGGCGAACCGCGACTGTCTCGTGCTGCCAGGCCCTTACTTAAGGGAAGACAGCCCTGTCACTTCACACTTCGCCATCATGCCTTCAATCAAGATTCAGAAAGTGAAATGCAAATTTGAAACCGCACTCCACAGCCTTGTCGTAAGGGTGGGAAGGAGCGTGGAAGTCGGGTTAACGTAAGCGCTCTTCCTCGAATGTTTCAACGCTGCTGGGCTACAAGATCCGTTTTGCTGACAAAATCTATGCCGAGTTTTGAATCCAAGAGCGCTGGACAAAGGCAGGCATCGGAATGATGTCCTAGTCCACCAAAGGTTAATATGAATGACGCTACCAAAGAGACCTTGTAAGCGCCCACAGCGCCACGGCCCCCACCGTGCATCTGCACCACATCACACATCTCCATTTCAGCTTACCCTTCGTCCTTGCGCAGCGAAATGCAATAAGCTTGAATCTGGTTGGACCGCAGTAAATTGATTGGTTAGACTGTCACAACCTTACTGATTAATAGTATTGGTAGATAAAAGCTATAGTTATTTAAAAAAAATTATAGATATCTAAATCGATGTGAAAATTGTTAGTAATAAGAAACTTTAATGATAAATATATACTTAACTTACTTGTAAATGGGTGATATAACCATTACCGCCCAGAGTATACCTGGGAGTCTTTTGATAGATATTAGTTTAGTATACTTTATACCTAAAAAAGCTTTTTGTAGCTACTATATTATTAATATAAATAGATTTTAATTAATCTAAATTTTACACAGTTGTTTTATAGTTTGTCTGCTTTGTCTACGTACTATCTACTATAGGATTTAAGTAATTTTAGTGCAATACTTTATTTAGTTACTGACTTTTACTAATTATAACTAGAGTACTTTGTATGAGACAGGTATTATATCTGGAAATACTATTATATTAAATTAATACTATCCTATGATATTAATGCAGCCTGCTTAATAAAATCATAACGCTAGCAATTTGGCAGTGAGACTTGGAAGTGCTTATAATATATTTGTTGGTCAAGCTAATTTCAAGACCATCTGTAACACCAGTTTTCGGAAGGACAGTATAACATTCGGAACTGTACCTCACGATCAGGGTATCCGGAAGGACTGTACCAGAGGACTACGTGGACGACATCTGGGGTGAAGGTTGGTTGAATTGGATATCAAACTATCGCGGAGAATTGTGTTGTTGTGGCAAGATGAGATTCCTTCTTCAATGCATACACGGACAGAGCTAGCGCCAGTCAACAGGATGAAGAGCTACTATTGGATCTCATCGTCTGATTACAGACATGGCCTCAAGTGCGACCGGAAGAGGCGAGATACTGTACTGTACTTCCTGGAGCCTTGGTCTGCTGTCATTTCGGCGGCAGCATGACCGATAACCACCGCTACCTGGGGATCTTTTCAGCCCAGCAGACCCCGCTGCACATCTCCAGGCGCAGGCGCAGGCAGTCTGGCGGGATCTAGATCGCGCGCCGCGTCCTTGGCTCTCGCCAGATCCACCCCGATCCGTCCGAACAGAAGCTCGAGTTCGGGATACCGCTTCAGGGCAAGGCCGATATATTGGACGTTCAGCCCCCCTTGCCGGGCCTGGATGAGGTTGCCGAATCGGTCGGCCAGCCATCGCAGGTCCGCCGAGTCGTGGAACTTGGACCGCGTCGCGGCGGCACGGAGTTTCCCCTTGAACAAGTAGAACGGGTCGAGGAAGCTTGCTTGTCCCGTGCCCAGTCGCTGGCCGTTCACCGTGCGTAGCGAGGCCTGGACACCTTCCATTGTGTACTGGGCACCTGGGAGGAGTTTGTGTGACAGGTGTCAGAATTTGGGGAGCTTGGTGAGGGAATGAAGGTGCGGGAGGGTGTCTTCTTCACCGACCTGTGAACTGCTCGCAAAAGATTTCCACGAGAACGGCGTGGCTGCGATCGGGTCTATCTGACCACAGGAACGCCACATAGTCCTGTCGACCTTGAGGAATTGCGATGAACCCGTCGTGTCCGTCCAAGATTGCTAGGATCTGTTGCTTCGAGATCGACGCAATACAGTCAATGTCCTTGCTCTCACGCAACCCCCCTAGCACGCCGATGGCGTAGCCTCCGAAAATGCCAAAGTGGATACTGGTCCGGCTCAGGATTCGATGGAGGGCAATCGCAGCATCGTTGAGTCGGTCTTGGAGCATGCTGTCAGATGGCTAGAGTCGGGGTGGACGAGTGCGAACGAGGATTGTGTCTCACTCTTGGAGGAATGGTCCAAGAAGCCGGTAGGGGTGTAAGCCTTTATGGACTCTCAACAGACCTCATCCATATCAGGTCAGGTCAGGTTACGGGTCAAGCCTCGCCATTTCTAGTGCAATGCCACCGGCCGTCATTGGTCTGATAGACGCCGTCTGCTGCGGAAGCACAATTGACACCACGGATGGACAGTTATAATCCCTGCTCTATCAATTAGCGCCGAATTACTCCTCCAGGGGACGTCGACGCCAAGGAGCAGCCGCTCCGCGAGGCTAACGTACAATTAGGAGAGAAAAGGTCTATGCACTACCACAAGGCGTGATTAGGCGTGAACTTGGCTGCACACGCCGTACTAATACCCAGAACCAGGAATCAGCCGTAGTCCTTCCATCCCGTTCTCTACTACAGAGCCGGGCGTGATGACGTCCAAAAATATATCATCCCTCCTCGACGACTTTTCAGCCACCAGCATGATCATTAGTTCCCTCGCCTTGAGGGGGACTTCCCGCAGGTTGGTACGAATCCACTCCTCGTCCAGATCCATTCCATCCACCAATTGCTCCGCGGCAATCCTCGCCATAGCGTCATGATGCTCGAAGTATCTTCGACAAAGTCCGATCACATAGGAGGCAAGGCGTGGCACCGGAAGATGCTGGATCTCGTCCACAGGAACTAGATCCAGGATCTCACGACTGTAGCTGATCAGCGGCACCCCATCACAAGGTACGAGGTGGTGTTCCAGCGGAGAGAGATGAAAATGCGCATCGGAGAAGATCACGATGGACATCTTGGTAGATGTCGCTTCGAGCGCCGGGAACCCTCTTTTGTATTGCGTGAAAATGTCGTATTCTTGCTGCTCCTTGATGGTGTACTGCTTGGTCAAGCAGAGAGTAGATACAGCGTCGGACAGAAAAGATACTGGAACGCAAATTTCCACATCCTGTTGACGGTCAGCCCACCTAGGCGCTTAAGCTGGAGCTGGATATAGGTCAAACTGTCAAAGTCATATGGATACTTACATGGACTACTCGGGGAACGTTGTAGTAGTTCAAAGCTATCTCTCCAACAACAGCCGCCGGTATATTCCCAGCTTGAAGGTCGGATAAGACCTTTTTGATGGTTCGAGTGACTTTTTCCATCTTCTTTCTGGATCTTATTATATGGTACCCGGAAGTCTTGGGAATTGGTGAGGAGGCTTTAAGTACCGCGGGCACCTGTAGTGTAGACTTGGCGACGGATCACGTGTGTTTTCCCCTTCCCCCTTGCGTCAACAGCTCTGTCAGCTAGCTGTCTCTCTCTCTCTCTCTACCTTACCTTGGTCCTTTTCCTTTGGAGTTAGTTCTTAAGTCAACGTTGGCTAGGGGCAGCTTGACTGGAATTGGATCATCTCATCTCAAGACTGCCATGTTTCAGAAAGTACGGGCCTTTTTCTCTCAGCTTTCTTCTTCTTCTTCTTCTTCTTCTTCTTCTTCTTCTTCTTCTTCTTCTTCTTGCTCCTTTCAAGTTCTCTCCGATCTTCATCTTGAAATCAACCAGCAGTATTTCTCGTACGAAATCCCCGCTTGCGCTGACCATCTCATCCTCGCAGGCGACATCGGCCGTCTGGCTGACTACGAGCACTACCGCGCGTTCGTGCAAAGACAAACCGACCGGTTCCAGGCCGTTCTGCTGATTCTGGGGAACCATGAATTCTACAATATGTCTTTCGCCGCGGGGCTAGAGAAGGCCCGGCAGCTGGAGCAGGAGCCCTGCCTGCACGGGCGGCTGATCGTCCTCCACCGGAACCGATACGATGTGCCCGGATCGCGCGTCAGCGTGCTGGGCTGCACGCTCTGGTCCCACGTGCCCGACGAAGCCCGGGAGGTCGTGCAGGCGAAGATCCAGGATTTCCGGAAGATCACGGGTTGGACGGTGGATGGCCACAACGCGGCGCACGAGGCTGATCTCGCGTGGCTGCAGACAGAGATCCAGTCGATCCGTCGGGAGAATCGTGGTGAGACGTCCGCGCGGTCGATTCTCGTGCTGACCCACCATGCGCCCTCACTGCAAAGAACATCCGCTCCGCAACATGCCCTGAATCCATGGAGGTATGCGTTCGGCACGGATATCCTCGCGCAGACGTCCGAGGGCGTCACGGTCTGGGTGTTTGGGCATACGCATCATAGCACTGAGTTCAAGGTGGGCTCGGTCAGGGTGGTTAGCAACCAGCGGGGATATGTGCTCCCTTGGAGCAATCCGACTGCGGAGACTAATTTTGATGTAAGGAAGGTAATACGTATTTCGTGAGCCGGGGTGGGGGTCATAGTGTCACAGCGAGCTATCCCGGGATCATCTGTTTTAGGCTCAAGATTTCCGGAAGCTGGTAGCACCTGCTGGGAAGCTGAAAGAAAAGGGGGGTCCGGGGGTTCTCCCCCGGAACGGTATATTGCCCCAAGTATCCAGGGTGAAGTGTTACCAGGAAGTTCAAAAGAAAGGGGGGTCCGGGGGTTCTCCCCCGGAGTATACACCCACCTCCCCTTATTGTTGTATACTCATGATAATATGTTGATGCAACTGGGACATCACCACCTTAATCTCCCCAATCTATGGCATGTACCCCAGACTAAGACATCCCGGGGGAGAACCCCCGGACCCCCCTTCTTTTCAACTTCCTGGTAACACTCAATCCTGAGTACTTGGGGCAATATATCCGTTCCGGGGAAGAACCCCCGGACCCCCTTTCTTTCAACTTCCTGGTAGCGCTGATTCCGAGATATTGGGCTTACCTGTGCTCTTCCGCTACTCTCTGAAGTATAGGTACTGGGGATGTTTGCGTACTGTATCGTATCGTAGTGTATGGTATGGGGTGGCAGCCTCAGGCGGCGGTGGCGGGCGGTGGGGCGGGCGAGTGGGGCGATCTCCCCAACAAATGCCTCGAGCCCGCTTTTTATCTACTCTCAATCCCCTCGCTTGCCTCGTTTCTTCTTCCGAACAAAGCTGTGCTTTCACTCTACCTGTCACATACCAACCCGCCATTCTTTGCCCATCTCTTGCTTCCTCAAAACACACCATGGCTGGGGACGACACCCAAAACACAAACACAAATACAAATACCCCCAACCAAGACACCTATCCCACCCACCACAACCACAACCAAAATCAACACCACCACCACCACCATCACTACCACGGCTGGCCCGAAGATGACAACCCCTTCGTCGCGATCCGGCGCTTCGCCGACGAACAGATCTCCTCCGTGCTGCAGTCCGTAACCGGCCTCCCCTCCTCCATCAACCCCCCCTCCGAACGCTGGGCCATCTTCGACGACCGCTCGCGCGACAACCCGAACAACGCCAGCGGCAGCGCCCAGAGCTCCGAAGACACCTCCGCCGACCAGGCCACCACGACCACCACCACCAACACCACCGCGTACTGGTCCGACTGGGACAACCCCGAGACCGTCGCCGCGCACCACCACCACTTCTACCCGCGCAACTACCGCAGCGACGCCGACTTCTTCTTCAACTCCTTCTTCGACCGGTTCTGGCTGGACGCGGACAATGACGACGACGATTTCGGGGCCTCGCGGCGCCGCCTCTTCCAGCCCTTCCCCCACCGCCCCATGCTGCACAACCTCATCAGCGACGCCTCCCCCGCCTGGCCCGTGCCCTACCTGATGTTCAGCCCGTACTCGCCGCTGCATCTCGAGCGGCGGCGCGACCGCGCCCGCGGGGAGAGGGGGGTGTTCTCAACCCTGATGTCCACGCTGAGCCTCTCCTCCGAGGAGGGCGACGATAACCCCACCGCAGAGCCGGAGTCAGAGCCGCGGTGGCGCGACGCGTTCGAGGACCTCCTGCGGCTGGAGAACGGGAAGCCCATGCTCGAGCGGGCGGATACCTCCACACAAACAGGGGGCCGGGAGTCCGGGAAGGACTGGCTGCAGGGCCTCGTGCAGCGGGGCAGTCTGGGCGACCGGTGGAAGTACGTGTCCGGCGAGGCCGGTCCGAACCAGCCGTCGTGGTCGACGATCACCTTCGACAACTCGCACGTGCTGCCCGACGATATCCCGCGGAAGAAGGCCGAGGTCATCGACACGGAGGACCTTGCGCAGCCCGCTGGCGGGGCCGACGCGCTCGCGGAGCAGGACCTGTACGACCGGTTTTTGGATGATCTCCAGGCCCGCGAGCAGGCGTTCGCCCGCGAGATCCATCAGAGTCCCCTGCTGCGCTTGCTGCTCGACGACCGCCGCCGCTTCAGGGAGTTGGCGCCGCGCGAGGGGTTCGACGAATTCTACGGTTCGCAGCAGCAGCAGCAGCAGCAGGCCGACCAGTCTACCACGGACGAGAGTGGTCCGAGTACGGGGGCACCGGCACAAACCCCATACGTGATCGCCACGCAAACCCGCACCGAGCGCGTCCGCCTCCCCGACGGCGCCATCCAGACCAAGACGATTCGGAAAAAGCGGTTCTCCGATGGTCGCGAAGAGACGAACGAAAATGTCGACGTCGTGAATCCTCGGCTGGGAGAGCAGCAGCAGCAGCAGCAGCCGCCACCACAGTTCTCTGCTGATGCCGGCGGCGCCGAAGAGAACAAGGACGGTTGGTTCTGGAAGGGATGATTTCCTGCGGTCTAATTTCAAACCCCCGTCGTTCAAACTTCTTTCTCTTGCCACGGTCTCTTTCTCTCGTCCCGCTTTATTCCCATCTCGTCTTGGTGTTTGTTTGGTGATGTCACGGTTAGCGTTTCTTGTCTCTTGTATTATCACTCACGACTTTCACTTCACCCACAATATGGTTTCTTTTTGTCTCAACTGGTTGGGTATGGAGGTGCTGTGCTGTATGCTCGTCTCAAATACGAAGTATTATCTGTATTTGGCTTGAGGTGTGGCAGGTTCATCTGGGAGAAATAGCGTGATGTACTGTAGCTTTTCTCTCGTGTGTGCGGAGCAGTCAGTGTACGTATGTTCACCTAGCACAATCCCGATGCTACTTTCTGCATGCTCATTTCCCGGTGTCAAGGAATCGCGGGAGCAAGGTTCCAGGCATAAGTACCTGCAAGCACCTTGAATAAGAACATGAATATGAACATGAATATGAACATGAATATGAACATGAATATGAACATGAATATGAACATGAATATGAACATGAATATGAACATGAATATGAACATGACGATGAACATGACTATGAACCAAGATCATAACCATCATGGACGACGCCTTATAGTCTAGTATCACCCAGCAATCAGTATTCCGTACTCTTCGGTCTATGCCCTATCCTGACCCACTCAATATCAAGCAAGGCAAGGCCAAACCCACAGATAGAGTCAGACACCACCGTCTTCAATTCATCTATCTACATGTAGCCTCGACACTAGGCATTTACGTACCGGCTTAACTCCCCCCCTCTCCCATTCCTTCCTCTAGACTAGACAGCAAGCAACGCAGCCGCTAGTTAATCGGCCTTCACGCTCTTCTTCTGCGCCTTCCCCGCCGTCCACCCCTTCTCCTCCCAGTACTTAACGCTCTCCTCCATCTTCTGATACGCCCAGGTAAACGGGGGATCTGCCCAGAAACAAGAACAGTTAGCCACATCCCAACCCATCCAAAGCCGCCCCCAACCCAACCCCTAGCCACCACCCCTCCACCCCCTTATAAAGAAAGCAGACGAAAATAAGGGAACATACAAAGAAACTGCCGCAAATCATGCCGATTATCGTCGGGCGAATACCCCTCGGCATGGTAACTGGGCGTCAACACGGTCATCTTATGGCGGTTGATGCTGTAATTGTAAAAGAAATGGCGGGTCTTCTCGTACACCTCGCGGGGGCTGAGCTCGTGGCCCCATTTGTGCAGCAGGCGCTCGTACATCGACCACGGCCCCAGCTTGGCCACCTTGCGCAGCTGCCCGAACACCGACAGCTCGGCGTAGGTGACGCCCATGTCGGCCTCGTCGGACTGCACGTAGGTCTGCGTGATGGGCTCGAGCTCGGCGGTGGGCGTGGCGTGCAGGAAGTCGTGCAGGATCGGGAGCGCGAAGGCGGTTTGGGACCAGTGGATGAACTTTTTGAGGTCCACTTTGCTGATGGAGCCGATGGGGTTGAGCTGGTGGGGTTTTAGTTTGAGGGGGGGGGAAGGGCCAGGGGGCTATTTTGGGGGGAGGGGGATGGGGAACGGGAGACGTACGTCGGCACTGCTGGCGTCGTATTTGGTTAGGTAGCCTCGGAGACTTTGGTTGGGTTAGTTTGCTTGGCTGTGGTATCAGGGATGTGGTACACACCATTCTGCGGGACGTTAGCAACAGCTTAGCTACAGGGTTGACTGGACATACCATCGACGTTGGACGATCCCAGCACCAGCAACCCACCACCCCCGGGCCGCTGACGGACCGTCGGAAGCATCTGCGCAAAGAGATACGATAGCACCATTCGCAGGCGGGCTTGGATGTTCTGCAGCGCCTGGTTCTCCGCGAAGCTGCCGCCGTGCACCTTGAACTTGGGCTGGAAGTTGGTCACCACCGTGAACAGGTTCGTGACGGCGGTGACCACGGTGTCGAAGTTGAAGTCGATGTGGTAGGAGCCGATCTCCGCGGCCAGCGTCTTGGCCCGCTCCCGGGTCTCCTTGCTCGAGTTCTGCGTGCCCATGTAGTTGGTGTGGAAGATGCGGCTTGAGGATTTTAGTTTCGTCGCCAAGCGAACTGGAGAAGAAGGTGCTTACTTGCAGACCTCCTGGCTGGTGGACGGAAGCCAGGCAGATCCCTCCGGCTCCGCGCAGAGCCGGCGGACATCCTTGATCACCTGTTCATTTCCCTGCTGCACCGCTTTGACGACCTCCCTGCACATGGAGTGCACAATGATGGCCGTCGCACAGCTGTCGATGCCTCCACTCAGAGGCACGAAGTATCCCGCGGCCCCGCTTCGGCGAAGGTAGTCCCACAGCCAGCAGGCCGGCCCGAGGGCGATCTCCTCCTCCGGGGCGTGGTACCGTGGTTGGAGGACCTCAGATGGGGCAAGGCCGGGATCAGCCTCCTCGCCGGTACGCGACAGTCTGAAATCCAGATCGAGACGGACGAAGGGGGTTTGTCTGCTGGCCTGCATGCTGCGGCTCACGCTGGAACGGTATGACCGGACCTGTCCAAGTCAGCCGACGCCGTATGTCAAAGAGCAGGGAAATACCTCTTCAATGTCCACGGTGGCAGTGACAACCTCGACGTCGTTGAGCGAGAACTGCGAGCCCTGAGCCACAATGTTGCCGTTGACAACGATCATCGCGCAACCGTCGTAGTACAGACGATCACCGTCGCAGCCCTGCTGGTTGGCGTATAGATAAATGCCTCCACTCTGCAGACCCATCAGTATCCCACCACACTCGATTTTGGGATGTTCTCACCAATTTGGTAGCCTGCGTGATGAGGTTGACCCGGGTATCGAGCTTCCTGAGTTCGTGGTGGCTTCCCGACGAGTTGGAGATGATCTCCACGCCAGCGAGACCGTAAGGAATATGGGGGCTACATTCATCAGCACGGCCTTCCTGACGGGTGGAGAGCCAATTACCCATTGGGAGTGAACAGCTCCTCGCACGTCTCCAAGCCCAAGCACGTATCCCTAGTGCTGATGACCGCATCCCCGAACGGCACCTTGTACTGCCCGGTGATCTTGCCGACAATCTGCTCCAGGTAGTAATCCTCGATCTCCTGGGGGCGTTGCCAGGGCGTGAAATGCCTCATCTCACGGTAGTTGCCATCTGCATGAGCTCGTCAGCGATCTGCTCCGAGCGCAGCAGTTTCAGGACGTCCCACCATTGGCAAGCCACATCTTGGGCCGGATCAAGATAATCTTGCGGTTGAAGAAGATCACCCTAGACTTGTCAGAGTACCGTCGCATATACCCCCGAAAGAACAATCTCACCGGCAGTTATACCGCACGTTCCGATGACGGACAGGCATGCTATCATCCGGTCAGCGGCCGTCGCAGACCATGTAGTCTGACTGCCACAACTCACCCGACATCGACCACGATATCCTGACAGTCGGGGTGATCAATGATGCGCGCCAGCATCTCCCACGAGTGCAGGAACGTGTCGCCCTCGATAAAGGCGTCCAAGCAGCCATAGCCTGTCCATGTCAACGCGAGCTGGAGCCAGAAACATTCGGACCATAGACAATACCGGTAATCTCCAACTCCGGACCGACGCGCAGGGTGGCGCCAGCTGCCTTGGCCTGTCGGATACTTTCAATGATGCGCTCCGCATTGCCCTCGAAGTCGAGGGCCCACTGGTTGAGCGAGCTGCATGTGGGAAATGGTCAGAGCGGTTGGCAGGCACCCAAAACGCGGGAGCGATGGGACTGACGTACCATGTTGCGAGAGTGACCAGGTGCCCCATTGTTGGAAAAGAGAATGAGGATGCCTAGGTCCGGTCTGCAGAGCTGGAGCGGGAGTCAAATCGAACGATTGAGACTGGATTGATAAGAGTTGGAGAAATGGCGATGCCCCGGCAGGTCAGCGGGATGCAAGGTCACGTGTGTGGGGTGCTCCCCGACTGCCCCTCAGTGTACGCGTATTACATCCTACAGCGGCAACTCACCCGTTTCCTGTCGTAAATACTGTAATTCCCATACCCGTGGCGCAGATCCTCGGCACGAAACCGGCTGATTAATCCATCGTTATCGGAGAAGAGGAAAGAAGAGAGAGCGAGAGAGAGCAAGAAGTACAAATGCTTCAACTGCCTCGGGGCTCGTTTCTTTTCCTCTTTGACCTTTGACTTTTGACTCGTGTACTCAATTGCCCTTCTCTTGAACTGTTATTGAGTCCTGTTTTCCCTTCTTCTATCATTCAAAGACAAGACCCCCCCCCACCCATAACTACACATCCACCATGACCAGCAGCGACGCCCTCATCCCCAACCCCGCGCACATTCAAGCCGAAACCATGCTCGCCCGCCAATTCGGCCGCGAAACCGCCAACTACTTCTCCAGTACGCCCTCCCCCTTTACTCAACTCACAGCATATTAATCCAGGGCGAAAAAAAAAGGCTCCCCGCTCAACCGCCTCTCCTTCCTCCGCTCCGACCACCCCTTCCTCTCCGCCGCCCTCCAGCACCCCTCCACCCGCTTCGTCCTCCTCAAGGACCTCGCCCCACTTGTCCAGACCGCCGCCCCCGCCGACCCCTACTACGCGCGCTACGACGAGATCCAGCCCCTCGTCCCGGCCACGCTCTACGACCAATCCGAGGAGGATCTCCTCAAGGCATACGACTCGCGCAAGCCGGCCGCCGCGACGCCCATCTTCCTGGGATTGGATGAGACTGCCCCAAAAAGTGAGGGCGCGTTCGCGTGGAAGATCTACGCTGGGACGCCGTACTTCGCGCTGGATGTGACGGGGCCGCGCGGCGGGGAGGAGCAGCAGCAGCAGCAGCAGCAGTATAGACAAGTGGTGGAGGCGTTGGAGGCGAAGGGGTTGAGCTTCTTGCAGGCGCGCGTTGTCATGAGTTTTGCCGCTGATCAGGGTATGTCCTTCTCTCCTTTCTATTCCTTATCCCTTCCCCCGAGTCTGTGGGGTAAATGATTTTTTCGATGGAGGAAGGGAAGGCTGCTGATACACTCTCCACGAATGCAGCGGCGATCTACGCGCAGGCCCGGGCGCTGATCGACTGGAACACGCGCAACACGTTCTGCGGGACGTGCGGCCAGCGGACGATCGCGGTGCACTCGGGCACGAAGCGGGCGTGCCCGCCGACGGACGTGGCGCGGCTGGCGGAGGGCCTGCCGGCGGAGCGGCCGGCGTGCAGCACGCGGACGACGATCTCGAACCTGAGCTTCCCGCGGACGGACCCGACGATCATCGTGGCGGTGATCTCGGCGGACGCGCAGCGGATCCTCCTGGGCCGGGGGAAGCGGTTCCCGCCGCACTGGTACTCGACGCTGGCCGGGTTCATCGAGCCGGCCGAGTCGGTCGAGGACGCGGTGCGCCGCGAGGTCTGGGAGGAGGCCGGCGTCACGCTGTCGCGCGTCATCATCCACTCCTCCCAGCCCTGGCCCTACCCGGCCAACCTGATGATCGGCGCCATCGCCCAGGTCAGCGACGCCGCGCACGAGGCCATCAACCTCGAGCATGACCCCGAGCTCGAGGATGCCCGGTGGTTCGACATCGCCGAGGTCGAGGAGGCGCTGCGCAATGGCGTCAGTGCGCTCGGCGATGCGCCGGGCCCCGAGTATAAGGAGGGCGCGCTGCGGTTGCCCCCGCCCACGGCCATTGCCAACCAACTGATTCGGGCGGCGATTAGTATAGACCTCCTCGGCGGGGAGAAGAACTCGAAGATTTAGATAGATTAGACACGGCTTAGATTCTTGGTTGTGCTTTGTGTTGGGTTTTCCTGGAAAAAAAGCGAAATGTTGTTCACGGTTATATACAAGTACATGGTTACCAACACCTCACATAATCCACACAAGTTCGAGTGATGTGGTCTATGGCATCTGTGCGTCCATTCAAAGCTCAAAAGCCATCGCTATCAGCTGCCTGACTCAGACTTCCTCACTGGCCCTATAGAACGCTTTAGTCAAAGGTGTAACTTCAGAGATTGGCGTACACAGTACCATCGCGGAGTTCGTGGATACTATCACGGCTCGTCGGCGAGCCCACCTCGGCGTACCGCCGGCCATCCCGCAGCTCGTGGATCGTGATGCGACGGTGCGATTTGCGCCGCCGCGAGCCCCCGGCCCCCCGGTTTGAGGTCGACGAGGCTTCACGCATCTCGCCGCCGCCGCCGCCGCCGCCACCCGCCGAGTTCACGCTCCCCGTGTCGCTCAGCCCGGCCACGCTGTGCGGCGTGGCCTCGCGGCTGTCGCGTTCGATCGACGCCTGCAGCTGGTGGTCGGCGACCATCGCCATCCCGGTCTCCTGGTACCACTGGCGCAGGTCCGTGGCGTGGGTCGCCTCCTCAGGGCCGTATTCGACCGGCGGGCCGGAGACCTGCGCGTCGGCGTCGGCGGCGGCGTCGGCCGCGGTGAACACGGCCCAGGCGCTCGTCTCCACGCTGGCGAGCATCATGGCGTGGTTGAAGCTCTTGACCTGGAAGTCGCGCAGGAGGACCGCGTCGCCTTCCGTCACGGACGGCAGGGCCGTCTTGTGGGGCCGGAAGATCTGCGCGAAGAGCATCGTGCCCGCCAAGGAAGGGTCGGTCAGCCCCAGGGTCAGGATGTAGTCCTTCTTGCCGGACGTAGCCCGGATCACGGGCCGCACCTCGGCGACAGTGGAGATCGTATCGACGAGCCCTCGGAAATGGTCGACGAGGGTGGCCAGCGGCGCGAAGTAGGACAGCTTGCTGCGCAGGCCCGGGTAGTTGCGATTCATGGCGACGATGCGAGAGACATCGCCCCCGACCAGCATCACCTCGTCCTCGCTGTGCGTGGCATGGACGTCGGGATCCTCACCCCCGTGGCCGCCTTCGTCCCGGTGGGTTTCTTTCTGCGACGGTGCAGAGGCGTAGCTCTCTGCCTCGGAGCCTTCGTCTACCGAGTGGAACTCCTCGCTTTCGACATCCTGCATGTCTGCATCTGCCTGTGTGGGCTCGGGAGTCGGTGGTATTTCGTTTGCAGCGGTAGCTACCGACGGAAGCTTATCCATGCCGATGAATTGCGAAGGTTCCGGAGTGATTAACTGGTGGTCGAGTTGGAGGCTCGGACTTTGGCGACTCAATTCAGCGGAGATAGGCAGGCTCTCCGAGGCACCATCAAGCGACAGGCCTGCATCCACTTGCTGCTGATCTGCCAGGGCTGTTTCATTATCCTCTGGTTGGATCCTTGCATCGACAAGACTGTGTTGCGAATCAATCAAAGGTATCGGTGCTGAGGATGTAGCCGACTCGAGGAGTGCAGGGTCAATTGGAAGATCGGTCGAATGCGTGAAAGGGCCAGCGCTGTGGTCGACATGTTCAAAACCAGGCCCTCTCGACGAGAAGAACTCCAGACTTTCATAGCCAGGACCGTGGATTAGTGTCGTCGTTTGAATTTCTTGAATGCCAGCGGGACTTTCTGGGTTGTGGACTGGTTCCATATCATGATCTGACACAGGCACAGACTCTGGTTCGTGGGCCATTTCTTGCATATGGTCAGCCGGATCTGCTTCCTCTGCGGTGCGCTTCTGAACGTATGCTTCCTCAAGCTGCACAGATTCAACCTCTTTGGCTTGTGTCTGCTCATCCTCAGACTCTTCGGCCTCGGTGTGTTGTCGCTTCACGCTTTCCTCGACAGGGCTTTCCCCTCTCGGTTGCTCGTGTTCATCGTCTGGTGATCCCTTTATCATTCCCCTGTCACTTGTATCTTCTGCTTCTGAATGTACATCCCCAAAGCCCTCATGCACTGGACGGTTGTCGCTTTCTCGTTCTTCTAGACCTCTTTCTGGCTCTTGTTCTTGTGCATGCCGTTCATCTTGGATCGTCCATTCGTCAACCTCGGATACAACATCTCCTTCAGCATCTTCGACCTCAGCATCGAAAGTATGGGGGACGTTTGTATCTTCATCCTCGTCTACCATTTCTTCCTCGTGCATGTCTTCCTCGTGCATATCTTCCTCATCTTCCATGTCTTCCTCATCGTAAATCTCTTCCTCATCTTCATCAACGACATCAGAGCCCGAAGCCTCATCATCGAATTGTCCGGATCGGTCAGAATCTGAGGCACTTGCATCTCTAGGCCTTGGATAAGCCCCAGCGTTCGGCTGTACAGGCGCAGGTTCATCTTCGCTGTCACTGTCTAAAACAATGATCTCCGGGGATTTCCTTTTCGGCTGGGGAGCCTCGGCCCTGAGATCCTCTGGATCTGATTCCGACTCAACATGGTCGTCATATTCTTCCTCGTCGTCATCGTCATCGTATCCATCCTCTTCGTCCAGTTCATCCTCATCTTCGTCAACGTCTTCCAAGTCACCTTCGTCGGACATGTCCTCCCCAAACTCTTCGGATTCCTCGTCGAAATCATGGTGGCTTCGGAGCCCCTCTGCGAAACCATGATCCGCCACAACTGATTCTGCTTCGTCGTCCGATGCCATATCAACGTCTGTCCTTGGCTCGCGGGTGGGCCTCGCATCGTCCGCCACATCTTGTTCATTGTCATCGGCCAAGTCCACTGATCGAGGCTCGGAGGCTTGGCTAGCAAGTTCGTCTTCGTGCTCCTCGATCTCCAATTCCTCTGCACTCGCATTCTCAGCTTCAGAATATTCTTCTTCATCTTGGGGCATATGACGAGGTTCTTCTTTGCGGTCGTCTGTCTCAGCTTCAGAATATTCATCTTCATTTTGGAGGATATTACGAGGTTCTTCTTTGCGGTCGTCTGTCTCACCTTCAGAATATTCATCTTCATCTTGGGGGATATGACGGGATTTTTCTTTGTGATCGTCAGCCTCGCCATGGAATGTCTCATGTTCCATTTCCGTCACAGTCCATTCAGTTGGCAATGAGTCTGCATCCACCATTTCCAAGTCCGCATCTCTCTCCGGCGACGGAGCTTCACCAGCAAGGGCAGGTGTTGATACATTCTCTTCCACGCTCACCGCTTCCTCCACGATTGAAAGGCCCGAGTCTTCCTTGAGAAGCTCAGAGTCAGGGGCTGACTCGGTGGCTTCATTGCTGGGAGTATCCGTGGCACCCACTGTTATTGGCCCTTGAGCTTGATGTTCGATAAACTTAATCTCTGCACCAAACCCAGCCTCACTTTCTGCGTGCGAAGATTCCCAGGTTGGGTCTGACTTCGGTGCAGCGAGCTGGAACGGATCAGACGTGGCTGGCTCAGACGTAATCGCAACCGAGCCAAAGTATCCCAGCGGGCTGTTTGACGAGCTAACCAGTGGAGAGGGAATGGGCAGACCCGGAGAAGGAATCGGATTCAACCGCGGAGTGTCTGTGGGAAGGTGGCCAGCAAGGTCTGAGATAGTCCTATGCATATGACGCGAGAACTCGAGCCGCTGAGAAAGATTCGGAAGAAGGAAGTGCGCGTCCGGCTTCGGTTGGACCTTTTCCGGGGTACTATCCTCACGAGCCTCGGGCGTCTCCGACGTTCGGTCTACATCTGGAACTGCACTTGTAGGCTCTTCTTGGACCGTAGGGACGGAGGGCAGCTGATCGGCCCCGCCAATCTGAGGCGGCACGGGTGCCGTAGGGACTTCCGGAGAGCCACCCGCTTCCTCAGCGGCCTCTTCCAACTCCGCCGCCGCTTCATTGAGCCAGGCCTCGTCATCGAACATAGCCGTCCAGTCCCCCGGTATTTCCAAGTCCTCGGGACTGGCTGGTTCGTCCACCAGACGCCAGTCATTGCGTAGACTGAACCGCGTCCGTTTCCTCCCCTTCCCCGGAACGAATCCATCATCCTCCGCGAAGGGATCAAAGGCCGGATGCAAAGTCGAGCCAGCTATATACCCTCCGCTAGACGTTCTTGATGGTCCCAGGAAAGCGGGCGATTGCCAGGTCGCCGAGTCGAGGCCGCGGGGGAAGGCACTGCCTCTCGGGTCCGGGGTAGTCGGTGTGGGCGTGGTACTGTCGGCAGCGGGCAGGGGAGACGAGGGAGGATCGATCTGGACGGTGGAAAGATGTTGATCGGAGCGCCATACCTAGAGCGCAATGAGCCACCACCCGTTAGGTTCACTTTCGGTTCTCCGTGGTTTCACTCACCTCGACCAGAACCGTAGTCTCGAAATGCACATCCCAGGCGACGCTCTTGCCCGGGGTGAGAACTTTCGGGTCATTGTCGGTTAGCCTGGATCCGTGCAGGCTGAGATACACATTGTCGCCGATCCCAACGTGCGACTTGGCGACCTCTTCCGCGACGGGTCCGTGGAAGACGACCCTCACTTGGCCGCCAGACCGCCGGAGCCGAAAGTCGGGCTCCGCCAGAAGCAAGCTGATCGACCGCGTGGACGACGAATACGGCCATAGCAGAGCCACGACCCCGCGCACGGAGTTGTGGGGTAGATTGTCGAGCGACGGGGAGAGCTGCGCAATGGGGACCGGGGTCGATCGAAGGAGCTCGGAGACCGGAGCTTGTTGTTTATCGTGGGCGTCCATCGCTGTGGCCGCTTAGTGGTCATGCGCGTTCCACATTGCCTGAGTCATAGGTACTGGCTGTCCTGAGGTAAGATAGCCGCTCAGGTGAAGAGGTTGCGCAATCGTTGACCAGGGCTGGGACACAAAAAAATAAGATCTTGCTTGGATGGCAGCACGCGCGGGAAAGCGAAAGGCTGCGGAGGAGGAGAAGGAGGAGAAGGAGGTTGTTGCGTCACAAAACCCGGCGTATTGGAGCTGTAATGTTACGGGCTTGTCTTTGTTGTTGCCGCAGCCCACCGCAGAGTGGAGTCGGTAATGGTTTGTCAACCCCATTGCAACATTGTGCCACGCTCTCCCACATGTGATGGAGCTGGATTGAACTGGAAAGAAAAACATGATGGAAGTTTCCATGCTTGACGATCCCTGTCAACTTCGACAAAATCCTTCCTGCATGTCGAAGTATAGGGTCGAACATCCCGAACAATTACTTGATCAGCCCATTCCCGATGACGGAGCACGAAATTCCCCGCCACAATGTAGTCATCGGCCACTGGAAACCACCGTGAACTACAAAGTACAGACTATAACTCCCCTTATCTCCTGCGTCGACAGATCGTCTCATCGTGGCCATTCACCCAACAATGACACGATCAGGACGGATCAGTCGAATCGCCGTCATCGGCGCAGGCCCCTCTGGTCTCGCTGCAGTCAAGTAAGTATTGACCCCCCGACCTCCGGACTCAACCGCTCATCAATCGCCCAGGTACTTGCTTGCGGAGCAATACTTCGAGAAAATCGATGTCTTCGAGCAGAGAGCCACGGCCGGTGGCGTCTGGAATTACACTCCAGGCCCTCTGAAGGACAATCTCACAAGCACCGTCCCCCAAACTGACCCCCACCAGCCTCCGGAAGGGCCAATCTGGCACACAACAGAGGGGCGGCAGGAGCCTACTTTCATCTCCCCCATCTACGAAGCACTGGAAACCAACCTCCCCAAGGAGATCATGCGGTACAGCGACAAATACTTCGACGCGAAGACGCAAGTCATGCCTACGCATGCCGCCGTGAAGGATTATCTGCATGACTATGCGGCAGAGATCCGCGGTCTGATCCAATTCGAGACCCAGGTCTCGGACGTCCGGAAAGACGTCCTTGGCGCAGGGAGCTGGTCGGTCACCACGAAGAATCTGCGCACGGGAGACGCAAGAACCGACGCGTACGATGCCGTGGTGGTTGCTAGCGGCCACTACGATCTCCCGTTCACGCCCGACATCGCGGGCATCACGCAGTGGAACGAGGCATATCCCGGCGTCATCTTACACTCCAAGCTGTATGACTCTGCCGAGCAATTCCGGGACAAGAAGGTCATTGTGGTGGGCAGCTCGGCGTCGGGACTGGATATCGGTAACCAGATCAACCCCGTGAGCAGGGGCAAGGTCATCGTGTCCGAGAGAAACCAGACGCTGCTTGCTTCCTCCGCGGGGGACACCAGCAAGGTGTATCGGCCGCAGATCGTGGAATTCCTCCCGCCTGACTCCCACAGCAGAGCCGTTCGCTTTGAGGACGGTCACGTTGAGGCGGATATCGACGCTATCGTGTTCTGCACCGGGTACCTGTACACATATCCGTTCTTGTCGGCGCTAGACCCGCTGATCATCACCAACGGCCGGCGGGTGGTGAACACATATCAGCATCTCTTCTACATCCCCGACCCCACCTTGGTGCTCAGTGCCCTTCCGCAGCGCATCGTTCCATTCCCGTTGTCGGAGAACCAGGCGGCCGTTTTTGCGCGGGTGTTCTCGGGACGCCTGAGTCTTCCCTCGAAAGATGCAATGGAAGAGTGGGAACAGTCGACTGTTCGTGAGAAAGGCGAAGGGACGCCCTTTCACCTTCTTCCCTTTCCGCAGGATGCGGACTTTATAAATTTCTTGCATGACTGGGCGGCAGAAGCCGAGTCCCGACGGGGACTCGATAATGGAGGCAACGGCAAACAGTGCAATTACTGGGGAGAAAGGGAGAGGTGGATTCGCGGGCAGATCGCGGAGATCAAACGCACGTTTGGACAGAAAGGTGCTGAGCGTGGGTTGGTCAAATCTCTCGCACAGCTCGGGTTCGATTTTGATAGATGGAAACAGGAGCAGGAGAGCTCGGCTGGTGCATCTCGTCTTTAAAACTCAGCAAGCCTAGATATCCGCTATTTAGAAGTTCATGAAACCTAGACAAGCATTGCTACGCGGAACACGAATACGACTTCTTTGCAAAACATCGCTATGATTGGCCTCACGAAGAGTGAATAACAAATGAGATTCCCCTCCAATTCGCCGTAAACCTACTCCGAACTTCTGACGAAATACCATCAACCTTGAAACCTATAGTTCTGGCTCAAACAGAGCAGCTTCCTCATCCCACCACTTGCTGAAAGTGACTAGTCTCTCAGTCCGTTCCTTGGCCATCTTCAACCCAACGTCCGTCTGGAGATCGAGTCAGCCTACTTACTGGCCAAAGAATCGCGCCATGAAGCCCTCCCCCCAAAAGAAAAAAAAGAAAGAACGTACCTTCATCATCCCCTCCAACTTCACCAACTTCTCATCAACATGATCCCGCGACCTCTGCATACTCGCATCCGGCACCTTCGCGGCCCCGTACGTAAACATCCGGCCCACGCCAATCGCGCCCAGGGCATCCAACCGGTCCGCGTCCTGCACGACCGCCAGATCCGGATAATCCTCCAGGACCTCCATCACCTTCGCGGGGTCCTTGACCTCCGTGGAGTACGAGACATGGTTGACGACCTGCTCGACGTGCTCGATCTCGTCCTCGGAGATGCCGGCCTTTCGAAGCACCACAGCGACCTTGGACACCTGCTCCCCGGCGGCAGACGGGGGAGGGGCGTATTTCTTGTCGTTGACGTCGTGGAGCAGGCTGCGGCACGCGTGAGACCTGGTGGATTTGGGGGTGGGAGGGAGAGGGGGGAAGGACTTACGCGCTCAGAAGAATGAGGTCGGGCCGGTACCATTCGTGCCGCTCGGACTCGGCCTCGAACTCGGCGGCGAGGATCTTCGAGGATAGCGCTACGACGCGGAGGACGTGTTGGAAGTCGTGCGAGGCGTCGTACTGGCTCATGTGCTGCTGGACCGCTTCGGCGACGGACTCGAAGACCGCGTCCTCTTCCACGAGGTACCGTCCGTAGTTGGACTGGCGGGCGGCCTGCAGGATCTGGCGGAAGGTGTCCATGGTGTTTTTGGTGGACTGGACTGTGCTGTACTTGGAAGTGTGCAGATTGGTGCTGTGGGTAAGGTTAGAGTTGCAGGGCTTGTGATCGAGGTTTCTTGGGGGGAGGTACTCACAGACAGTATTCTAAAGAATTATGGAGATATTTTCAATGGTTGCGTACAGATTGGCTTGAAAATCTGTGTTGTTGCGGGTTCTTTTTTGTATTTTTTATTTTCGTTTTCTTTCCCCTTGATAACTTCGAACCGATTTCTCCGGATTTCTGGATGGGATCTTATCGGCGGCCTTGGTTAAAGAGGTTTAGCCGGTCCCTGCCTCAGGCTCCCAAGAGGGGCTGCCTGCCTGCAAGGACTTCTAACTTACTCTCCCTAGTAAGATCGGGGTGGTTCCAATCCCATGCGAAAGCCAATTCTAACTACGAGCCTTAGAACTACGATTCGACCAAGGTTTCTTAAGATTGTTGGCTTATTATGCTCTTGGTCGGCCTCGATGAGCTTAGGGCTAAGGGTCCATTCACCTTCGTTGTAATCTAGTCCGTACTGCCCATTTCATGGAGCTCCTCATCAAGGCTCATGCAGGAGCTGCTCGGGTGAGTCAGGGTCCTATTACTGTGGGCCTCAAAGCTTGAATTGCTGACAACCTGATATACACCACATCGTAACTCGTAACTCGTAACAATGGGACTTACGGTAAGGCTGCTGCTACGACATGAAACATCTCTTTGTCTCTGGGGTGGCCGATACCACACGGCTGATAAGAGACGATCATGGTTCAGGTGAGGACGACTGATGCCTTGCGCTCTCAAGTTCAAACATCAGATAGATTTTCATATGCTCACTACGAATGTGTTGCTGTATCTGCCAAGGTGGGAAGATGCCCGCCTTCAATTCTCTGTGTAAGCCCCTCTGTTACCGAGTCAGCGCAGGTAAGCAACCTATGAACAAACCGACGCAGATGATCGAAGAACCTTCTGAGCGATTCCAATCTTGTAAGACCCTGCTTAGCCCCGCTGACGGAGGTTGACTCTGCGCTTCCCTTCGTCCTTAGCCCTAAATGACTGCCTATCTATCTATACCCGAGGAGCATCACCGGCCGTTCCGCGGGCATCCCTGTCTTGTCAACCGTCAATTCCAACGGGGGAGCGCAGAACCTTGTGAAACCAGCGCAAGACTAACAGAAGCTAGGACACAGGCTACTCCACAGCTTCAAGAAAGAAATCCACCCCGAACCACCTATGCTTAATCTGTAGCAACCCCGGCGCCTTCTCTCCAAGCTCCGGACGACCGACTGATAAGGACTATCACGTGCCGGGGATCACCCACGTTGTTCCCGCCGACCTCCTCATCCACCACCACTTACTTTCATTCACTTCCAGCCCGCCTACAGCTCCCCTTACAGACTCCTCCCCCCACCCCAGAGCGCAGGCTTCTCATTGCAATTTCTGTCGCTCCTTCGGACTTAATCTCGCCTGGACTATCTCCGCCGCACTCCCCTTTTCATCACCCAGCGTTCTATTGTTCCACTGTCACACCACCATGGATTATCCCACCTCGGCCATGCTTCCAGTCCGCGCATAATGTGGCGCAAGCGCAAACTGTCCCCTCACCACGACAACAACCACACCACTTTTTCACGGAAAAAACGCTGGAAAGAGAACTATACTATCGAGTCGAGCGACGACTCCGACAACTCCGACCACGAGAGCAATACCCTGGACGACGACGAATACTATATCAACTGTATACTCGACGAGACGGAGTCTCAATACCTGATTGACTGGGAAGGACCTTGGGAGCCCACTTGGGTAAATCTACACGATCTCTTTGTGATAGGTCTCTGTTCTAATTGCTCGGTTTTGTGGTCAGGAACCAAAGGAGCACGCCAGCGCACTTGCTGTTGAGACCTGGGAAAGGAACAAGGACAAGAAGAAGCAGGAGAGTTGCGCTCAGAGTGAATACCCACAACCGAGTAATACTCCACCGACGCAGTGGTCTTCCTCCCGCTCACAGACGCACAGCGTGGAGCAGCTGGTTACCGACCCTGTTGTCTCTGAATCCTCTCCGGAGCACACAAACAACGACCCCGGTTCGCCTTTGTTTGTCCCCTGCGACGGTACACCGGACTTGCAGGTTGCGGAGGCGTACGGCTCGGCTTCAACAAGCCCATCGAATACACATTGTTCGGCACAACGCGAGAACAGTCTGCGAGCTTCATTACACGACCGCCAGTTGCAGGTCTTCCAAGAAGTGCCCGCAACACCTATCCCCGCTGAATTCCGCTTGCCCGGCGAGTCCCCAGACGCTCGATCCGTAGAATATCTGCCAACGGTAACCCCTGCCGCCAACTGCCAGACGTGGGAAAGCGTGAGTGTTGTGAGTACTGTCCCGCGCGAGGGACTCTATCTGAGCACAGTCTGCTCTTCTGGGTCTCAGCGGCCGGTAAGTCGGGTAGCAGGTAACCACGCGAGCGCCTTGGATGAATTACCGGAGACGCCATTGGGACCATTCAGTAACTCCGAGAGTCAAACGGTGCGTCCGGCTCCCACATATAATAGCGCAAGCGCGCAGTACGCAACAAACTCGGCCAAGAGCCCTCCAAGCGCAAGTACGCCGGTCTCGCAGCAGTTTTCATCACTTCATTACTTATCGCAGGGTGATAACCATGAGTCCCCTCTATTCAATACTGGCTAACCGTTGCACAGGTAGCACTAGCGCTGGTCGCGTAATTTCCCTACCAGAGCCCGTAACTGCGCGTGTTTCGCAAGTTACGAAGGTCTTTCTCACTAGTAAGCCAAGCTGCAGAATCGCCTCTGTGACAGAACGGAAATCATCTGTGCAGATGGAAGGTCAGGACAAAAAAGGCATGTCTCTAGCGGAGACGATGGAGAAATACAGCCAGTTTGAAGGGAGCACTCCGCGGGAGAAGCTCAGGAATGCATATGCCCAGCTGCGAGCGCAGAGTACGGTACCACCGGAGCCAAGCGCCACGCCATCTTCGGTGGGTGAGGCTGGCGACATCGAACCATCGCCCGTGGCTTTGCCCGAAACCGCCGCCCCACTCAGCGTGAGGATCGACAAACCCTCAGCCATTCATCCTGAACATCATTCTCCCGTAGAACCCCCGCCTGTCATCCCCTCGCCCCCCCTGGAACCTGCACACATGGACCCCACGCAGCTTCACGATATACAACACGATATGCAACACGATGTACAAACTATTCAGCCACATGCATTGTCAGTCGACCATTCCGAGGAGTCGATTCCAGGATCTGTTCTGCTTGGTCCATCGGAGTTTGCCATCTCGCTCCCTATGGACTCGAGGGTCAAGGATGATTACGAGCGAGTCCTTACGGACGAGAGTGATTCCATCCAGGAATTCATCAATGGCACCAGCACACAAGCAGACCAGGTACTATGAAGCAGCCCCTCCCCGAGCCTGGTAGAAACTGACTATCACACAGCCCGTGCGTCTACTGCCAAAAATAAGAGAGGTGTTAGAGTGTCTGAGTAATGTCGCCACCCATCCCGACTTGAACGTCGCAAAACATCTCAACGACTCGCAAGCGGACCTGCGGCAAGAGGCTTCCTGGGCGGAGTACTCGAGTGCCAAGTTCTTGCTTCTCTCCTATCTCGTGGGGTCTACATGTGATCGTGATATACACTTGGTCATCATGGTGAATGGCGAAAAGACCCAGAACGTGGTCGAGCGGTTCCTGCTCGGCAAAGGCCTCGCTTACACCCGCCCGCGCGAGGAGATGGGCCCTGGCACGAATGTGGAAGTGTCTCTGGCCAAGGGCCCGCTGAGCTTTGGGGTCCAGTCAACCCGCAATGACGGCATCGTGGAGACCTACAAAGCCCCGTCTGCAATCATCGCCCTGGACGCATCGTTTGACACCAAGATCCCCTCGGTTGAACACATGCGGACCACATTTGCTCGCCACGGGCATCTGCTTCCCGTCGTCCGCCTCATCGTGTCCAATTCCAGCGAACATATCGCGCTTTGCTTCTCCAATTTGCCCGAGCTCCCACGTGTGCGTCTGGTGTTGCAATACACTACGCGTCTGAAGAACGCGGTTGGCGACCTCCAGGACGATGCGCTTGGGGTATCTGAAGACGCAGAAGAGCTTGTCTCGTATCTGTTGTCGGACAACTTCAACGCGCACTGGTCGCTACCGCACATTGAGCCTCTGCACATTGTGGATCTGGAAGCACTCCAACCCGTTCCCGAGGAGCCACCCAGCCGACCGGATGTTGAGAATTTCCCCATGGCTACGCCTCTCCTGCAGAAACGAGCATTCGTAAGTTCCCGTTCACCTGACCGCAATGTCCCGGGCCCTAAGACAGAAATCACACAGACGGAAGACTCCAGCGAGCAAACATCCAAGCGACCCAGGATGGAGGAACCGCGAGATGCCAGCCAGCTCACCGAGTCGACCGAATTCCCCAGCCAGACCCTCGACGGCGAGCTCCGATCCCTGGAGAGCAACCTCGTTCAGTTCCGCAGTTCGCACGCGAACGAAGTCCAAATACTGCAAAAGACGCTCGCTGAAACCCAGGCCCGCCTGCAAGAACGAGACCATGTCCTCCAGCAACTGCAGCACCGCTATGAGACGCGCACCCGGGACCTCCACAAGCTCCGCCGCGAGAGGGACAAGCTGGCCGAAGCCAAGACCCTGGCCGAGCAGCGCAGCGAGAAGAGCAAAGAGGAGCTGAGCAAGCTCAAAGACGAGCGCACGCAGCTGCGGCACGAACTTGAGCAGGCGCGCGCGGCCCTGAAAAGCGACGCCGGCAGCATGACCGCGGAGCTGGAGACGGCTCGCGAGGAGATCCGCCGCCTGACCAAGGAGAACAGCGGGCTGGAGCGCAAGGCGGACTACGAGGCCAAGCAGACCGAGTACACGCGCGAGCAGTACCAGACCGCCTCGAACGTCGCGGCGCAGTCCAGCAACGAGAACCGCCAGCTGCGCGACGAGAACGAGACCCTCAAGCGCAAAGTGGCCGGCGACGCCAGCCGGCTCCGCGAGCTCAACCTCCAGCACGACGAGGCCCGCCACCTGGCCCGCACCCTGGAGCTGGAGGCCGCGCTCGCCTCGCGCGAGGATCTCCTCCGCCGGAAGGAGGAGGAGCTGCGCGAGATCCGCAAGAACCGGCCCTCGACCCGCTCGACCAGCACCCAGCCGCGTAGCCCAAAATGGACGGCCAGCCGGCCCACCAGCCCGGGCATCAACAACCACAGCGGTAATGGATCGTCGTCGCTAAACACGCGGAGCAGTGCGCTACGCTTCAGCTCGGAGATGACCTTTTAGCTGGGCGCTGGGCGAATGCATGCATGCATGCATGCACCACTACTAAATCAACCCTCATCCGGTTGGTTTCCACGAGGGACTTGGAAGCTTTTTCCCCTTCCTTCCTCATACACACCGCCAACCTCCCCCCTCAAATCCAACCCTGCATGCATGCATGCAAGATGCACCACCACCACCACCTCACCTCACCCCGCCCCTCCCTCCCTCTCCCTCTTGACCGATACCTTCGTTCTTCCTTGATTCTTCTTGTTCTTCTGCCCGCCTCATAGCGACCACACCCTTGCATACCTAGCCCCCGATTTTCATACAAGTCCAGTCCCCCGCCAGCTCAATTCCAAATCCCCCCAAACCAAGCATAAGCATCCCGCCCCTTCAATCCCACCCCCCTCCTACTCAACCCTATCCATCACACCACACCACCTCACCTCACCTCACCTCACCTCACCTCACCTCACCTCACCTCACCTCACCTCACCTCACCTCACCTCACCTCACCTACACCACACCACACCACACCAGCCCGCTCCCCACCGCCCAACGAGCCCCTCCAGGTTCAGACCAGAAATAGAGCCAAATCCAGAACGAGGACAATGTACGCACCCCATCTATCTAGCTATCTATCTATCTATCCAACCTACCGTCCAACCGCCTCCCAAACCTAGTTGCCGATCGAGTCGCGTACCAATGAATTGAGATTCAGATTCCCATTCCGATTCGGATTCCGATTTGGGTTGTTGGTGTTTTTGTGGTCCGTCGGAGTAGAAGGACTGCCGCTGTAGATCCTAGAGACCCGGGACATAGATCTTCATGTCCACAACCGAGGGCAGTCAGAAAATGGAACGGCTAAGCTGGGCTAAACTGGGCTGTGGTTGGTGGAGGGGAAAGGGCGTGAATTAGCCTTGTACTGGACCTAGAGGGGAAGGTGGGAAAGGCCGGGAGGTAGGAGACAAGAGATAGGAGGAGGCGAAGGAGGAGGAGGAGGAGGATGGGAGGTACCGAGTAGTTCGGACTGCTCGCTCTACTGTCTTCTTGCGCAGCCCATACACATAGAAGGCGATGAGGCGATCTTAAGTATGGCATATGACCAAAACGAAACTAATCCAAAATAGTACGTCGGTCGAGACCGAACCTCGTATGCTGCCAGGTACTTCAATGTCATGAAGGACAACCCTATACACTCTATGGATTCGAAGGGGGGACGAACAAGAATAGGTAAGATCATGTACTTCCATTAGGGACTAGCCAATACAAAATCGTAACTAACAAAGCATATCAGGACTATCTAGGGTAACAAACAGCAAGAGGTATTTATTATTTGCAAAACAATGCAAGCATCCAGTCATTCTAGTTCGCCAAAGCTTCGCCAATGAAGTTGGATAGCTCCTTGGCCTTCGTGCCCAGGGTCATGGTGAAGTGATTCGCTTCTTCCATGATCGTGATGCCGCCGACGTTGTTCGGCCCCACGAGCGTGTCCCACTTGTTGGGGCCGAGGTCGGTACGGTTGTTCAAGAGCCAAATCATCTCCCGCGGATCAGGACTGCCGTCGGCAGCGGGCTCCGGACGTGGATCATTGGGTTTGTTACAGACGCCATCCTTAGCCCAGATAAGGAAGACCTTGGGCATCTTGCTGGCCCATTTAGGATCATCGAAGGGGAGCGGTGCCGCGCGATACGCATCCAGGGAATCGATGAACGCCAAGAAGTGAGGGAGGAGCCAGGCCGGAGGCGCGGATCTGCCTTCGCCAAAGAATCCGATCGAATCAAAGAACCGATACAGCCGTGGCGGAAGCTTCTCCAGTCCAATGGGGAAGGGGGAATCGAGAAGGAGGAGACGGTCAACTCGTTCGCCTTCTTCGAGAATCAGGTAGCGAGCAGCATCGTAGGCGCAAATACCGCCAGCCGACCAACCGCCAAAGTTGTAAGGGCCCTTGGGCTGTCTGCGCCGGACTTCGGCAAGATAAGGGAATGTAAGCTCTTGAAGAGGGAACTTCAAGTTCTCTGGCGTCTTCATGTAGGGGCAGTTGAGCCCGTAGACACAGACGTCGGGACCAACCCGCGGAATCGTTGCGTAAGATGTGGCCGAGCCGGAGCCATCAGGGAATAGGAACAGTGACTGCGTAGCAGTCTTGGGATTTCCCTGCAGGACAATCGAGGTTGCCGGGGGGTGTTGAGCAGCACGTACACTGATGTTCGACTTCATCGTCGGCAAAACCTCCGGAAGTCTTATAGGCTCCGGGATCGGTGCGGCCTTGGGCTTCAGGTCGAGAGCAGTCTCGACCTCCTCGAGGGTTTGATGCTCGATAAAGAACTCGCCTGGGAGATCCATGTCCAGTGTTTCACGGATCCTACCCAGGACATTGAGGGAGAGAAGAGAATCCATTCCCATCTCACCCAAATTCTCGTCTGCCTTGAGCTCATCCGCAGTCACACCGATTTCATCCGCGATGATCGCACGGATCTCCTTCATTGTAGCATGCTGGTCGACTTCGATCACCATCTCCTTCTCGTTTGGAGGAGAGGCAACTACCGGGGAGCTAAGACCCGACTCGTCCGAACCATCGTTGAAGGAGAAGCTCGACTCTGGATCACTGGTTGACCCGTCGCTGCTTTCCGAAGGGCTGATCTGAGCTATCAATCGCTTGAAGTCCTTGACGGTCGGCTGGTCGATGAAGACCGATGAGTCCAGATCAATGTTCAGCTCTTCACGGTACCGTCCGGTGATGTTCAGAGATAGCAAAGAGTCCACTCCATAATCGGCGAAGACCAAATCGTCCGAGATCTCCGACTCGGACAGGCCTACTTCAGCTGCAAGTATGCTGAGTGCCCGTACGATAACACTGGGTCCACTTGACTTCAGGAGTGATTTCGTGGGTGTCGGAGCTTTAGCACGGGTCTTGCTACCTGCAGCAGGCACGGGCTTCTGAATCACACTTGCAGTAGGACGAACGGGGGCGGAGGCCTTCGCAGCTCCGGCGGGCGGAAGCACAGTGTCGAGAATCTTACGAGGCAAGGCTTGGAACTGTTTGGAGTCGGATTAGCTTCCTGCAAATGTGGCGGCAGATCAATGGGGCTTACTTGAACAGATCCATAAACAGCGATGATTTCGTCGCCCTCGAAGACGTAGACATCACCAGCCCATATAGAGTTCTGCCAGGGCTGCATTCTGACGTAGGTCCTGTACGTGGCGTCTTTGGAGAACTTCTTCAGACAGCGCATCGAGTCCCAGCCATGGTTCACAAAAACTTGCGACTTGGAGTCTGTGCCGTCACTGGCGTTCATTATAAAACCCGACAAGTGCCCAAAACTGTCGATCCAGAACGGATTTCTGTGGAAGTCTCCCGCCGGAGCTTCAAACTTGACTCTTGCAGTGGCTTCGTGATTGTCGCTATCGAGAATGACTTCGCGGATCGATTTGAAGTTGTCGTCGTAGTCAACCAAAGTAGCGAAGAGCTTGTACACCATGCCCCTCTGGAGCCTATGCGCTTCTCCGTTCTCTGCGATTTCTTGCAGGCGATCAATGCTCCTCTTGATAAGGTAGGACATGCGCTTCCACTCTTTCTCTGTAGCAGCGCAATCAAAAAACTTCACTGTGCATGTTGCATGTTCAGCAGTCTTCTTTCCTTCAGGGGTGACCGAGTAAATCTGGATTGCCACACGTTGCTGTGCCCAGGTAGCAGTTGCAGAAATTCTGAAAAGCTGCTGGCCACCTTTCGCTATAAGTGTCTTGGGAACAGACACGTCGGCCACATCAAGCCCCACGTCCTTGAACTCCGGCTTATACTTGTTGATCAAGTACTCTGCAAGCGTTTGAGCAATGTCGGCATAGAGAGACTTTATCAGTGGTTAGCGCGGCTGTGAAAGCACAGGATTCCAAACATAACGAGCACTTACCGATGGGCAGAGATTGGCACCGTTCACTTTGTGTCCTTGAATAACGCGTCGGAGCTCCGGATGGTCAAGGTCATTTTCAACAACCACAGTGGATGTGTCCCCCTCATCTGTAGTTTCAACGACCTTTTGAGCTGCACTGGTGAGATACTCGTACTTTGGCACGGCCTCGATGGCTGCCACAGGCGCTCCCTTAGACAGACAGAAGTTATTGGTGTACGGGATCCAATAATTCTTAAGGTCCCAGTTGTAGGCAGGGAGACGCAGTACTTTATGGGAGGAGCTGAAGTCCTGGTGGTACTGCTTCCAGTTTAGATCAATACCCGCCAAGTGCAGTGATGACATGCTGTTTGAAAGAACCTTCCATGTGTCCTCCTCTCGTCGAAGAGAGGCAATGGTGGTCACTTGGGGGCCCAGTGTTGCCTTGATCATTCCCGAGCAAATGGTGTGAGAACCGAGTTCAACCCACAGCGTCTTGTCATCGGCCAATTTCGCGTGCCTAATGGCTTCGAGAGCGCCAAGAAAGTTGACTGTGCCCCGACAATGGTCCTTGAGGTATTTAGCTCCGAGAACATGAGCATTGGCCTCTGTGATGACTTCGCCAAGCAGGGCCGAGACGAATGGAGTTGTCGGTTTGTGGAATGTGACGCCCTGCGCAATAGCCTCGAATGTGTCCAATATAGGGTCAACCTGCGGGGAGTGGAACGCGTACGGGACCCGTAGCTTCGTTGCCTTGACGTTCTCGGTTGAGCATTTCTGAGCCAAGCCCTCGATGTCCGAGGCAAGGCCACTGATGACAGTCTCGGCCGGAGCATTGACACAGGCGATCGTGTGAACATCATCCTTGAGGAAGTGCTTGATCTCGGCAAGTGAAGCCCTAATTGCCAGCATGGAGTGGGTTCCAACCTCGCATTTCTCGGTCAGCAATTGAGCGCGGCGTCCACATAGGTAGATTGCGTCACTTGTTGACAGGATGCCAGCAGCGTTCAGGGCAGCATAGTCTCCAAGACTGTGGCCAAGAACGAAAGCCGGTCTGACGCCCAAAGAACTCCAGTAGCTGACCAGGGCCATCTGGACGCAGCATGTACCAACCTGCACAACCACTGGGCTCAATTCTTCGACAGGAGTAGTACCATCGACAAGAGATAGAATCGAGGGCAAGCCTTGACTCTGTGCAATGCAATCAAAATGCTCAATTGTGTCCCGGAATGGAGAGCAAGTATTGTATAGCTCTTTGCCCATTCCGGTGTATTGAGCTCCTTGACCGGTGAAGACAAAGCCAATGCCCGGAGTCTTGGCTGGGACAGCTGTAAATGTGTCGCGCTGAGCGGCAGCATGCAAAGAGTCACGCAGACTCTGCAATGTCGAGCCAACAGCGGTGATTCTGAAGGGATGGTGAATCCTGCGAGCAGTGGTGGTGTAAGCCACGTTGGGAACGAACTCAGACTCTTTAACTCCGAATGAGTTGGCATAAGAGTCCAGGTACTTGATTAGAGAGTTGACGTTGTTCTTCAAAGCACTCTGGGACCGAGCCGAGACTGCAACAACATGAAATGATCGAGAGTCCTGACTAGTCGTCTCAGGGAGAGGCCCATCTTCGATCAGGAGGGCGGTGTTTCCACCAGCGGCAGAGAAATTATTAACAAAAGCGCGGCGCTTTCCAGAAGCTGGCCGGTTCCAGGGAGTGGGCTGGAATGCAATATGAACATTACGCTTCGCAAAATCAGTGGGGAAGTTGTGGTTGATCTTGTTCTTGATACCGCAGTGGGGTGGGATCTGGTTTTCTCTCATCATCATGAGCACCTTGACAAGTGCTGTTACCCCGGAAGCGGACTCTCCATGTCCAATATTGGATTTTGCAGAGCCCAGGTGAAGGGATTGAGTGGGGCCCCGGCGATAGTCAGGAGCAAAGACATCGAGAACAGACTGCATCTCAACCGCATCTCCTGCCTGTGTGCCTGTACCGTGCATTTCAATGTAGCTAACATCCTTCGGGTCGACATTCGCTTCGTTAAGCAGTTTGTTGAAGATGAATGCTTGTGCTCCCACGTGGGGGCGGGTGATCGAGACTGACTCGGCAGAGTGGTTGGTGTATGCCCCGTTAATGATGCCGATGATTGGGTCGTTATCTGCTACTGCATCCTCAAGTCGTTTCAGCACAATGGTACCAACACCATCGGCTCTGCAATACCCATCGGCGCCGTCGTCAAATGTGTTGCAGTTACCCCTAGTGGACAGGAAATGCCCACGATCCAGACCAGCGTGATTGTCCGGGTTGGTCAAGATATTGACACCACCCGCAATGGCGGCGTCACAATCGTTCCTCCAGATAGAATTGCAAGCCATATGAATAGCTGCAAGACTGGATGAGCACGCTGTATCGATGCTGACACTAGGACCACTGAATTTGAAGAAATAGTTGATCCGGCCAGGGGTGAAGGCACGATTGCCACCCGGGATGAAGTAGGTATCAATATCTTGACCACTGTTGATCTCACGATAGTCATCACTAGTCATTCCGTAGAAGATTCCGACACGGTCTCTCTGGGTTGATGGAGAACTATCGGGAATAAAACCAGCCATCTCAAGAGCTTCGTAGGCTGTCAGTAGAGCAAGGCGCTGAGCAGGGTCAGCCTGGAGGGCTTCTCTTGGCGACATGTTGAAGAACCGTGGGTCAAATAGTCCAGGTTCTTTGATCCAGCAACCGTACTGCACTTTGCTCGTGTTTCGTCTGGCGCCAGTCTCGTCATAATGCGCATCAACATCCCAACGATCAGCAGGAACCTTCCGGTGTACATCAAGGCCCTTCTGCAGAATTTCCCAGAACGCCTCCGGACTTTCGGAGTCGGGAAACCGACCCGACATACCAATGATGGCTATTTTGGAACATTCGGTCTTTCCGCTCAAATTTGGCTTGTCTGCGGATGTTGATACATCACCGATTCCGGTTTCGAGCGAGATATTGACGACTCCGGCCTTCTTGAAAGCAGTATGAAGGCTTTGGGTGGCACTAGTAGAGATAGGGATAAGCTGGCATGACTGCCTGTTTGCTGATTCAACGATCGAGATGCATGACTCAGTGACCTTATCCCAGCAGAGTCGACGCAAAAGGATTTCTTCAATCGCAACCTGCAGAACCTCCTTTATCTTGCTGGCCTCGACAGGTGTCCCAGTGTTGCTGGACAACACAGGAGTGTGTGTGGTATAATGTCCGAGACGTTCCTCAGGGAATGATTCTAGAATCCGATCCACGTCTCTGCTGTCGTATAAATGCGGAGCATGGTAAGGCCCGTGGATCAGCACTCTCGTGTGCTTGTAGTTTCCTGCAAGACCGTTCTCGATGAATGCGTCAAGGACAAGTGGTGGCGCGCTGATTGTGACTCCATTGGAGCTTACTGCGCTGATGTAAGGCCTTGACGACGGAGGGATCGCCTACAATGGTTAGTACTTCGGTGACGTTTAGATCCACTAGTCTTACCGTTTTGATGCTATGCTCTTCGATTAAAGTAGATGCGTTTTCCTCACTCAGTCCCGAGACCAAAACGGACCATGACGAGGAAGTTGCTTCAGAGTCGACAAGCTCTCGAACACGCAAGACACATAATCCGAGCCGCAGGGCAACTACAACTGCTTCGACTGCAGCGGGCAGGAGCTCTCCGACGTTTTTCGATGCACTCACAGCTGCACAGCTGAGAAGCCCTGTACACAATCCGACCAGCTGGCAGTCCTCTGACGGGTATGCATTTCCCAAGTCTCCATAGTAGCTTGAGGTATATTAGAGCGACTGCTGTGAGACTGGAAACAACCACACTTACTTGATAAAAGACCCCAGCTGATAAATACATGTGAAGGCGCTCTCGAGAACGGGGCTCGGTCCTGATTCACGGTATCTGGCGAGCAGATCTATGAGGCTTGTGCATCGGGGAAATAATTTGCGTTGGGCGGGTGGCAGCTTCGAGATCTCCTGACGTAGCGCGTAAAAGGTTTGTTGGAAGAAAGACTGAACGATGATATTGTTTTTGGCTTGGATAAGACGACGCAGACCTGCTTCGAAGTCGCTGGTCTGATCTCCAAAGAGATAAACGCGGTATGGGCCCTCCATCGTTAGGAGCGGCGTATTCTTCACCAACAGAATTTGGTTCTTGGGCCAGAAATCACCACACTTGTTGGCCCCATGTTGAAGGGCAGCAAGCTTTATACAGAGATAGATTTGCCCGACATCCCAGAGTGGGGGGAGCGTGTCTCATCTGCGGCATGTTCAGAACTGGTTAAGATGCATTCCCTGCGCATCTAGGGGGCTGACTTCTGAGCCTTGATGCCATCGCGTTGACCCCAGTGCGTAGCATTGCCACATATTCAGCAAATCATGAGGTCAGCAGCGAGTGACAGGATTGTTCTCGAATCCTGTATGGCACGCCTTTTGCCCCTCATGGTCAAGACCCTATCGCTGGATATCATTTGCAACTGAAGGAGCCGTAAGCGGATGCCACCGTTACTGTGGGTCGATTAGTATCCCTATCCGAGGGGGCTGGTGGGGACTCCATACTTCCAAGTATAGAGAATTCTAGACTTAGCAAATTGCCCTTGAAAGGAAATGTATGTGGCTCCGTGCACCAGCACACTTGCAGCATGATCGTCAAGGGGTGAGGTACCATTGTCTTAACCCCTGCTTCCACGGCTTCCATGGATGGTTAACCAGCGTAGGCAGCCAAGTATTCTGTGAAAAAGGCGATCGCATCGTGGCCATTGATGGATGGTTTTGCGCGGGGGATTGGAAAAGACAAAGAAAGAGTCTTGGAGGAAGCAAGTATGTTCCGACAGAGGAAAGTCGTTGAAGCCGTTTTTGGCGACGATCAACAGCCACCTCCACGAACCACACTCGCGGAGCTTGCATACAATCACGTGTCTATGCCTTCTTTCGATTGTTAGCACCATCACTACTACCTTCTCCTCCTGTCCGCTCCTCCCCTCTCCTCCCCTACTCCTCTTCCCTCCTTTCCTCCCCTCGCTTTACTTCCTCATGGAGCATGAGACACAAAATTCCACGGCACAGGCCGTAGGATTTCTGGCTTGGCGGAATCTGTGGAGCTTACCGGGAAACATGCCTAAAACCTGAGGGTGCGTGCCTTGACGGTGAGCTTACCAGCCTTGCTTTGTTGACACCGCCAGAAGATATGATCGATCGATGGACTGAATCAGAGGCGTGGAATGTCACTAGCAAGGCTTATTGATGTCATGACCAAAGCCAACCCTCGAATCATGATTACGATATCCAAAAGCCCGCCCGTCATGAGCTTGGCCCAGACAGCCACGATGAGACAACCCACAGAATGGATTGCTTGTCCTAGAGTAAGCAATCTCTGGGCTTTCGTGGTCATAATATGACGGTTCATATCAAGACGAACCTATGCTCAGCGTGTAAACCTTCCTCGATGAGTACGTGACATAGTCAGCAGCAGCTCATGGAAAATACCATTCTTGCTAACTGTGAGAAGGTATTCCAACCCTTAGGCACCCGAGTTTCTCCGCCCTTCAGTGGCCGGATAGGTTGGATTCGCCATTTCAGGATTCCTCATAAAGTCACTTTCCCGGGAAGCTGCTGGAATTGATATCCGAGGACTTATAGCTCAATTTGTGCTGGTTGCCAAGTGTGATGATCGTTGAACCACGAGGGAGAAGATGGGCAAGGAAGAGATTAGAAAGAGGTCAATCGACACCGGTAACTGCCACCTTCCTTTGTCCTGTCGACTTCTTTAGGCCTTCGCATCGGCCAAGGCGGCCGCGGTCGTCGTTTGTTAAAGGGGAATTCTGTTTTTGATCAAGGCAGGCTCTATTGTTTGAGACTGAGCATACCGTTCTGTGCACCTCGTGAACAACTTCTATTGTCTCATTACGCTGGCGTCATAAACTCGCCATCACGAATGGCATCAATGTTTGGTCTTTAATCCCGATGACTTCTGCCTCCCTGTATAGTTTGTGGGGATGTCCAGGGTCGAGGTCTTGCTTTCCCCAGTTGATCTCGTAAATACCCCCCTTTGATTCAAGGAAACAGCAGCAGTTTCAATTTAATGTAGGGTCAACGCAACCCTTTGAGGTGACCAATGTTAGTGTGTCACAGATAAGTTTAAAATCTCTGTGTGACAGCTCATATCAGGCACCATAATCATTCGACTGCACCAATGCGCCACATACCAGATTGAGCTGTATAAATGACACATCACTATAACATCGCCTCTGTACCTTTTGGTCCTAAAGAAAAGGTCCGGGTTTCTGGTCGCTACATCGTACTGCAGTGAGTCCGATACCAAAGTGTCCATCAAGAGGTGCAGGTTCATTTACTAAGCTTCAGAGATTGGTAACGAAATTGGCGTCCAAGCTCATGCCATGGGACCTAGAGCTTCTCTCTAATCAAACTTGGTCAACGTCAACGATTGCACATCGTTGCAGCCGTACAGAGCCGGCTGCTCCCTGGTAGGGTCGAGTGGTGACTGCGAAGCATCGAAATATATATCCTTCTTACAACGAAGGCTAAATCAGTCTCGATAATAGACCGGACCCAGGGATATATCGTCAGCATTCTTGAAGACTCGACTCCAAGTACCAAAGGCAAGATTCGTTTTTCACAACAAGCTCTTGAAAACGAGGCCAAAGCTAAAGCACCAGCAAGAGGAAACATAAGACGATCATAAGACTACCCTTGAAGCTTCAGGCTAGTCTCATGACGTGCTTGTCAGAGAGACTTCCATGTGCTTGATTTGCGCCCACAAATTGAGCAACATTGGCAGCATTCCTGCCTAGCCAGGCATGCGCAACGTTTAGCACATGAGCTCAGTGGCTGCTGAGCGATTTGCTCCAGATATAGCTTTGCAACAACCACCGATAAAGGTAGCGAACAAGGACTCGGTGCGCGTCATCTCCGGGTCCGAGCAGGACAAATGCTTCATAATGGGTTGTTTTCCAGCCTTTCTTCCCTTTTCGTACCAGCAGTCTGATAGTGTAATTAATTACTTTCAGGGCTCAGTGTTCAGTGTTTGTGGTACGAGTTTCGAAAACAACGACGCGGTGCTTGCTTCGCTTGGCCTGGATTGAAAGCCCGGACCCCTGATGGTGTTTTGGTCTTAGACAAGCTTAGTGGAGCACGAGGAACGAACCATGGATCGTAGATAAGACGTTAAGCAACAATCAGGGGGAACCAGAGACGAAAAGAAGCTGGAGGCGAATGAATGAAACCGACGGCGGCGAATTGAACCACGGGGACAGTGCGCAATAAGCTTATCGATAAGCCGTCCACTAAACCCGATCGGGTGCCCACGTAAACACCAAAACATCAATCGGGCCTCACCGTTCACTTCCAGTTCAGCTCCCGTCGTCCCTCTCTCTCTCTCCCTCTCCTCTCGATCGATCCTCTCTTCCTCCGCCCTCTCGAGATCCTCTTCCACCAATTCACTCTCGCTTTCGCTTCTGCTCTTCCTCTTTGATATTCGTCTTCTCCTACTCGCTCTTTTGCGTTCGTCTCATTCTCCCCCTCCCCACCCACACCCTTTCCTTTCTCCCGCGGTGTTCTCGGTCTTTCTCCCTCCCTGTTATGACCGAGGCGCCCTGCTTCCCCAGTACTGCTGCATGAGAGCAGTCTCCTTCCCCGTCGCATTCCTATAGCCCACTGCCCCGGGAATCTGATCCATCATTCCATCTCATCTGCTTGCAGGTACCATGCTTGGGTTTGCAGCTCCACCACTTTGTTTTTGATGTTCTCGTTATCGTTGCTTGATTGACCCACAGCGCGCCCTGAACTAGACTCGTGTCGTTGCCTTGTATTGTCCGGTTCCACCTCATTCACCCCAGGGATATCCTTCCCCATTGAAGTGATACCAAGCCTAAGTTAATCTTTAATTGACTCGCACTATACCGATCGCTGCCGCCGCCATCATTCAGTCGGAGGTTCGTGGGGAACCGCAGTCGCAATGGCGCCCGCCGCCCCCCAACTCCCCGCCCGGTTTCCATGCTGGTGTCGAGCCATATACTCGTGGGGAGGCGAGACAAAACGTGACCTGGGGTTTGTAGAAGGTGATCTTATCGAATGTTTGAACGCAGGCGATGGACAATGGTGGATGGGTCGATTACGCCGCGACAGGCGCATGATGGGCCTGTTCCCATCCAACTTCGTCGAGGTCCTTGGGGAGGACTTTGTGCCTGTGACTAGATCGACAAGCCCCATGATTTCCACAACCGTGTCTCCGATAACGAACCCTACTTCGGCGCCGAAGAAGACGAAGACCGTTTTCCGGAAACCCTTTCAAGCCCATAGGGAAGCTCTGGCGCCAACAGGCGAGCTGTCTCGTGGCGGCATGTCGTCGTCCCCCGTGATGGCAAGCTCTATACCACAAACGCCACCCCGGGATGGCAGCCTTTCTGGAAAGGTTAAACCATTGCGAACACCAACCACCGCAGTCAAGCATCGGAGTTCTGTATCGAGGCCGCCCTCGCGGTCGCGGCCTCCATCGCGCGCAGCTTCACCTCGTCCTCCAGCTGAGCCTGATCCGCTCCTCTCCTCAAGCGCTCCGGCACCGTATAATCCCCGCATGAGACCCCCGTCTCGAGCAGTATCACCTTATCCTTCCGATAGTCCCCGCAACAGACCGCCGTCTCGAGCAGTATCGCCGTACCCGTCTGATAACCCCGAGCTTCACATGCCACTGATCCCTCCAGTGCGCACGACAATGCATCCCACTCCCCCATCTCATGCCGCGTCCCCACATATCCCAGCCGACTACGACTACATGCCCTCCCCATACCCGGACAGGCACGGTATAGCAATACCCGGGCGATCTTCCCGAGAGATCTCGCCCTTACAGCTGCAAGAACGGGAAGAATCTCCGCCTCCGCCTCCGCCTCCGCATCGCGTGGCGGTACATCGGCAGCCATCTCCTGGGCCTCTTGTCCCATCGCGGCTGGATATGAACGACCGCTATGCTACCATGCCCAGGACACCATCTCCTGCTGCCCAATCTGAAGGCCGCGGCCATACGCCCTCTCCTCTCCGTGATGCAATGGAAGATGTGATGACTTCTCTGGAGGATATGGGGCTGTCTCGAAGCACGCATTCACCATCCCCACAACCCCAGCCACAACCACTATTCAATAATCCCTGGTCACCAGATGCCTACGAAGGATTGAGTCAGAGTCGACCCTTGCGAACTTCCAACCGACCTGTAACATCCATGGGATTCGACGGATACAAGGAATACCAACAACCTAGTAGCCAGAAACATAGGAACAGCGTTTGGACGCATGACCCCTATCCAGATGGCCCTCCGCAACTGAACAATTACGTACAAAGAATGGAGAGCCGCCTCCGTCAGATGCAGGAACAAAATCGTCAGGACTCCGAGGAAATCCAGCCGGAGGAGGACGAAGAGCCTCCACCGCCTCCTCCAAGAGGCGTCCCATACCATGGCCGACATAATTCGATTCCGGCACAGTATCCATATCTTCGAGGACGACGATCAGGACAGGACCTCCGTGAGGATCTGCTCAATCGCAGCTACACTAATAAGTCGAGCACCACGACTTCTTCGAGCGGCGTGCAAAGCATCAGCACCAATCTCACCGCAAGTACTGAGCGCACTAATTTTAGTGTGATGAGCGGACCATCAGCTGGTGGATTCAGCGCAACAAGTGCCGGAAGCTACGCTAGGAGGATCACGCCAGCTGAACGACCAAACACGGCGACTGATACGTTCCGCTCTCGAGGGTTCAGCGATGTATCCCGGGTATCTAGACCTGAGACGCCACTGACAGGGATATCATATCATTCAAGCCACAATACCTCCCGACAGGGCGCGTCTTCCGCCATTCCATGGTCTGCTCCTCAAGCTGCACCGGAAGAGACCGCAGGGGTACTTGGGGGTCTGTCTACTCCAAAGGCCAAAAAACCAGGATTCTTCAAGAAAATCTTCGAGTCCGCGAAGACGGGAGCAGCTAACGCTCGGAGTAGCATTGCAGTTGGTCAGAGCGGTGGTACTTTCTCCCCCTCCAAAGGGCGGGGTGTCTCGCCGATCCGTGCCTTGCAATCTAGCCGGGACTCGGCTCGGGATGCAGGAAGTGCCTCTGCCATAGATTGGGTGCAAGTAAGGCGTGATGTCAACCGTGCCAGCTCTCCGAGCCACAATGAGCGGGTTGAGAGAGCGGAGCGATGTCAGATGATGGATCACCCAGTCATTTACGCGGTGGAGGAACTCAACGAGACCGCGGAAGGTGACGAAAGCATTGATGGGTTGCCCATCAGCGAACCCAACAACTTTGGCTCCTTCAATCTTAGTCTGGTCGACAAGAGCGCCCGCTTCGTCAACAGTCTTCCACCAATGACCAATCCGGCTAGCCTTGCCCATGGATATGTGTGTCGTCCGTACAAGAGTGATATTCAACGGTTGCGGGCTATCTTCACCTGGGTTAGCGAAAAGATTGCTTGGGATGAGCCGGTTGAAGAGATCGGGATTGACCTGAAACGCGTGCTACAGACGAAACGGGGAAGCCCTCAAGAGGTTGCGTTTCTGGTCAAGGAGATGTGTGCTGCCGTTGGTCTCCATGCTGAAGTGATCCGAGGTTTCCTGAAAACCCCGGGAGAATTGCACGAATACGACGGCGTTGCACGCGCGAACCATTGGTGGAACTCAGTCCTCGTGGATGGTGAATGGCGCATCATGGATTGTTCTCTAGCCAGTCCTACTAATCCGCAAAGGAATCTATTCGTCACCAACAACACTTCTGTGGCCGAGAGCTGGTACTTCCTCGCGCGTCCTCTAGAGATCTGTTACACTCACCTTCCGCTCTCACCCCATGAGCAGCACATCTGCCCACCCATCTCGCCGGATGTCCTGATGGCTCTTCCAGCCGCCTGCCCGCCGTACTTCAAGCTAAACATGCAATTCCCAGACTATGACACCAGCCTGGTCCGTATCGAGGGACTCGAGGTCATGCAGATCCGTCTTCTCGTTCCCGCAGACGTCGAATGCGCCGCCGAAGTCGAAGCGCCCGGCTTCGCGTGCGATGCGGATGGCGATTGCTTCGAGAACGGAGAGACCGTGCGCAAACGGGCTCTCGTCCAGCCTGACTGGATCAACGGACAGAAACGGATCACCGTCAAGGCGGTCTTACCGGGCGATGAGGGACAAGGCATGGTCAAGATCTATGCAGGCAAGAAGGGGCTCATGCACTCCAGCCGAGACATCCCCCATCCCTTGGCTCTTGCCCTTCCCATCATCCACACGGGAGACAATCCGCCGTACGACTTCGTGCTACGCCATCCGACCCCTCATGCCCAACGGCATGATCTATACATCATCCAGCCCCAGTGCGCCAAGCTGGCCGTGAGCAACACCTTCGTGTTTGCCGTGCGCCAACACCCCGCTTCGTCCGCCTACCAACCGGGCGGCAGCGATCTCGGGGTCAGTGGTGGTCGGGTGTCGCCATCCGTCTACTCGCGGCCGGCCAGTGCCTTGAGCATGGTGTCCAGCTCCGCGGGCGGATCGTCCGTCTCCGCCGTCTCGAACGAGTTCTCGGCCTCCACGTCGGCCATCTCCTCCGGCCGCTCGCTGTCTGGGCGGGAGAAGCCGGCCAAGCTGGCCATCCAGTCTCCGTCGGGCAAGATCCTGCGGTTGACGCGCAAAGCCGACCACATGATCAGCTCCAACAGCCTGGCCGACTCCGCGACGGATGCCACCGCGGATGGCAGCGTGTGGGAGACGGTCATCAAGATCGGGGAACGGGGTATCTGGCGGGGGTTGGTGCTCGCCGACCGCGTTGCGCGATGGTGTGTATTCTGCGAATGGGAATGCTACTGATGCAGTCGCCATCGCGGCCTTACCTCCCCTCAGTCACTTTCTCCCGGCTGTTGCATTACATTCCAATCCTTTGCAACCCAACCAAACATGCATATTCTTTTTCTACCTTTGATGGTTACATCCAGCATAGATCGCATCGTCCGAGCCCCCCGGGGTGGGTTTTCCACTTTCGCCTTGCATTTGTCTCACTGCACTTGCATCTACACTCTGCAGCACGTCTCTCACAGCTGCAGGATGTACATTATTTTACTTTCTGCTCCCTTTGCATCCTGAAATCTGGGATTGTGTCCCTTCCCTTCGGAATTATATAATCATAATTCCCATTGTGCGGCGTTCCTCGGCTTTGCGTTTGTCCTGATTCCTTTCCGTTTCTATAGCACGCACGCAAGCAAGCAAAAACGTTGCATTGCATACTTCCCTTTACTTACCTCGCCTTACCTGTACTTGTTGTGTCGGCTTGTTTGTACTTTGTACTATTGTATGATGTCTGAATGATCTACGGCTGGTCACATAGATACACACATGAATCTTTGCATTTGAATCCCAACTTAGGGAAGTAGTAGGAGACTTAGTATACCATACTAGAATATACTAGAATATCCTATCGATCTAGGGGAATCATTGATTGATACTACACTATACTCTACTCTACTATAATTTACTATGAGTCTCAGGGAATTAGTGATTTATATACCATACTCTACCATACTAAATCATAGCTCTGTCTACAAATCCAGAAAGTATATACAATACACCGCCAAAACCGCCCCAGACACCGCCGAAACTAGACAGCGCAGACCGCCTCCCTCACCAACGGCGCGACCTGCTTCCGACTCTTGGTCACATCGCCCTGCACCCACACCCCCTTCCACATATTTGCCTCCTGGGAGTCATGCTCATGCTCATGCTCCTGCTCCTGCTCCTGCGCCACGCAATCCAACCACACCTGCCCGACCGCCTCGTCCTCGTCCAGCAGCGCCCGCCACCGCTCCAGCCCCAGCGCCGTGCGGCCGCGCCGCACGAACGCCTCCGCCGCCGCGACGGCGGTGTCCCTGCGGTTGCCCACTGCAAAGGGCACCGCGACAAAAAGCTCGCGGTGGAAGCGCTCTTTCCGTGCCGAGTTCCCCGGAGAAGAGCAGGGAGACGCAGAAGGGGAAGGGGACGAAGGAGCCGGACCCGCAAACGCCGTCATCAGCACGACGATATCCAGGCCCCGCTGGCGGGCGAACGCGTCCAGCTCGGCCAGGAACACTTCGGGCGCGGAGCTGGCGTTGGAGTTGGCGTTGGAGTTGGAATAGTTGGCCTTCCGGATCACCCAGGGGAGCGATTTGACGACCGAGCTGATTCCGATCTTGAGTGCGGCGGGTTTATCCCCACTGCTACCACTACCACCTGGAGCATCCCCGGGGGAAGAGGAGGCAGACGAAGGCACCTCAACCCACTCCTTATAATCCCGCCCCAGCACTTCCGCCACCGTCAACAGCTCCAGGCTGTGCTCCTTGGCCGTCGCGATCCGCCGGTAGAACGCGTGGTGGTCCCACAGCTTCTCGCCGGACGAGATGCCCACGGCGATCGACCCGAGCTGCTGCTGGCAGTTGGTGCTGTTGATCTTGGCGCGCAGGAAGCTGTAGGACAGCGTGTCGGCGTCGGTGACTTTCTCTTTCGCGGTGAAGTTGGCGGTGTCGATGAGGATGGGCGCGAGCGCGAGTTTGGAGAGTTGGTGCTCGTGCGCGGCGGCGGTGGTGAGTTCGGCGTCCGGGGTGGGGGAGGTGGTTGGGTTGTGTGCGGGGGAGGTGGAGGTGGAGGAGAGAGGGTGCGGCGTCCACCGGCCCATTCGTTCTAGCATGCTCACGACCAGTGAGATGCAGGAGCCCGTGGGCTGGAGGAGGAACGGCTGGTCGGCTGCGATGGGCGGCAGGAAGTCCTCGTCGACGTGGTGGTCGATGCAGCCCACAACGTTGAAGGTGATCGTCTCGAGCCCCGGGAGCGTGCCGTGGCCTTTCTGGGACGGGGAGCGGTTGGGCAGCGCGTTCCAGTCGACCAGGACGGCGTCGACGGCGGGGAGCGTGTCAGCGGCACTGGACTGGGCGAGGTGGGCGGCGAAGTCGGCGACGGTGAGCAGGTGGCTGCGCAGGAGGTCCGGCGTGGTGTCCGCCTCAATCTCCCATGGTTGCTCGGTCGGGGCCGCGGGGTGCGTGGCCAGGTGCAGGGCTTCGAGGAATTCCGGGCGTAGACGTCGCAGTTCCGAGCCGGAGGGCACGTCGGGGAGGTTGATGAGGGGGACGTGAGGCCGTGGATGGGCGAAGTAGGCGTACACCAGCGCGGAGATGATCGAGTCCACGTCCGCCGACGGGTTGCCGATGACGTAGATCGGCGTCTCCTCCGGGCGGCTGATGCGACCGGCCAGGAACCGGTGGTGGGTTTGGAGGGATTGGGCGAGGAATCTGAAGAGACTCCGGTTGAGGGCCGACATGATGAGGCGGGTGGACGTTGACTTGCAGCGAACGAAGGACGCTGTTGTCGTTGTCGATGTCGATGTCGATAACGATAACGATAACTTCTCCCCTCACCGTTTGCGAGGAAGACATCATCGCGGCAGAATCTCACCGCCATCGTGTCCATCGAAGAACTACAACTACTCCCTTCCTCTCCACCAACTACAAACTCTCCCAATCCCACCACACCCACTACAATCCTCCTCCTGTTCATTCCCGGGGGAGAACCCCCGGACCCCCCTTTCTTTCAGCTTCCTGGTGAACCTCAGTCCCGAGTACTTGGGCCAATATACCTACCCCCCTTCTTTTCCGCTTCCCAGTAATCCTCAATCCAAGTTCTAAGATACATACATTCCAGAGAACCCCCGGACTCTCCATCTTTCCAACCTCCTGGTACCAATCAATCCTAAGTACTTGGGCAATATACCGTCCCGGGGGAGAACCCCCGGGCCCCCCTTCTTTTCAACTTCCTGGCAACCCTCAATCCAATCCTAGTTCTCCATTGAACCCCGAACCGGAGACACAGAAATCCATATATACTATCGCCTCACTACACCAAACACATCCAACACCAACACCAATAAACAATAAACAAACCCCAAAAATGCCACACCTAAATCTCCCCCCACCCTTCGCCCAAATCCCCCGCCACCCGCTCCTCTACCCCCACCCCTCGCCAATCCACCCTCTCCCCGCCCTAACCAAGCACCTCCTCCCCACCCCCAACAAGATAACCCTGCACGCCAAACGCGAAGACCAAGCCTCCCCGCTCGCCAGCGCCGGCAACAAATACCGCAAACTCGAATACCTCGTCCCGGACATCCTCTCCCCGACCCCGCAATACGGGGGATTAGGACCCAGCCCCGAGCGGGGGAGTGCCCCGGCGCCCGCAGGCCCCAACACCACCACCACCACACAGAAACCAACAACCCTAGTGACAGAAGGCGCCCTCCAAAGCAACCACACCGTGCAAGTCGCCGCCCTCGCCACCCACCTCCGCCTCGACGCCGTGCTCCTCCTCCACAAGACCACCGGCGGCGCTTGGCGCGCCGCCCCGGACCCGCGCGCCTTCGCGCGCACCGGCAACGTCCAGATCGCGCGCCTGCTCGGCGCAGACATCCGTCTGCTCGACTCGGCCAATGTGGCTGCTGCTGCTGCTACCCCACCGCCCAGGAATGAAGACGCAGAGCCCCGGACCAAGAACGAAGACGCAGACGCAGACGCAAGCACAGCTGCCGACGACGATGATGGTGATAGTCCTATCGCCGCAATCCTCCACACCCTGCGCACCCAGCACGGCAAAACCCCCTACTGGATCCCCTCGGGCGCCAGTCTGCACCCCCTCGGCGGACTGGGGTACGCGCGCTGCGCGTTCGAGATTGCGGCGCAGGAGGATGCGGCCGAGTCCCGAGTCCGGTATGACTATATCTTCGTCGCCTGCGGGAGCGGGAGTACCCTCGGCGGATTGATCGCGGGGTTCAAGTTGCTCGAGAAGATGGAGGGAGCCAAACATCCCCAAACCACCGCAACCGCAACCGCAACCGCAACCGCAGCAGCAGCAGAAGGGCAGCAACGACCCCCCCGGAAAATCATCGGCGTGCTCACCTCCCCCACCAGCCCGAAAGCCTACCACGAGGCGCGCGTGCTGCGGTTCGCGCGGCAGGCCGCCGGCCGGATCGGATTGGATGCGCAGCGCGATGTCACGGCGGCGGATGTGACGCTCGAGGACCGGTTCGTCGGCACCGGGTACGGGGTGCTGGATGCGGAGACCAAGCGCACAATGGATATGATGGCCCGTACGGAGGCGGTCGTCCTCGATCCCGTGTATACGGCCAAGGTGGCGCGGGCGATGATGCATTGGGTGGGGACGGGCGAGTTGGCGGAGGATTGGCGGCGGCGGCGGAGGAGGAGGAGGAGGAGGAGGAGGAGGACCGACACTGGAACGGGGAAGCTTGCTGAGGAGCCTGACGACTCGGTGAATGTGCTCTTTGTACATACCGGGGGCCAGTCGGCGTTGAGCGCGTATGCGGATGGGGAGTAATTCATGTCGTCCGGAGGATTGATGGACTGTCGTGGCGTCGTTGAGCCTAGATCAAGACCTGGATTAGATGCACTAGTCGGGGAACGAAAACTACGAGGGCACGCTGAAACTGACAATACCATGAGATAGAAAACTGACATTGTACATCGGGCTCTCAGGCCATTAATAACAAACAGAAATAAAACGCATGTATGAGACCCTGCTCGCCTGGTCCTTTTAATACACCCAATCCATAACAACAAGTATTAAAGCACCGTAGTACTCGAATTCAAACCCCAGACACGTCAACACCGTTACTCATTCATGAACCACACACAGAAAACCACCAGATGAAAACTTCGGAACGCCGCCGAATGCCTGAATGCAAGGTCAAGGGATCTAACAAGGGAGAGAGAAGAAGAGAAAAAGAAAGCGCGCTTATTCGATGTCGTCCACATCCACGTGACCATTGACTTTGTCGTCACTAGACTCATCATCCGGAAGTTCGGAATGACTCTCGCCGTTGCTCACATCAAGGACCTCCAGCGCCTCGTTGGCATGGGTGTTCTCCATGGGCTCCGGCTCGGGTTCCGCCTCCTGATCTCCTTCGGTGTCCTGGTTGGTGAGATCGGCAAACACATCGTCCAGGTTCTGCCGGGGACTGCTGTCGAAGGGATCCTGAGAGTCAACAACCCCAGGAGGGCCGTCGTGATGGTCCCGAGTATACCGCGGAGAGCTGAACAGAGACGTATCCAGGCCGGAGTGATGGAGGGGAGGGGATTGAGGAGGGAACGACGGCGAGTCTGCCGAGGAGACATGGGGCAAGAAAGCTGAGGATCCCGGCGCAAAAGCCGGCGTCGAGTCAGACGCAGAGAGAGTGTAGCTGGCAGAGAAAGGATACGGCGGGTTCTGCGGATCGCCCATGGTCAAGGTAGGTCCTGACTCCGAATTGGAACCGTCACCGCCGCCGGGAGAGGCCTGAAGCAGGGTAGGCCGACCCGTAGTGAGATCAATGGACTTGGGTCTGACGGGGTTGGGCTGCTTGGGGCGTAGATGCGGGGGAAGATCCTCGGGTCGCTCTAGGCCAAGCTGTGCCATGATCTTCTGCTGCTTGGTCGGACGAGGCTTGCGGGTGGAAAGTGACTGTTCCAAAATCGGCGGGGCCTCAGGCGCAACAGGCGCCCATTTGTGGATCTCTTGACGGAAGAAATTCGTTTCGTACGCCAACAGAACCTCCGCTCCCTCGATTTTACGCAAGTAGAAGATCAGCGTAGGCACTTCCTCGGTAGTCGTGCAGGCAGCATTTGTGAAGCTCTGAAGGAAATCGCGGAACGTGGTTGCTTGATTGACAATACTGTCCAGGATCTCTTCCTCGTCTGGTTGGAACGGCAGACCGGGGATCTCGGCTTGCCACTCGAGGAGGTCCTCTAGCTTTGGACGAGCAGCATCTCTAGGGATCTTCTGTCGCCAGTCGCAAATCGGGCAAGTGTACTTGTCGAATTCCTTGACTTTTCCACGGGCAATCTTCAAGCACTTTCCATGATACCTATGGCCAGTGTTAAACCAAGCTCCAGAGTAATCAAATCTCAGTAGACTTACCACTCATGACAGACCTCGCACTCAATCATCATGCCCGCCTCGCAGTGTCGGCAGATGCAGAACACATCTCGCTTGCGTGATTTCCCCCCGCCCCACATGCTGGGAGTGGGATTGCTCTCCAGCAGACCATCTGGGCTGTTGTCTCGCGACGCAGGCTCAACAGGAGGCCGGCAACGATCTTCCAGATCAAAGCAATAGGAGTTCCGCTTCTCCACATACTCCATGTGGGATTTCAGAATATGCAGTGGAGCATTGGCTTTGCCAAAAAGCTTCTTGCCCTTGCGCATCCAGTCTTCATGGCGCTTTTGTTCCCGCTCTAGGTCAATCGCGCCGGTCGGCCGACTGTTCAATCCCTCCAAGGACTCCATCAGTTCTCGAACATCCTTGTATCTGGGACGGTTCCGGTAATCCGGGTCCTTGCTTTTCTCATATAGGGTCTGGATCCTCTTCCGCGCCTCGCGTTGCTTGGTTAATATGGCATCTACAGCGGCAAGGGTCTCGGGGGAGACAGGGAAGCGAGACGCCTGCGCAGAGAGAGCCTCCAGTTGCTGGTAGTGAACGGATTCCACGGCCATTAGTTCTTTAGCCTTCGCCTCCCAGGCCTCACCAAGACGAGCGAGTTCCTTGAGGTAGATCAGGTGGTCGTTGGTGTCTGGTAAGTTCAACTGGTCGCCAGCGAGAATCAGCTCCTGGCAGTCCTTGAGGGTCAAATATTGATCGCGCTTGCGGCGCACTTCTTCTTTCCATTTCATTTGTCGGAGGATGTGCTCTAGTCCTTCAACCTCGGGTATTTCCACGTTGAAATTGCGAGAGGATTCCACCAGATCTTCGACTTCCTGGACCGATCGGATGTGGGGGTTCATGAGGGCAGCGTTAACGTCCTGGCGGAATTTCTCGATCTCGCGGGTCTTCTCTTCCAGTGCCGCCATCTGTGGACAGTCGAACGACAGTTTATCAGCCTCTGTAAGAAGGGCGTAGATGTTTTCTACTCTGCGAACTTCACGATCACGTTCTTCCAGCTGCGCAGCCTTGGAAGTACCCTTGCGCCACGCCTTCTCGTTCTTCCTCCGGTTCTGCTGCTTGCGGGTAATGTAATTGGTTGCTTCTTCAACCCATTTATCGCAGCGCTGGACAAAGGCCGCGAGATCTGGGAGACCAGGCAGATGGTATGGGATTTTCTCACCTTCGCTTAGTAAATTGTGGAGGACCTTCAACTGGGGTTTGGGCTCGTCTTCTAGAATTTTGTCGAGTTTCTCTCCCCATGCCTCTGGGATCCTGGCGCGTTCCTGGACTTTCGACACCACGGCCTTCAGGGTCTCATCGCTCATGCGGTAACGCAGTACGTGATCCGAGCCAAGTAGTCGTTGCGTTAGTGATTCTCCGCAACAGTCGTAGGTTTCGGCGTGTGGCAGACACACGGTTTTCCCCGTCTTCCGGCACCGGAACTGCGCGAGATAGGTATATGCCTTGCAGTACTGGCACTGGTAGTCATCTTCGGGAAGGTCTTCCTCCTCGACAACAAACTTCAATTGGCAGTCGCCAGTTGCGGGGTCCTCGGAGTACAGTGCGCACTTGTGCGGTGCGACTTCACGATGGCGTGCGGCGAAGGCGGCCCGATCATTCAATTCCCTTACGCAAGTACGCTGCAGAGCTGGTGCTAGCCACTTGGCGGTGGTGATGGACGAATCGCGGGCGGCAGCTGTCAGGAGCAGCTCGTCATGCGAGAAGCACGGGTGTCGCCGAAAGTCCTGCAGGCGCAGAACCCCCCTGGCGCCCCAGGGCTCCCAGTCAGCCGGAGCGAAATTGACCGCCTCATTGAAATTGAACCCATGGTTGAAACCGGCATGGTATGCCTGAGGGAAGGTGATGACAAATTGTCCAGCTCGCTGATCGAGAGCATAGACCCTAACGCCAGCTTTCCTGAGCTGATCGGGTGGCATCAACGTGACCAACTGGAAGAGAAGATCCGGCTGGCCTTCGAACAGTTCAGGGACGGCTTGCCGCATTGCCTCTTCGAACGCTTCTGCATCGGCACCAGGAATGCCATACCAGGTTTTGGTGGCACCGAAGTGCTGGTAATTGGCCGAATACGCGTAGTGGTCTTCATTGTGCCAACAGAAGGTCGAGAAGCACATACCAACGTAGACCCAGGGAACCGTCATTCCAGAGATATCGGACTTGATATGGCGGAACAGCGAGTCCCCATGGAATGGCAAAACGTTTAGATTCCAGGGGTCAACCGAATATGGATCGAGAGGGTTGCGTTCAATCGTAGGGAAACCACTTCCATGGGTGGTCGAATGGATATCGGCACCATATTCGACTTCAACGGTTTCTGTCAAGCTCTCCACCAAGCGCCAGAATTCACGCTCGACATCATCTTCGGACTCGCGTCTGTGAGTGTTGAGGACAGGGTCGAAGGGCATTTTGGACGCGAAGTACTTTTGCTTGAATGTATTCGCCTTTTCTTGGAACTGCTTGAGCGAATACACCCCACCCTCCTCGAACCCAAACTCCCCTGTGCCAACAAGACACTTGGGGCAATGCCAATCGTACTCGGGAGTTGTGGTGAGAGGCGGGTCGAGGCAGGACTTGTGATACCCATGATCGCAACTATCACAAAGCAGAATCGATGGCCGGTCCTCGGATTTACCGCAGACTTCACATTTCTAGGACTAATTAGCAAAGGCTCTGCAGCCGTACACCAAAGAAAGCCTTACATCTCCATTTTTCCGAATGTCCGTCTTGCGTTGCCGGGGCGGAGCAGGGCGGAGAAGACTCATATGGGACCCAGAAACAGTCGGCAAAGGCGCGTCTGTTTATGTCAGTTAGGACCAAATGACTTGCAGGCAAGCGACAAATACCTTTACGAAGACGCTTGCTGCGACGGCCATTTGCATCGAGCTCGCCACTCTCCGTTTGCGAACCACTCTCGTGGCTGATCGCGCGCTTCATGGGCGGAGCGCCGTGACCATTGCCCGGGTGTTCGGCCACACTCTTGGGAGTGAGGGAGCCATTATCGGCCTCACGCTTAACTGCTGGCGCGCTGTTCACCGCCACAAAAGATGGAGACCGGTTGACGGCAGTAAAGCCACCGGAAGTGTTAACCGCAGTGAAACCGGAAGCAATCGGCCGAGGCGGTGTAGGTTCAACCGGTGGTGTGGGTTTCTCTGGTGTCGCTTCCACCTCCCTGGAGGCAAGGACAGGTGCGCTTGCTATCGGCTGTGGCGTTGCCGAAGGGGTGCCATTTTCGGATGGAGCCGGTTTCTTTGGCATGGGCGATGGGTGGGGCGACGGCGTATATGGACCACCATGCTCAAGCTCCAGTTGTTGCTGGACCCCCGGCTTAGCCACACGTAGATATTCCTCATACGGTTGTAACCATCTCTGATAGGAGTTTTTCAGCGATGTAGAGAGGGACGACATGATCTTGCCACTGTAGCCTAGATCGCGGCCAATCTCCGCCCATTTCTTCATCTTGCAGACCGAGTCGAACCCGCCACGCACCTCGACTGCCTTTTTCAGTTTATACAGGTCCAGGGGGCGTTTGTCGACGCTGGGGAAACGATTGAGGTTGGTACCATGTTGCTTGTGAAACTTGGCTAGCTGATCGAGGTAGTTCAAGTTTGCACGAGTCCCTGGCTCCGGGTCAGAACTGGGCTGCGGAGCTCCACCGGCGGCAGACGTGGCTGAACGCGGGGGCATACCTCCTTCGACCGAGTTGAGCTCCTGTCGACGGGTTTTGAAGTGGAAACGCTATTGGAGGGTGATCTGGTCAGCCGCTTCCCTCGTTGCGAGGCACGTCATCCCACGCGACTATTCCCAGTCAAGGGACAAGGGGAGCGCGTCAACGAACGCATGCAACGAACATACCTCAGTGTCTATAGCGAAGGGCGGTTGCCAGTTTTCCGGGGGAATAATCCTGCAGATTCCATATTTGCTGGCCTCCGGCGCGATTCTGCGAATGTATGCTTCAGGGTCCTTGAAATCCTCCTCCGTCGGACGATAGGTTGGTGCCTCTTCTAGCCCATGAGGCCGAACTCGCTTGGTTGGTTCTCGGGGGGCATTGGGTTGGCCGCGTCGCTCTACCGTGGACAAATCGAGGGGCGCGGACCGTCGAGCGCTCAAGGGAACGTTGTGTGAATGTGAAGGATGGGTACTGGAAGATCGGGTAGGCTGGCGACTCGCTGAAGGCTGAATGCCCGCGGAGGTACCTCCTGTTGAGGCCGGAGCCACCATCTCTTAGAGCGTAGGCGCGGATCGAGAGGAGGGTGAATTTGCGCGTAGATTTACCGCGGACGGAAGGGGGCCAGCATCCGATGCGAAAAACACATGGATGGAGGCCAAGGCCAAGAGGAAGGAGAGGATTGCCAGCAGCAGGAGGGCGGTCAGCAGAGGTTTGGAGGAAGATCCTTGAGATCGGATGATAAGATGGGGCGGGAGGGCAAGAACTGGAGGGAGGGTCGAGAAAGAGAGTGGAGGAGGATAATTTGATGATGGGGGGAGGGGAGTGGGTGGGAAGGGAAAGGGTAGCCAGCAGCAGATGTTCCCAGGGAAGGCCGAGATGAACCCGGGAGGGTTTAGTGTGGAGAATCTCGGAAAAGGAACAAGCAGTCGATCAAGCTGGTAATGTGCCCACCGGGAGAAGTGGTGATGATTTTGAAGGGGCTGGGGTAGGTGAATCGGGAGAAGAGAGAGAACGAGAAAATCCTGAGAGAGTGTGGAGGTAGGAAACGAAGCTGATGCCGAGTATGAGTCGAGCAGTGGGGATGGGGGGGAGGGCCCGGGGGAGGTTCAGTTGTTGACAACGGGCGGAAGTCAAGTAGACCTCGTTATTAGCACGGTAGCTAGTATGTAGCCTGAATATGGGGGGGGATGGACAGATAGGTGAGTTAGCTAGCACTTAGCAGTAAGGATTGGCAAAAGGCCGTAGCCGGAAGTAGTAGTAGTGTAGAGACTTAGTGTAGTGTAGTGTAGTGTAGTGAGTGTAGTTCAAATGAGTATTGGGTGAGAATGAACTTCTTCCCTGGATGGCTTGCTCACCTTGACAGGAAACGTGACAGGCCCAATGTTTGTGTTTGTGCTTGTGCATAGACAAGCCAAGGCAAGAGAAGGAAAAGGAGGGTGGTGAGAGACAAGCGAGTGCGACCAGAAAAGAGAGGGAAAGAGAGTTTGCCAGAGCAAAAAAGGTCAGGATCCAAGCCATCAATATTGAGGTAATTCCATCGACTGCGGACGGCCTCAGGCTGGGTAATCAGTTACCATCATTTACCATCGATTACCCCCGGTGTATGGTAAAACTGGTAAGATATTCTCCCGCAACCCGCAAACGGTGATGTAACGACTGCTGAAACAGGCGGACTGCCCGGACTCGGATGAGCCCTTGGTCGGTTCCGGTCAATAGCGCTGGCATGGAGAAAGACATGCCGATGAACTGGGTTGAACAGGATGGGAATCTGGTTCAGTATATAATACGTTTGTGAAGTTTGTCTACTCTTCTCCAGCGATAAAAGTGCCTATATGCTAAAGAGGGACTCGAAAGTATTATACAGTACTGTACGTACTCTGCTGACTGACAGTACAATTACAGGACACAGCGAGGCTTGGCCTTGGCCTAGAACTATTTTGTATCCTGTATCCTGTATTCCTGTATTTTGTTTTATTGTGGTCCTGCCAGCCTCCCAGCCAGCCCTCACATTTCCGAGAGAATGCCACCATGACCAACAGAATGCTCTTGTGCCAAGTCAGTCATCGAATCAAGCTTCTAGAAACCAGGTATGAGAAGACATCTCTACCTCCGATGTCTTTGACCCCCCCCCCCCCCCATCACGTCTCAAAACAGAACAGTATGGTTCTGATAGTCCGTCAAGTTAGTGGGATAGAGACTTGGCCGGCCTTCATCCCACCAGGGCCCCGTTCCTGGTCAGAGAAAAATCAGGCAATGCTCACTTGAGACGGACGGACTACCGATCCAGCTGCTAGTCGAGCCCCGAGTCCGCATACTATGCCTATTTGATAATCACATGCAGTCATCTACCAGGCAGAGGATCAGTCGCTCAGCCCTTTGCGATGGCGAATGCAAATCCCTTTGGTATGTGGCCAACGAGGCATTCATCAATGGCGAATGGCTTGACCTTGGAATATCGCTCACTTGAGATAATGCCGTGATATACAAGCAAACATGGCGTCTAGTTCGCAGGCGAGAAATCCGGACATTCCAGCGGCATCGGATGTCCCTCGGTTGGTAAGGTGGAGGGTTTGATCATGCGACACCTGAAACGAAGGATTAACTGGAGGGGCTCGGAATACCCTTGACTGCTTATTCTGCAGCATGGTTTGTGTACATTGTACTCTTTGTTTGGTCCGTGGTGCGGATGGTACCTGAACTGGTCCGGGTCATGCAATGCTGATGATGGATGGCTAGCCCACCACCCTCTGTTGGCCGAGGCCAGCCTTGGGCTCTTGTTAGTGCCTCAGGCAACCATAAATTCTGACGCACGACCAAATAGAAACAAACTCTATACAGCACGAACATCATTAATAGAGCTACTCCTAGCGTGGATATGATGATTCCGGTCGCTAAGAACTTACATCCTTAAGCACGCATGCCATATGACATAGGAAGTATCTCATTTTACTGCTGCCAAACTCAGCTGTCATGTGACTCAGGGACTTGTTTTCAACCTACCATCCCGGTCAACCATGAACAAGAACCTCTGCGGTAAGAATGAGAAGCACTTTAAATGAAACCCTGATCTCAAACTACAACCGGCTGAGTCAAATACCCCAGCTTGTGCGCGTGTCTGTCAAACAAATGGACCTCGATCACACCAAGCCCATCCCAGCATACTACTGCTGCTATCTCCTCCGCTCCACCAAGAAGCACGCTTGTCTATACATCGGCTCCACTCCACACCCCGCCAGACGCCTCGCCCAGCACAATGGCGAATCCAAAGGCGGTGCGCGCAGGACACACCACGACGACAAGCGGCCGTGGGAGATGGTCTTGACCGTCGAAGGGTTCACGAGCCGAGTGGCCGCGTTGCAATTCGAGTAGGCAACCTTCCCCATGCCCTTCATGCCCGCGCCAATTTAACCGGTCGATAGATGGGCCTGGCAGAACCCCAAAAGGGCGAGGCAGATTACTGCGAACTACCACCCAGACAACGCCGGGGTCAGACCCAAAGGCCGTGGTTCGCGGAGGTCCATGAACGCTCACCTGGAGGATCTTCATACATTTCTACGGTCTACGCCCTTTGCGCACTGGCCCCTCAAGGTGCGCTTCTTCGCGGCCGATGTGCATCAGACCTGGAGAATTCTGGCAGATCGAGTGCAGGGGTTTCTCCCCGATCATATCGAGGTGATTGTCAATGGCAATTGTGCTAGACCGCCATTGCCACGTGATGAGGAGCAGGCGCAGGTCAAACGTGTCGCCGGCATGAAAGTGAATTACACGCATATGCAAGACTACATAGATAAGGCCATGTTCCTTTTAGAGGACTCGGAGAGCTGTCGGTGTGGGGTGTGCGCGGCACGGCTGGTGCCAGACGCAGAAATGGTAGTGGTTTGCGCCCAGGATAACTGCTATTGTACAAGTCATCTATTGTGTCTGTCAACGAGATTCTTGGAGGATTCTGATGAGCCAAATCGACTGGTTCCAATCAGCGGCGCTTGTCCGGGGTGTGGAAAGACGGTTCAATGGTCGCTAATGATGCAGGAGCTGACGCTGCGTAACTGCGGAGCGAACAAGCCGCGAGCGAAAAAGAAGAAGACCAAAGCGGACGTGACTCAGCGTGGCTCCAGGGTCACTCCAGAGCAAGGACGTGTCGGCGTCAACGAGACCAGCAACGAGCGTACACCAGTTGACCTTCAAGAAGCCGATCTCCCCGACAACGTCAGTCTAGATGAGAACTGGACTGAGTCGTTGGATGCGGACCTTGAGTCGGAAAACTTGATGGAGTCACAATCCCAGCCTACATCGACCAGGGCTGAGATCGTCATAGAAGACAGCGACTGCGAAGAGATATATACGCTAGAATGAGCAACGACGCTACCGCTAGCCGCTGCTCGCTATTGTGGGTAGAATAAGAGGTCAATGAGCGATCGATTCAAATTTCCTCAGAGGACCAATTGCATCCAGGCCCGCAATGCAGTCGATGACGCTTGTCTCAACGTCCTGCGCCACTTCCTCGAATGTCCTGCCCGCATCGATGGTGCGGATATTACCGCTCCGTTGCACGCGGAAGATCGTCTGGAACAATTCGCGCACGCGGTTCTGCATGGCCGCATTCTCATAACGTTCGGCTCCAAATCCTCCACGCTGAGCTGCTGCTTCTGGGGAGATACTCAGGAACAGACACAGGTCAGGCTGAGGCAGTCCGATCTCTGGCATCCATGCCCATTCCAGGGACAGCGTGGGATTCATCTTGGCGGCCGAATACACAGCACCGGAGTACGAATACCGATCCACGATGACAGTGACTCCGTTGGCAATATCTTGCTCGATGCTCTGGGCAAGCTCCCAGCGGTTTGCGGAGAAGAGAAGATGGATGGAATGGTCGTCCAAGTGCGACTGACCCCGCAGATAGCCATCGATCATCTTCCCGATGGCTGTGGTTCGGTCTTGACAGAGGTTAGATATAGTTTGTCATGCTTGTGTCATAAGAGTTTTGAGAAATACCTGGAAACCGAACATATTTCACCGCACGGCCTTCTTGTTGGAGCTTTTTGTGTAGAGACTCGCACTGGCTGGATTTGCCTGCCCGGTCCAAACCCTCGACGACGACAAGAGCGCCACGTTGAGCCGGTGTCTCCATTTTGTGACAAGATCACAGTAGGGTTGGTAGTGAGCAAAAGAGGGTTCGTTGTGAAAGATGATCGGCGTGGGGAGGTTCAGAAGGCGGCTTTAGTTATCGGGGGTGGATTTGGTTATCAGCCAGAGACAATAGTAGACTTAGCCTGATCGGGACAGACCGCGGGGATCTCAGCAACTTCCCGCAATTCCACAGGAATCTTCTTTCTAATAGCACTCCCAACTCACTATTTTCCTTGTCCAGCGTCTCTCAGTCGCATATAACCTCGCACAGGTCGTCATGGACCCCGAGTCATCCCTTCAGTCACCGCAGGAGATGCTCAAGTTCACCACCACAGCCTCGATTCTGACCCCTCGGCTGGGAAGACTGGCCGTTGCGGGCAGGAAACCCATCTCCACGCCGCACTATATCCCTCTAACATCTCGAGGAGTCATCCCGCATATCACACATGATATCATGCGCGATCAAACTGCCATTGGCAGTCTGTTTATTGGTCTTGAAGATTGTACGAACTTGTCCCAGCCCCTTGCACTGAGTCAACCGCCCAAGTGCAATATCAAATCCCAACCAAGAAAAAAAGGAAAGAAAACCGCTAACATCAATGCCCGTCGGGGGCGCAGATCAGTCATAGAAAGACAAACCCCGAAGCATCCCTTCCCTCCTGCATATACGATCCCGACGGCCGCCAACGAGTCGGCGCTGCGCAACTTCATCTGCCAACCCGATGACCAGTTGCTGATCATGGGCCCGCGTCGCGAGCCGCCGATCAAATGCCCGCCCTCGAACACGCCCAACTCGGTCGCCATCCTCACCTCAGTGGGCTACCGGCAACTGGAGGCGACACATTACCTGGATGCCATCCGCCATCTGCGGCCGGATATCATCGTCGGCCTCGCCGACCTGGTGCGTGGCCACAGCCCGGGTTTGAAGCGACGCGGGAAGATGGTCGACCGGACGCACGCCTACACGACACATGCGACGGAACAGCTATATAATCACAAAGACACAACGCAGCGATCGAACGCCGTCTATTTCGCCCCGGTGCTGCCGCTCGAGAACGCAGAGCAGTCCATCTACCTGGAGGATTTGGAGAATGACCTCCGCCCGTATATCTCGGGCCTGGCGCTGTACGAGTCGGCCTCGCTCTCCGCCGTGTCGGAGGCGCTGGGCGACCTCCCCCGACTGCTGTTCGGCGCACCGGCCACCCCCCACGATATCCTCCGCGATGTCTCGCTGGGCGCGGACCTGCATACTATTCCTTTCGTGGGTGTATGTTCCGACGCCGGCATTGCCCTGGACTTCACCTTCCAGCCGCAGCAGCAGGAGCCGCAATCATCTAGTACCTCCATTCCATTAGCCTACGACCTCTGGTCCCCCGACCACAAAACCGACACCCGCCGGCTCTCGGAATCCTGCGAATGCTACACCTGCCGCCACCACCACCGCGCCTACCTGCACCACCTCCTCTCCGCCAAGGAGATGCTCGCGTGGTCCCTCCTGCAGATCCACAACCACCACACCATGGACGTGTTCTTTGCTCAGATCCGCGCGAGTATCGAACGGGGCACTTTCGATATTGACGCCCAGACCTTCTCGCGGACATATACCTCGGAGCTCCCCGAGCCCAAGGGTCAAGGACCACGGTGCGATGCCCCTCCTAGAACAGATCCTCATATACATGCAAACATTTCCAAATTTACTCCAAACATTAACAAGTGCTAACCTAATACCAATGAACAGACTAAGAGGCTACCAACTCCCCGCCTCGGGCCCCAACCAACCGCGCCGGCACGCCCGGGTGTACGGCCGCCTCGACGACGCGGCGGAGAAATTCGCCGAATCGCAGTCCTCTGTGGCCACGCCCGACACGGGCGCCGAGGGGCTAGAGGAGCACGGGTTCGCGGAGAGGGCTTAGTGAGCTATGACTAGAGCATTATAGTTGAGAGATCGACATACGATATAATTTCAGAAGCATTGCGGGTAAAGTAGCTTAGCTTAGCTTGGTATAGCATAGCATAGTATAGCATCTCACGATCTGCATAAAGCAAGAGCATATCATATTATACAGAACACATAGAACATAAAGTGACCTACAAAACTTTCGACGAATTAAGGCATTGACCATTTTCTGATCGCTTCTTCTGGGAATGCCCATTCATTGAATATATGGATCCCTCTATTGCAGCCCAAAACCACAATCGAGAGAGAGAGGGGGGGATCAACAGCGGGTGCAGAGTACACAGTACAATATCCAGAACAACTAACTACCCCTTAGCCTACAACTTCTCGATAAAAAACACATCCTACCATCGATTCTATTCTATTTTATCTTCTGCAAGTGACGCGCAACAAGATAAAGAAAAGAGCAGGCGACAAGTCACTGAAAAAAAAGGAGGAGTGTAATGCTTTCGCGCAGCATACAACCCCAGGTCCGGATGGATATATACTAGGGTAGAAGCGCGTATCCCGACCCTAAAATGAGCACGATCACTCATTCGATCCCAACATCCAGTAACCGGCTATCAACAGCATAATCTGGCTGCAGTACTTCATATCCACATACCCACCCGATATCTCAATTCCCAATTCGAACCCAAACACCAGATAGTAGAACTCAGACACTAACCGCCCGAAGTCATGCCGTCACCACCACCATCAAAGTTTCCAGGACTATCCGGGCGGGAGCCGTCCTTTTATCCGAAGTCAGCAGAGAAGAGAAGAGAAGAGAAGAGACTGACATGATTCTCCATAGCCTAGACTACAGTCAGAAGAAGAAGAAAAAAGAAAAAGAAACTCATGATGAGTCGATTACGTCGAAGACTACTCCGTAGAGCTGGGGTCAGGTTGCATCCGGAGCATGACCCGCTAAACCCCATCGGTCCATGACACTGCCTACTCATGTATACAGACAGTAAGTCAACACCTCTTCACCTCTTCACCTCTCCACCTCTCCACCTCATACCTCTTCAACCACTCACACCAACTCTCCCACAAAGCTTGGCGGATGGGGGGCTCCACCCTCTGGCAGCTGTCATGGCATCGACCATAGAAAAAGAATGTACAGTGACTGTCCTCATCACTCCGCGCCGCCTTACCTGGTCGACACTCCCTGCGATCCGTGGGTTCTCCCAAGTCAATTCCCCTCGTGCATCGAATGAACAATCCCCCATCGTCCGCTCGGCCCGGCACTGCACTCTCCAGACGGACACCCAGTGCCAGCCCCATGTCTCATACGTCAAGACCTCTCCGAGTGGTCGAATCAACGAGTCATACCCCTAGCACCAGCCAAGTCATTCGCCGGGAGCATGGCGGTCGGTCAAACCACTGTTACACCCACACACCCCGGGGGCATGGGTTTACAGGTACCAGACAGACGTCTTACACAGAACTCTCTCTCCGCAGCAACCCGGGAGCTTTTGTAGACCCAAAAAATCTACTACGTCAGCATGATTGTCTGCACACAAGGGGTGATTCTCCGCTGCTCCCTGCACTTCCGCCGCTCACTGCTGGTCAAGCCTTTTCCCTCTTGCAATCTTCTAACGGAGAAAAAGAAACGGTCTATGGTGGAATTGAATCCTCCAGCCTATCGTTTGCTTTTTCGCTCCTCATTCTTTTCTCTTTCTAGCTCTCTCGCTTTCGCTGTCTTTCCCTCCTAGCCCGTAAAACAGCGGAGAAGCGGAAGCAGGGAGAGACAGAGTGAACCCCCTGCTGCATAAGGCAAAGTGATTCAGACAGACGAAATGGCTGAGCAAGGCGCGACAACCACCACGGGCACCACGGGCAACACGCTCGACGTCGAACGCGGCGGCGCACAACCGCAGCCCTCGAGCTCGGAGCAGCGCCGTGACTCGCGGCGGGTGTCCCGCGTCTCCTACAAGGAGGACTACGCCAACCTCGACGAGTACGGCAAGCTGGTCAAGTATGCCTCGACCTACCGCGAGGGTGGCCGAGGCGACGAAGGGCAGGGCGAGGAGGAGATGAAGCGCGTGTGGTACGCCCCCTGGAAGAAGCGCAAGGTCTTCGTCAAGCACGTCGACCAGCAGCAGGGCTACCCGGAGGAATGGCTCCTCACCGACATCCGTCAGGGCCTGTCCAGCAGCGAGGTGCCGGACCGCCGGCGCCGCTCGGGCTGGAACGAATTGACCTCCGAGAAGGAGAACCCCATCGCCAAGATCCTGTCCTACTTTCGAGGTCCCATTCTTTATGGTATGTTGCTGTGCTACGTTCTCCAAGAAACCGAGCTGACCTGGTGATGTAGTCATGGAACTGGCCGTGCTTCTGGCCGCGGGTCTGGATGACTGGATCGACTTTGGTGTCATCATCGGTATCCTCTGCTTGAACGCGGCGGTGGGTTGGTACCAGGAAAAGCAAGCCGCGGACGTGGTCGCCAGTTTGAAGGGCGATATCGCCATGAGAGCCACGGTCATTCGTGATGGCCAGCAGCAGGAGATTCTCGCTCGGGAGCTTGTCCCGGGTGACGTGGTAGGTTCTCTGGCCCCTCAGCAACGCAGTCCAACACTAACCCGCGGTGGAGATTATCGTTTCCGAGGGCCATGTCATCCCTGGCGACGCCAAGGTGATTTGCGACTACAACGACCCCGATGGATTCGAGGAGTACAAGAGGATGCTGGAGCAAGGCGATCTCAGCAGCACCTCCGAGTCCGATCACGAGGACAACGAGCCCGAGAAGCCGGGCAAGCAAGCCGAGGGCGGCGGCGGGGAGGACCCCGAGAAGGACCAGCCGCCGTCCAAGCCCAAGCGCGGGTACCCCATCCTGGCGTGTGATCACTCGGCGATCACGGGCGAGTCCCTGGCCGTGGACCGCTACATGGGCGGGATGATCTACTATACGACTGGCTGTAAGCGTGGTAAGGCCTACGCCGTGGTGCAGACCGGGGCGAGGAACTCGTTTGTCGGTAAGACGGCCAGCATGGTGCTGTCCGCCAAGGGGGCGGGCCACTTCGAAATCGTCATGGACAACATCGGCACCTCGCTGTTGATCCTGGTGATGGCGTGGATCCTGGCGGCGTGGATCGGTGGCTTCTTCCGCCACATTCCCATCGCCTCGCCGGGCCAGCAGACGCTGCTGCACTACACCCTGGCTCTGCTGATCATCGGTGTCCCCGTCGGTCTGCCGGTGGTCACGACGACGACTATGGCCGTGGGGGCGGCGTACCTGGCGAAGAAGAAGGCCATCGTGCAGAAACTGACAGCCATCGAATCCCTGGCAGTACGTTACCCCCGTCTCCCCCAAGACAACACCGACAAAACATGGAGCGACGACTAACAAAACCCAGGGCGTTGATATCCTCTGTTCGGATAAAACCGGCACCCTGACAGCCAACAAGCTCAGCATCCGCGAGCCGTACGTGGCGGAAGGCGTGGACGTGGACTGGATGTTCGCGGTGGCGGTGCTGGCCTCGTCGCACAACATCGAATCGCTGGACCCGATCGACAAGGTGACCATCCTCACACTCCGTCAATACCCGAAGGCGCGCGAGATTCTGCGCCGCGGCTGGCAGACGGAGAAGTTCACGCCGTTCGACCCGGTGTCGAAGCGCATCGTGACGGTCGCCAGCTGCGACGGCACGCGGTACACGTGCACCAAGGGGGCGCCGAAGGCGGTGCTGCAGCTGACCAACTGCTCCAAGGAGACGGCAGACCACTACAAGACCAAGGCGCAGGAGTTCGCGCACCGCGGGTTCCGCTCGCTGGGCGTGGCCGTGCAGAAGGAGGGCGAGGACTGGACGCTTTTGGGGATGCTGCCGATGTTCGACCCGCCGCGCGAGGACACGGCGCAGACGATCACGGAAGCGCAGAACCTGGGCATCAGCGTCAAGATGCTGACGGGCGACGCGATCGCGATCGCCAAGGAGACGTGCAAGATGCTCGCCCTCGGCACCAAGGTGTACAACTCGGACAAGCTGATCCACGGCGGGCTGAGCGGGGCGATGGCGGGCGACCTGGTCGAGAAAGCCGACGGCTTCGCGGAGGTCTTCCCCGAGCACAAATACCAAGTCGTGCAGATGCTGCAGGACCGGGGCCACCTGACCGCGATGACCGGCGACGGGGTCAACGACGCGCCCTCCCTCAAGAAAGCGGACTGCGGCATCGCGGTCGAAGGCGCGTCCGAGGCGGCGCAATCCGCCTCGGACATCGTCTTCCTCGAGCCCGGCCTCTCCACCATCATCGACTCCATCAAAGTCGCGCGCCAGATCTTCCACCGCATGAAGGCCTACATCCAGTACCGCATCGCGCTCTGCCTGCACCTGGAGATCTACCTCGTCACCAGCATGATCATCCTCAACGAGAGCATCCGCGTGGAACTGATCGTCTTCCTGGCCCTCTTCGCCGACCTCGCCACAGTCGCCGTAGCCTACGACAACGCCTCCTTCGACCTGCGACCAGTGGAATGGCAACTCCCGAAAATCTGGTTCATCTCCGTCCTCCTCGGCCTGCTCCTCGCCCTCGGCACATGGGTCGTGCGCGGCACGATGTTTTTGCCTTCTGGCGGCATCATCCAGAACTGGGGCTCCATCCAAGAAGTTTTGTTCCTGGAAGTCGCCCTCACCGAAAACTGGCTCATCTTCGTGACCCGCGGCATGGACACCTGGCCGTCCATCCACCTAGTGACCGCGATTCTCGGGGTCGACGTCCTGGCCACAATCTTCTGCTTGTTCGGCTGGTTCAGCAACGAGGACATGCCCACCATCCCCGCCGACCAGTTCGTGGAAACCACCAACGGCTGGACGGATATCGTCACCGTCGTGCGGGTGTGGGGCTACTCGCTGGGCGTCGAGATCGTCATCGCGTTGGTGTATGTCATGCTGAACAAGTTCAAGTGGCTCGATAATCTGGGCCGCGCCAAGCGCGACAAGGGCGACCTCAAGATCGAGAATCTGCTGGGCCATTTGGCCCGCTTGACCGTGGAGTATGAGGAGCCGGGGAAGCCGAAGGGCCGCTTCTCGTTGGCGGCCTCCAAGGAGGAGGAGGAGTTGGAGTGATTCTCGGTCTACTCGGTATGTGGTCGAGCGGGAGGGGGTGGTTTCGGTGGGGTGGAAGGGGGTTGTTGGTGGATTGTTCCGAAGAGAGGTCGATGGGGGAAGTAGGGGTGGTTTGGGTTAGGGTTAGGATGAGGATATAAGATACGGTTACGGTTACGCGAGATTTCTTTGCTGCTGCTACTGCTGCTGCTGCTGCTGCTGGTGGTAATTGTTTACTTAATTAATATAGGGCTGCCCGACCGGTCAGTCATTGGGAATTGATTTGAGTTTATTCTGGTCGATGAGCAGTCGAGTCAGAGCTGGAATACGCACTGACTTGCCAGGGTTAAGGACTGCAAGCCCAGCAGGACATGATACAGTACATCCCACCAAGTAGGTATAGCTTTCTGGAACCGGGACAGACTGTGACTTCCTTCTACGAGGCGTCCTCCCTCGACCCCAGCACCCGCTCCCACAGCCGCTCCATCTCATCGCCGACCCTCCGCGACGTCCCACGCGGCGAGCTGCGCGCGCCAGTCCGGGTACTTGGCGGCCAGGGCGGCGGTGCCGTTGACGTTGACGAGCACGACCAACCTCCGTGGTGAGCGTGTGCGTCTCCAGCACGGCACGCTGCCCCACCACGTCCGGTCCGGCCGCGGCCCCAGGATCCCCAGCGCTTAAGGTCGGTCGCACCACGGGCACCAGTGCACCCCCTGGCCCCAGGCTTCCTGCAGCCCCGGGCACGGACGGCAGCCCGTGCCCAACACGACTTTTGCGGGCCGTGTACGCGGTGCCGTCCACGTCTTGCGCCCGGAAGTAGCTTGTGTTGGTGGGCTGGGTCGCTCGCCGGCGTGACGGTTGTGATGGTCGGGTCCAGTCCACGATCGTTGCCGTGTCGTACTTCATCGCGCACGAGACTCCGAAATTCGGACGGGGGTGTGCCTTTTGGGGATGGTCAGTGATGGGCCCTGGCTGCTGCTGCTGCTGCTGCTACTGCTTCGATGGGATGGGGATGGAAAGAGGAAAGGTACCGTCGTTGCCGATCACATCGTGCAGCTGAGCTCGAATGCAAACTGCAGCTGCAGCCAAGACCCATGAACACGCTCGCGCCATGAACGGGATGTACAGTAGGTTGCTCCCGTGAGGTCGGGGGAGTGGATTTGCCGGGGGCAAGGCAGGACGTGCCAATGGTCTAGTCATTGTCACCTGAGTCAGTGGTAGACTGGTAGTCAGGGTCCAGGGGTTTGGGAGGGCGAACAGGGAAGAAGTGAGGTCGATCGGGCAGGGCTGAGCGGATTATGGAAATAGTTCATGCACCGCGCTGATCAATGATCTCACCAGTGTGGCCATCGTGCAGGGTTGTCCGTGGGTGAAACAGGGAATCGGGTACGGAGACGGAGTGGTGGACGCAGTCGAAGCAAGATTCCGTGCCGGCGTCAGACAGACGTGAGGAGGGGAGAAAGAGAAAGAGAGATGGTGAAGAAGGGATTGCGGCAGGGAAGAAGAAGAAGTGGTAGAAGTGCCGAGGCGGTCGACCTCAACTACAATACACAATCCAATCTGTAGTAGACAGACCCAACACCTCCCCAACCCAACACGGGATATTGCCTCGCAAATGCCAAAATATAAAGTATATATTCGTATCAATATCAACGCCAAGCTAACTATCCATCAGGTACTGCGGACATATATACAGCCCTCACGAGGATGTACATGAACTGTATATAAACAAGAACTCTCCATCACTCACGGGGAAACCATCACCACCACCATCACCACCACCAGTGGCATCCCTACAACCCACTCACCGGAAACCGAAACTTATGATAAATTCGCGACGTACTCTGCGTCAACGCGGAGCGGATCCCACTCAAGTACCCGGGATTGCCATACGCCTGGGTGACATCCCACAGCATGACGCCGCCAAACGACTTGAAGGTCCTGGCGTACTGGATGACCTGCTGCAGCTGCGAGATGGAGACATACCCGGACCCCGCAGCCCCGGTGTTGGCGGGCGCGCCGACGAGGACCTTGACGTTCTTGTTCTGCGAGACGGTCTTGGCCCAGGTGTCCCACTGGGCGAAGTTGAACGAGGGCTGGGTGGTCTGGCCTGGCTGGAACGAGGTCAGGCCGCAGGGGTTGTTGTAGAACTGCACCCAGACGGCATCGATGGAGACGGGGCCGTTGAGGATCTCCTGGTCGGCGAGGTCGGGGTAGGGGCACTGCGGGGCCGCGGTCAGGAAGTACTGTTTGCTGGGGTCGGTGTTGGCGAGGGCGCGCAGGCGGTTGGCGAAGGGGGCCATCTTGTTGACGGTGGCTTCGAAGTCGAAGTCGAAGCCGTCGACGGAGGCGTTGCCGAAGGGACGAAGAGGAGGTTTGGTTGTGGTTGAGGAGGAGGAGGAGGAGGAGGAGGAGGAGTTGACAGGCGGCGGACCGAAGGTCTGCCAGACCAGGTCGGCGCCCGCCTGCGCCGCCGCGTCCGATGCGAAGCCGCCTTCGCTGTACGTCGCCCCGCCGATGGACAGAATCACCGTCTTGCCTTTCTTCTGGCACGTGGTGATGTCGTTGCTGTCCCAGTGTTAGTGAGGGTCAACTTCATCTATCGGACGGACGGGACGGCACATACCCGATCTGCGGACAATTGGGCAAATTGGTCCCATTGAACAAGGGGCAAGCCTTGCTGGTATCGGCGAAGTCGTATTCGGGCACGCCGCCGGCCCCGTTCACCCGCATCACAAACGCAAGGATCAGGACATCGATGTTGGGATCTAGCCTCCAATCAGCCCCTTCATCTCATCCACAGCGCCACATGGCAAGCCGTGGACAACATACCGTCGCAGTAATAGGACAGATTCTGCTGCGCCAAGTTCCCCGACCCCCGATACGAATTCTGGCCTAGCCCTAAGTCAGTCCGGACATCCATCTTCACAGGATCAAGTCCAACCCACCCCAGTATACCGCCACATTGTTCGGGGACGAAAGATCGAGTTTCGCGTACGCTCCGCCCAGCGACGCCAACGCCGCCGTCCAGGCGAGGAGGGACTGGAAGAGCATTGTGCTGTGTGGTGTGGTGTTGCTTTCGATAGACAACCGCACGAGTGGAAGGAGGTGTGCTGGAGGTATACAACACCGGGAAAAGAATGAATATAAATGTCTGAGCACAGCAACGAAGAACAGAGAGGGTATAGATGATGCTTCTCCAGGTAGTGCTTGGTGGTAGCGGTAGTGGTGACAATGGTTCCCCTCAGCCAGTACGTCTGTATCGACAGTCGAATCTCGTTCCGAATACCCTCACCTTCCATCCAGCCCTCGAGAAAACCCTCGACTTTATATCCCTATATCTCCATGACCCCCATATTCCCTCTAAACGGCCAACCTTAAAGACGTAAACGTAAACGTCAACAACCCTAAACCGGTCACCCATCTGATATCAGTCGAACTCTCCCTGACTGTCATAGTCATGCGTTCGGATCGCATGGCACAGCCCTGATCGAGAATATGGTTCTTTCCGGGATCGTCAGGGCCCGGACCATCCACACATTCCTGACACTTCCAGACACACGCGCAGCCGGACAGAAGAGGAGCCAGGAGGACGGGGCGAGGGGCGAGCATCCCCCGCTGACGGCCGGAACTGTCATCGATACGTAGCCGTGCCTGTGATTGGGATAGTGGTGGGCGTGTAGGCGGAGAGAGAGAGGGGTGACTGGTTTGGGAGTCGGGGTAGGGCAGGGCAGGACAGGGCCGAGTTCGCATTCCTTATCCTTATCCCTGGGCAACTGGCCTCGAGGAAGAATGTCGAGTTTGGTAGGACCCAACTCATGTCTGGGGATATGGTCACAGATATGAGAGAGAGGAAAGCCCTGGTGGAAGTAGTAGATATTGTAGCGTGTAGCTTGTAGTAGAACTAGGAGGGAACTAACCCAACCGCATTAGCCCTAATGCTTCAGCCATGATAACCACCACCATCACCACCTCACAAACAAACCAGTACAGTCCATCTCAACCAACCCACCGCACCCACCGTCTTCAGCCCACAACCCCCACCCCCACCCGCCTCAAATCCAGAACCAAACCAAATTCCCCCTTCCCGGCGAAACCCCCAGACTTCCAGAACTCTGGACCTTCAATCGCCATGCCCCAAACCCCCCACCATCCCCAACGAGTGACGCAAAGGTGACCCCGATCCACTTCACCTTCAACTTCCACTTCCTGTTCCTGTATCGTTCTCCCTCTCCCGACATCTGCAGAAGCCACGCGCCCCTCATGCAAGGGACAAGAGAAATCCCCGATCAATTGACCGGGGTAAGTAAGAGGGAAGGGGGGGGGGGGGGGGAAACCGCTTCCATCCCGCGTCGGGTCCAGGCTCTGAAGCGGTGGTCAAATCACGCACTCATGGCTTCCGAGTCCTATCATACCCTCACTGTCACTGTCACTGTCACTGTTACTTGAGGTCAGTATCATCAGTAGGTGCGTGCGGGGCGTGTGATCCGCGCACTCGACCACGACCATCCCCGATGCTGAATGATATGGTAGGATGATCGATCGCATTAGACTTTCTGCTCTCCGGACAGTGTATACAACCACCACCACCAACAAGAACCAACCAATCTGGAAAGGCAAGTAAACATCGAGTAGTACAGCACCACAAACACAAACACAAACTCCCGCAACAGAACAAGAACAAGAACAAGAACAAGCACAGGGATGGAACTGGAACGTGCAAACGGCAAACGGCAAACGGCAAACGGGCAACCGGCTCTCGGCCCTGTCTATCTGTCCACGGGGACGGGCGAATCCTGCGCACGGACAAGACAGACCAGACCCAGATCCTGTGCGTGTGTACCTGCGTACCTGCGAATGACGGCAGTGCTAGAGGGTTGTTTCACAACAACCTCAATTCTATTTGCGGTGACGGTTGCGGATAGGATCCATAAACTGATGGCGGGTAGGAATGCGGGGACGGGGACGGTGTTGGCCTGGGGATATATGGTATGCTGGATCCCTGGGGCTAAGGTCGATGCGGAGCAGGGCTCTGTCTCTTTGGGGTTGAGACTGGATGTATGGGGGGGTCCGGGTTGAGGGAGACTGTAGGCTGCAGGCTGCAGGCTGCAGCGACCGCTACAGCGACAGGATAGTGAGGTCATTGGGGCCACCTGTGCTACCCACAGATCCTTCTGCCTTATGATGAGGGTCGAAAAACAGCAGGACATCTTTGTGGAACCACACCCGACGCGAATAGCATTGACCCTCGTCGCACGAGATATGGAAATCATGCGCCGAGATACTAACCTATACTGTGTACAAACTGCCCGTGGAGCTACTGCGCAATCCCCACCAGCCGCTCAAAAGCCGCCTCATTCTCCAACCCCCCATCAATAACCCCCGCAACCTTCAACACATCCACCACCCCATCCACCACCGCCCGCTGGACCCCGCGCGTCCCCTTCGTAAAGCGCACATCCTTCATCCACTCGCGCGCATCCTCCTCGCCATACGTGCACCCGAGCTCCCCGGTCCCCAGCAGCGTGACCACCCGCTCGCGATCCGCCTCAAACTCCGCGATCCCCTGGTCCAACACCTCAAACAGCCGCGCCAGTCGCGCATCGCTCCCCAAATCGCCCGCGAACGTCGCCGTCGACGCCACGATCATCCACGACGGCCAGGGCGTATAGATCTCGCCGATCTTCTTCAGCGGCGGGTGGGGGTGGTCGGCGGTGGGCCGGAAGTACGGCTTCGTCGTGAATTCCTCCCACATGAAGAAGTCCGCGGTCGGGGCGGTGGTCGCCGACGACGATGCAGGGTCGGAGCCGGTGACCCCGTCGCGCAGGGACCCGAACGGCCCCAGGATGGTCGGGGTGAGGGTGTCCGTCTCGGACCAGTGGTGGGTCTGCGAGAGGACGAAGGACATGATGTGCGAGCCGCTTCACCACCAGACATCAAGCACCAAGCAGTGTCAGTCGTGGCATCCTCGGTAGGTTTGTCATAGGACAATAGCACTGCAGCAGGAGGAGGAGGAGGAGGAGGGGGAAACTCACCTTCCCAACCGACTAACACCGACCCTCCCGCCCTTCAGATCCTCTACACCGTGAATCTCCGCCCGCTCGCGCCCGGTGACGATCGCCCACCGCAGCGGCGTGTCCACCCAGTGGCCCACGATCTTGTAGCCGTCCGTCGCTGAGTCCTTGGGCGCCTGCTGCTTGCCCACCAGCCCGGCCACCCACCCTTCCGTCAGGCCGATGGCGAGGTCGATCTCCTTGTCGCGGAGCGAGGTGATCATGTGGCCCGTGCCGGAGGGGAAGGGGACCAGGCGGACTTCGAACGGGAGGTGGGCGGCGGAGGAGCGGAGGGCCAGGTGCAGGGGGCCGAGGTAGTGCTCTATTTCTTGTGAGTGTTCTGCATCCTTGGAGAAAGTCTGGGAGATATGGGCGGTGGAGGGGTTGGTGGGAGGGTTTGATTGCTCTCGCGGGAGGATGGCTTGGATGTATGAGAGGTGCTGATGGTGGTCTCGCTGGAATACTAAGAAGGGAAGACGTACCTGGCACATAGCCAATTCGGATTGTTTCTGTGCTTGAGGCCATGATTGAGAGCTTGTGATGCTTTGGGGTACTGCACCAAGAAACAGGCAATTGTAGACCGAAAGATTGGGTGGGATGGATGGTGGGGGAATGGATGACCCCGCGGACAGAGCGGCATGTCATCTGCCGCCCGCCGGGCGATCGATCGGACGGAGAGGGGGTCCCGTTTCCACTCGTTTCGTTAATGCTCACTGCAAGTACAATAGCAATTAAAGATATCTAAAACTCTATAGACAGATCTGTGTAGTCTGAGATCCAATTGCAGAATCTAGCCCTACAGCAAACTGCCATATCTATCTACACATCACGGAGCCATCAGGTCATCCGAATATCCTTCTCCTCAACCTCCCATCCCTCACTCGCCCCCCGCGAAGGACTGCCCGCAGCCCCAAACGAGGGTCCACTATACATCCAAAACTGCAGTCCCAGATACAAATCGCAGATGCACTGGAACATCGCGCACAGCCGGAACGACCAGGGAATCACCTCCGCGCTGCAGAAGAAGTAGCTCAGCTTCGTGATATCACCCAGAATCCACGCCGCAACCACCGACAGCCGGAACCCCACGCACGACCGCGATTGATGGTTCTTGATCACCTGCGGCAGCGGCAGCGTCGCCTCCACCGCGAGGCCGACGTATCCCAGCAGGCCGATGTAGGACTGCGAGTAGGCGAGCGGCGGAAGGAAGACTTGAACGACGGCGAGGGCGACGGTGAAGTACGCGAGGAACATCCAGTAACTGCGCATTCGTCGGGTCAGCAGTCAGATCGCGTGGTTTTGAGAGAAAACAAGGAAACATACGGCTTCGCGCTCCGCCACTGCCAAAAGTCATACGGTCTCGTGAACCCTGGCCCGCTGTCCACGCTGCTGAAGGGGACGTGCTCCACTCCATTCTTCAATCCAGGGGCCGGCCGGTTGTCGAGTGCTACCTTCAACAGGATGATCTGCACTCCGATCGTGAGGACGGCCTGGATGAGGAGCGAAAGAGAGTACTTGGCGCCGAACCAGTAGAAGACCCTAAGTATTAGGTGTCAGTCCCCGTCGCTTCCCTGCCCCAAGACACGTCTTACTTCAGAATCGACGCAATAAGCATAATCAACGGTATGTCCATGGAGAAGCCAGCCGAGCTTCTGCTGCGGTGGATGCTGAGGATTTGGTCCGCATATGAGGTGACCGGCGAGGTCATGATACTGTTTGAGATGATTGATCAGTGGTCTGTTCACGCCAACAGCAGAAATCGAAGCGTACAATAGAGGAGCTCCATATTCAAGGGCTTGCGATAAGAGGTTCATGGTGCGTTCAATAGCCCGTCGAAGCGTATGAGGACAAGGTGTTTTGTCACAGCCAAATCCAGGTGTTGAGAGCGGAGATTGCGGTGGACCGGAGACGATCTAGAACTGTCGGCCAAAAGAGGAGTCGCGCGCAAAACACACCGATATCCTAAGCCACGCTGGAAGAAACGAAGAGAATGAAACGATTGCTTGCAACGGCCGTGTCAGATCTCCAACCCCTCGAGAGTTGAGCCACCACCGGATGCGTCTTTCCTCCCTTTTACTTTTCCCCCTGGCGCCCGCTGACTCAGCCCCACTGATCGGCGCCAAAAATCGAGTCTCGTCCCTATCGGGTCACAATACGGTGCTTATTCACCACTTCACCACTTGGCTCGACATTACGAGGTACCACTATCCTACTCGAGCTTGTTGACACTGTAGCCTTGGCCAGAATGGGCCTGGAGTTTGATATACTATCGGAATCCACTCGTCTATCGCTCCCAAAATCAAAACTCAATCCGCCACGAGTTGCCAATGGCCACGTTCGGGTTTTTGACCACCGCATACGAAGCCTTACCGTCCTGCTGGCTGTGATATTCAATCGAGGCGGTGGTGGCAGCTTTGGCGTTCTCCTCAATCACCGTCACGCTGGCCTTGTCCTGCCAGTCCTTGGGTGGGTCGACAACAATGACCCGCTCCACGCGAACCCCAGCCATTTTCTTCACATATTCGTTCGTCTTGGGACCCTTCACACCCAGATCTTCGGACGACAGAGCAGAATCACGGAAGGCGAATCGGCGGTGGATGTAAGCGCCACGCTCGTAGTCAAACGTCTCGCCATCATCAACGTAGAGGGTACCGTCAGCGTGGCCGTTCTTGTCCAAAGCGATAACAAGAGTGTAGGGATCCCATCTCATCAGTCCGCTGCTGCGGCGTGGGCGATCCTTACGAGGGATGACATGGCCGCCCTGCATCAGCAAAGGTATCTTCTCCATAGGAGCGGGCACAGTATGCCGCTTGCCTGCTCCTTGGTAGACGGTATAGTCGAAGTAATCATAGTACTTCTCGTCGTCAGCAAGGTAGATGTCAACACTGGTAGCATCCTCTGCCACCACCGGCTTGGCAAGAAGACCCGTGTTGCCGAGATAGAGCTGATCGTCAATAGCAAAGCCTGCCTCGTCGGTAGGATGAACATAGTATTGGGGCCGCACAATCGGCATCCCGTTCACCGAAGCTTCGTGGAAGGCGGTATACCAGGCAGGCAAGAGCTGGTATCTCAGGCGGATGGCCTGCGCAATGATGGATCGGAAAGGCTCAGCAACTAAGTACGGCTCGCGTCTGCGGGTGTCAATGTGAGCGTGGGCGCGGAAGAACGGATACCAGATACCGGTCTGGTACCACCTGGTCAAGAGTTCCTTGCTCGGGTTCTGGAAGAAGCCACCGACATCAGCACCGGCAAACGGGAAACCCGCGATACCATTGTTCAACACCATTGGCAGCGAGGCAGCCAAGTGATCCCAGGTCGCCTGGTTGTCACCCGTCCACATGGCTGACATCCGTTGAGCACCGGCATAGTAAGAGCGGGTCAAAATGAAGGGTCGGCGGACTTCGCCCTTCTTGCGCTCCAACAATGCATTGTAGGTAGCATTGACCAAAGTGACACCATGCACATTGTGAATATCGCGATGCTCCCAGTTCTCATGGTGCAGGTTGTCCTTGGGCATAGTGGTTTCGGGGCCGTTGAAAACGGATGGCTCGTTCATGTCATTCCAGATGAAGACATTTGACAGGGTGCCCTTGAACTTATCATATTTGAACAAGCCCATCCACCACTTGATGGCTGCCGGGTTGAAAGTATCAATCCAGTTCGACGAGCCAGGCCAACACCAGCCATCATAGATCTCGCCATCCTTGTTCCTAGTGGCCAAGTTCTTGCTCTTCAGTTCTTCCGAGATAGTGTACCCATCCTTGTTCTTGATATGAGGATCGATCAAAACCACGAGCTTACGCTCAGACTCATCGAGCTGCTTCTCCATGCTGATAGGATCAGGGAAGGTAAGCGGATCCCAGGTGAAGTACTTCCTGTCATCAGTGTACTCGAGGTCCAGCCAGATGATGTCGTAGGGGATCTGGTACTTGTCAAAGTTGCGATCGACCTCCTTGACATCCTCATCGGTGATGTAATTCCAGCGACACTGGTGGTACGCGATAGCAAAATGTTGAGGCAACTGAGTGAACCCGGTGAGTTCACCATATGACTTGCTGATGTCTTGCGGTGTCGGGCCCAGGAAAACGAAAACATCGATCTGGCCAGACTCAGAGAACCAGTGACTCTGGGTGTCTGTCTTGGCGCCCACACCAAGGGAAAGAGGGTTGGGAGACGAGGTGGCCTTGACAATGTCTACCCAGGTCTCTGCGGCGTTCAGCCAGAAGACGCCGACGGTAGAGTCCTTACGGTGAGCCTGCATGAATGGAATGGAGCCATAGAGGGTCATCGGGCTGTTGAGCTCATACTCAAACACATCCGAGTTGTACATGCGGTAAGGTTCATTGTGGTTGCCATCACCACCGCTGAGATTCGGTCAGCGCCTTCATGATATAGATAGCGGGTCCGCTTACCGAGTCTGCTTCAAAGACATGGAGTCGGCGTGCTCGGGAATACCGAAAACATGGCTGTAGCCAGGGAAGGTAATGTCCAATCCGACACTCTCGGGGCCCTTGGGCTTCGAGTCCGTGTTACCTCCGAAGCTCTCTTCCCACCAGGTGCTCTCGTCTTCCGAAGGCTCTTGATCGCTGCCCTCCGGAGCCTCGACCTTAGGCCGCCAATGCTCCATGTTCAAGTATCCCTGATGGTTCAATTGGACGTGGGTTTGTCCATCCCGCTTGAATTCCGCCTTGAAGGGGTTGTGGTGAATGATTGCTTCGAACTTGTTGTCTGGACCGTACAAGACCCGGGTAACTCCAGCTTCGGTTTCTGGCTCCAAGGCCGCGGTCTTGCTCAAGTCCAAGCCACCAACCAAAGCCCATTTCTCGACCTCATTGTATCGTTCCTTGCGTGCCGGGCTGTTGTGTCGAAGCTCGATTTCGCCCTTCAAGCGCTTCTCCTCATCGACGGTGACCCGTGCAACGCCTGACTCCAGGAAAGAGATCACGAGGGGCAACCGGACCTTTTCGTCCGCGGATAGAGATTTGAGAACGGTTCCGTGGAGCTGTCCATCCTTGAATTGGATGGAGGAGGATTCGAGCTCGTAAGGGGAGGACCAAGTTGCGCCCTTCGCGGTGACATCGTCGGCGAACGCTCGGTTCCGCTTACAGAACCCCGACTGTGAGCATGTCTTGAAACTCTCGTGTTTCACGGAGACTATACGTTGCGGTCAGGTCTATGCACAGGAGCAAAGGCTCTTGAGGGGAACTTACATCCTGGGATGACGAGACATCCAAGGACAATCACCAACGACAATAAGAGGGTCCAACGGGGGGACGATGGCCGGGAGCCGGCCATGTTGCGAGCTTAATAGATAGGATGCAATCAGAGACACTCAATCTCTGAAAACAATAACTTTCACCAGTCACCAGGGGTGAGGACCTGCATCTACCAGAGGTGACGGTCAAATGAAGAAGCGGCAGACTCTGGGACGTTTGAATAAGAGTGCAGTGACATGTGAATAGTTCCAGCCTGGCCAGATTGGCGATGACCGTGACGGAAGCTCCCTGGATTGGGTTTAGTGTGGCTCTAGACTGGATCGGGAGGTTGGGGTTTCGACACCTGAGGCGGTGAGGCGGCCAGGCCATCAGGCCATCAGGCCATTCAGCTGGCAGCTCCAGGCCACAAGGCCCTCACTTTCCACTGCCCCTCCTTTTGCGTCCCTTTCCGTCGAGCCCCACACAGCGTTTGCGGTCCCTCCTTATATTTTTCGCCCAACTCACGCCGGCTCTGCTTCCTTTCCCTTTTCCTCCTCTCATTCGAATCTCCGTGAATCGTTATCATCCACATCCTTCAAAATGTCCAACGAGCAGACGTAAGTTGATGCTCCTCATCCCTCTTTCTCATGCGTTTGACTGGTCTCCTCTTCTCTGTACTATGTCTCGACTACCGACCTACATTGACAGCACTTGACCTCAACGCTCATCTGCATTGACCTCGAAGCTAACCACCGGACACAGCTTCATTGCCATCAAGCCCGATGGTGTCCAGCGCGGACTCATTGGCCCCATCCTCTCTCGCTTCGAGAACCGTGGGTAGGTGTCCCTCAATGCTGATTGTTGTCATCCCCAGCCATGCTAATTGTCCTGCAGCTTCAAGCTCGTTGCCATGAAGCTGTGCTCTCCTTCCCAGCAGCACCTCGAGCAGCACTACGCTGACCTCAGCGACAAGCCCTTCTTCAAGGGACTCGTCTCCTGTGAGTAGCTCGAATAGCTGATACAACAAACACATGCTAATCTTCTGAAACAGACATGCTGAGCGGCCCCATCTGCGCCATGGTCTGGGAGGGCCGTGATGCCGTCAAGACCGGCCGCAGTAAGACTTCTCTCCCCGGATCATGCTACTACAGCGATACTAACAATGTCGATCAGCCATCCTCGGTGCCACCAACCCCCTTGCCTCCGCCCCCGGCACCATCCGTGGTGACTACGCCATCGTAAGAGCCTTTCTATCCATGGAGACCAAGGACACCACTGACAATTGCCCAGGATGTCGGCCGCAACGTCTGCCACGGTTCCGACTCCGTCGAGAACGCCAAGAAGGAGATTGCCCTCTGGTTCAAGCCCGAGGAGCTCCAGAGCTGGAAGCAGAGCCAGTTCGACTGGATCTACGAGAAGGCTTAAATGTCTCATCTCCGCTTTAGCATTTCGGAGCCTACCGACCCTCCAGTTTCAGGGATGTAGCGCTACTTAGATGCAATTGTCCATAAACAATAAAAGCCCCCATGAGAAATACAAGTCATTTCCCGATCTAACTCTATTTATTTTTACCTCCATCCGTACTATACAATCTTCCCGCCCGGTAGAGCACGGCGCTCAGCATCATAGCACCCGCAATCTACTTCCTCCCCCAAAGACCCCTAACCCCCTTCCCCAGGGGCCCAAGCACCACCCTCGCAAACCACGGCGTCGCCCAGACACTCGCCACAATCCGCACCGGCAGGAGAAACTTGGTCACCGTGTACGCCGTCGCAAACTCCAGCACGAGACGCACCCCTTCCGTTTGGGGTTTGCTGCTGCTGCTACTCTCCCCGGCCACGCGTTCCGAAAGAGTCAGCCTCGCCCCCAGGTCTCCACCGCCCTCGAGAGCGGCCAGATCCACCCGCGTATCCGCATCCACCCAGCCGTTCTTGCGCAGCCACCGCTGGAACCGCTGCGTGCCCTGCTGGAAGGACTCGCTGGCGGTCAGGTCGGGCAACCAGTGGCCGTAGTGGAAGGCGCCCGCCAGCCCGAATAAGGGGACAATGGCGGTGAGCTCGTGGAGGATGAGGAACGAGGTGACGTGCGTTGCGGGCGCGCCGAGGAGCGGGGTGGTGTAGGTGCGTAGGAACCGGGGAAGGCGGTCGTTGAATCGCTGCAGGCGCGCGCGGAGGTCTTTCGGGGCGGCGGGTGGAGATGGGGAGGTCGAGATGTACCGTCGGGATGGGGGCTTGAGGTGGGAGGTGAAGGAGGTGAAGGGGGTGAAGGAGAAGGAGAATTGGGTGAGACGGGAGATTGAGCGTTGAGAGGAGGCCATTTTCTTGTTCTCGGGGTTATGGCGTTGTCATTCCCGTCGGCGGCCGGTTGGGTGAGGAGACACCGGAAGGTGGGATTCAAGGTTTCGTCTAGGGAATCCTGATCGGTTGGCTGGAAGTTGAAATTGGATCAGGGGTGGTACATTGACAGGTTGACAGCTTGACCGACTGCAGGAAGGGAGTATGTATGTATGTATGTCTGAGTTGGACTGCATTTGTCTTGACTCTTGAGTAACTTATCATCCACTCGTTGTGGTGGTGGTGGTGGTGGTGGATGTTTGCCCTGTTTGCATAAGTGATGGTCGATTAATTGATTTAATCTCTATAGTTGGATTCTATTCTCCTGAACAGAACAATGAACACTGTTCAATATCCTATACATTGTCGTCATTAATCCAATTGTCCGCCTTCTCATGCTTTTACCCCTTTTGCAACCAGAATTCCATGGTTCACAAATTTCTCACACGCCCAATTGTCTCGTGGAGCATCCAGCAGCCAAGCCCAGAGTCAGTCAGTCAATGCATAACCTTATGCAGGCAGTCGGTCAAGACAAAAAAAGCATGCATCGACGAATATGTCACACCAAACCGTCAGGATGAGTGATTGCATGTACGCATGTACAAATAGTGAAATATACTACACTTAGTCACATCACCAAGTACAGTGACCGGGTAGAGGATGAAGATGGGGTCGCCAAACCAGATCGGCAGTTCGTCATTTTGCCTCTTCCGGAGGGCCCCTCAGAGTCCCACGCCAGAAGCAGATCTTCTTCTTCCCCACCACCACCACCACCACCACCACCACCGCCGCCGCCCTTCTTCTCTTGCGCCTCCTTCTCCTCGGTCACTTCTCCCTCTTTCTCTCGCCCATCGTCTCCTACTAGCTACCCGCAGACGAGCCTGGCTTCACCATGGAGAAGATTACCGATAAGATTGCGGCTTTGCCGCCCGATGCGAATTACTTCTCGCTGGAGTTTTTCCCTCCCAAGACCAAGATGGTGGGGCATTCATTTCCCTCTCCCCGCACCGCAGAATGACTCCAACCCAAAGCCACATATACTGATTGATCATGGTTTCGCCATTAGGGTTTCGCCAACCTTCAAGCCCGTCTGGAGCGTATGGCCCAGGCCCTTCGTCCCTTGTTCGTCACCGTCACCTGGGGTGCTGGAGGAAGTACCGCGCAACGGTCCCTGGAACTGGCTGAGATCTGTCAGCGCCAACTGCAGTTGACCACATGTTTACACTTGACGTGCACGAACATGAGCCGCGCCCTGGTGGACCAGGCGCTGGAGGAAGCCAAGGTTCTGGGCATTAGAAACATCCTCGCCCTCCGTGGTGACCCGCCCCGCAGCGAGGAATACAACATGCACGGCGAGGACGACAGCAACAAGGACTTTACCTTTGCGGTGGACTTGGTGCGCTACATCCGCAAGCACCACGGCGACTACTTCTGTATCGGTGTGGCTGCCTACCCCGAGGGGCACCCAGCAGACAACTTCCAGGACGGCCAGGACCCGGCCAGGGACGTGCCATACCTGGTCGAGAAGACCCAGGCGGGCGCCGACTTCATCATGACTCAGCTGACCTACGACATTGACGCCTACACCAAGTTCGAGAACATGCTCCGAAACCACGAATCCGGCGCCTTCAAGACCATCCCCATCATCCCCGGCTTGATGCCCCTTCACAGCTACAAGATCCTGACGCGCGTGACGAAGCTGAGCCATGTCAAAATTCCCCCGCACATTCTGTCCAAGTTGGAAGAGATCAAGCACGACGACGACGCCGTCAAGCGCGCCGGTGTCGACATCGTCTGCGATCTGGTAGACGGCATCCGCAGCATCCCCACCCCCGGCCTGCGTGGTTTCCACTTCTACACGCTCAACCTCGAGAAGACAGTGTCGTTCCTGCTCGAGCGCTGCGACCTCATCGGTCCGTACACGGAATATGACGAACCCATCGAAGACTCCGCAGCATACTCGGCCGCCCGCCTCGAGACCCCCGCGCTCGCGCTCGCCAGCCGCCGCTCCTCGGTCAGCTCCATGCCCCACAACCGCGTCATTGTCGACAAGTTACAGCCGTCGGACGTATCCTCGCGAGAATCCGTCAGCCACGAAGCCACCGCGCTCAGCGCCGGTCTGCCCGCCATGCCCCCGGACCGCAGCACGACGTTGCAGATCTCGGAGGGTCTCGGCGCCCTCGGACGAGAAGCGACCTGGGACGACTTCCCCAACGGACGATGGGGTGATGCGCGCTCGCCCGCCTTCGGCGAGATCGACGGCTACGGGCCCTCCCTCCACATCCTGCCGGCCGTGGCCCACAAAGTCTGGGGCTACCCGGTGACCCGCGACGACATCAGCGCGCTCTTCCGGCGCCACGTGTCCGGCGAGCTGTACATCGTACCGTGGAGCGAAGGCGGCGCCGAGGAGGGCTCCGGGACGCTCAACGCTGAGACGGAGATCATCCGGCCCGAACTCCTGCGGCTCATCGACCAGCGCGGCTGGTGGACCCTGGCCTCGCAGCCGGCCATCAACGGCGTGCGCAGCGACGACCCGATCTTCGGCTGGGGCCCGCCCGGGGAAGGGTTCGTGTTCCAAAAACCGTTCGTCGAGTTCTTCTGCCCCAGCGCGGACTACCAGACGGTCCTCAAGCCGCTTTTCGAGCGCCACGGCCACGAGAGGCTGGCCTGGTTCGCCACCAACGCCCGCGGCGACTTCGAGTCCTCCTTGCCCGGCTCCAACGCCGAGGACCCCGACCCCATCGACATCAACCCCGCCAACGTCAACGCCGTCACCTGGGGCGTGTTCCGGGGCAAGGAGATCGTCACGCCCACCATCATCGAGGAGGTCAGCTTCCGCGCCTGGGGCGACGAGGCCTACCGCATCTGGGACGAGTGGCGCCGCATCTACCCCAAGAACTCGGCCACCGAGCGCTTCCTCGACGCCACCAAGAACGACGTCTGGTTGGTCTGCGTCGTGGGGCAAGAGTTCGGCGCCGGCACCGAGGTCGGCTCCAAGGAGGAGGAGGCGGAGACCAAGTGGATGTGGAGGGAGCTGGCGGGCTGCTAGTTTGAAGCTGTCGGCCGTCGGCTGTTGGCTGCTTCCGTCGTCGTGACCTTCCTAGGGAGGTCCGGATGGGGAGAGGGTGGGGGGCTATCTTGCTGGAACACTGGACATAGGGGTTCTTCTCTCCCCTTCCTTTCGGAGTCATGTATTGAGACCATGTCATATGTGTGTGAGTTATAAAGAAAAGAGGTCGTGTTCTATTAGCCTTTCTATTCAATCTGGCTCTCTCTCACAATCTCTTCCTTCCTTTTCCCCCTTCTTGCCCTTCAATGGCAGTCTAATAAGCTGGTTTCATGACAACGCTGCGTCTAGCTTCCAGTGGCTCTTATTCGTAATACATACCAATCTAGCTTGTCTTTACATGACCATTTAGCAGGTAGCCAGTAGATAGCCAGCAGCTCGACGGATTCAGAGGTACCTGGGTCAAAGTCTTATCTATAAGGTGGTCCCGAGCCGAGCCGGGCTGGGCAGGGCTCTCCAGAACACGGTAGCTGCGCAGCATAAATTCAGGAACTATATTCTTCATATCTTCATAGTCTGTCTACACGTCTTTTAAAAAGCGGAAGCGATCTATTTACCAGCCTTGCCGGTGGGGATGTTGAACAGCACGGCGGGCTGGCCGGGGGCGTAGGGGCGGTCGAGGCGGTAGTAGCCCTTGCGCTCGAACTGGATGATGTCGCCCTCCTTGAGGTCGGCGACGTTGGCGTCGGCGAGGGCCTCGTCGCGGAACTCGGTGTGGGGGTTGAGGACGGCCTCGAGGGTGTCCTCCTCGGTCATGGTGTCCTTGTTGAGCAGGAAGTCGAAGTCGACCAGCTCGACGGGGACGAGCTGCTGGTCGGCCGAGAGCCAGGTGACCTTCTTCTCGGTCTTCTTGAAGTCGCCGGCGAGGTGGAGGTCGAGCTCCAGCGCGGTGACGGCGCCGGTGGCGGCGTCGGTCTCGATCTTGCGCACGATGGCGTTGCCCCACGCCATCAGCGTGATCTCCTCGTCCTGCTTGAAGGTCTTGGCGTCCTCCTGGTCGAACAGGACCGAGTCGCTGAAGGTCACCTTCTTGGTGCCGATGGCCGGGTTCTTCGCGTGCTTGGGCTTGTCCTCGGTGTACGCGGCGGGCGCGCCGTTCAGCTTGGCCTTGACCAGCTGCTTCTTGAACAGGGCGGTGTGGCGCGGGGCAACGGGGTCGATGTACTTCTTGTTGGTGGCCCAGAAGAGGGTCCAGTCGAGGTTCACGATGTTCTTGCTAGGGCCCTGCTTCAGGATGAACTCGCGCAGAGCCGGGATCGTCATGCCGCGACGGCGGATACCCCGGATGGTGGGGAAGCGCGGGTCGTCCCAGCCCCAGACGGCGCCGGACTCGACCAGCTTGGTGAGCTTTCTCTTGGACAGAAGGGTCCGCACGAAGTTCATGCGGGCAAAGTCCCAGATCTGCACATGGCGGAGCTTGAGGGTGTCCAGGAACCACTGGTACTGAGCATTGCGGTCACGGTACTCGATGGTTCTCAGAGCGTGGGTGACACCCTCCTTGGCGTCAACAATCGGGCATGCGAAGTCGTACGTGGGGTAGATCTTCCACTTGGTGCCAGTGCGGTGGTGCTCCGCGACGTTGCATCGGTAGATGACGGGGTCACGAAGCGTCTTGTTGGGGGCGTCGTAGGAGATCTTGGCCCGAATGCACCACCGCAGTCCCTCGGGAGTTCCCTGCTTCATCTCCTCGAAGCGAGCAAGACTCTCTTCGACCGATGCGTCACGGCGCTTGCTGGGCTCGCCGACCATTCTTTGTTCGGCCATGGTCTCCTTGTCGGTATCATCGGCATAGGCATGTCCCTCCTTGATGATGCGGATAGCATACTCGTAGAGCTCGTCGAAGTAGTCACTGGTGTAGCTCAACCGGTCCGGCTTGATTCCCATAAGGGCCAGATCCTCGATGATGGCGTCCTGGAATTCCAGCTTCTCGTTCGACGGGTTGGTGTCATCGAAACGGACCAGCAGGGTTCCAGCATACTTCTCGTGGGCGAAGTAGTCGTTCAGGAGAGCCGCCTTGGCGTGTCCAATGTGGAGGTATCCAGAGGGCTCGGGGGGGAAGCGAGTCACCACACCCTTATCAGTGTTGAGGAGGTTGATGTCGTAACTGGCTCCCTCCTTGGCCTTGGCGGTCTTCTTCTCCTTGGCGACGGCGTTCATGGACTCGAGGGCAGTGGCGGCCCAGGGGCAGAGCTCATCAATGAAGTTGAACCACCGGGTCAGGCTGATCAGAGCACCCTTGCGCACAGGGGAGATGGCAACCTTGTTGGCCCGGAGAGCACCCCAGATGGCGAGGTCGGCAGTCGAGAGCGAGTAACCAGCGACGAAAGAGCGCAGGAGGAGGTGGGTGTTCAGACGCTGGAGCTGAGGTTCGAGGGTCTTGAAGTCGAGAGTGGTGAAAGTCTCGAGCTGAGAGAGCCATTCGGTCTCCTATAATGCAGTGGTTAGTAGACGTCGAACCACGTGCGATTGGACGGTCTTCATGCCCACGTACCAGCTTCTCATCCTTGGCGTTCAGGAAAGGAAAAGCAGCACGCAGTTCCTTGATCGCATTGTCGGAGCCATAGACAGGCGAGCCGTTGGCACCGGTGAGTTCGACCGTGGCCTTGTCCCCAGTGCTCAAGACAGCGCTATCTTCGTAGTTGATAGCAACCACCTCCTGCTCCTGGTTGAGGGAAGTGGCAACCAGAAGGACAGGCAGCAAAGCGGCCGGGTTGGCGCGAGTGGCCAAGGTCAACTGAAACTGCGACATCTCTCTTCACTTCTTCGTAAGAATTGAATTGGATGATGATGGGAAGAAGGGAAGAAACAAAAGGCGGGCGGGGAAGAGACGGAGGAGGGGCAACTTTTTGGGACTCAATCGGGATTCCGCCGGCGGTATTGTTTCTCCGCCTTTCCAGGCCGCCCGGACTCGGAACTTGCTCGATTTCCCGTCGGCGGCCAAAAAACATTGGCTTTGGCTTTCCCATCGTTCAGTCATTCAGAATCCGGGGTCAACACGCCTGCCGCCATGTCGTCGTCGTCGTTAAACTCACTGCTGCCCACTGCGGCACGGGGGTTGGTCTCTTCGTGTCGATCTGCCCTGCGACCTGGCCCCTTGGCCTCGGTCGTTTCCACCGTTTCCACTTTTCAGCAGACGCGATGGGCCTCCAAGGCGAGCTCCAAAAGAGCCCAGAGCCAGGGTTACAAAAACAAAAAGGACAAGCCCAAGGTCAAGGGCAGCAAAAAGGGTAACAAGGAATTCACGCAGCATAATCTGAAGGATATGGAGCAATTTGCGCTGTGCGATGCGATGCGGTATGTGTACCTGCCAATGGCACTGTCATTCGACCAGACACAATAGCTGATCACTCACCCTCGGGACTGCAGATATATCCGCGCCTTCGAAGTCGGCCGCCAGCCCACGGTCTCCAAGTATGAACTGCACATCCGCCTGAAGACCAAGCGAGACGGTCCCGTCATCCGCAACATGCTCCGATTGCCCCATTCGATTTCGACGGAATCGCGAATCGCCGTGATCTGTCCCCCCGGTTCCAAACAGGAGAAGGAAGCCCGCGATGCGGGTGCGGTTCTGGTCGGAGAGCAAGAGGTTTTCGATGCGGTGAAGGGCGGCAACATCCCCTTCGATCGCTGTATTGCCCATCCGGACAGTCTGGAGGCCTTGAGCAGAGCCGGCCTGGGCAGGTTCCTGGGTCCTCGCGGTCTGATGCCCAGCGCAAAGATGGGTACGGTGGTCGAAGATGTGGCCTCCCGCGTCGAGATGCTACGTGGCGGTACGACCTACAGAGAGCGTGCTGCCGTCATTCGTCTTCCCATCGGCCAGCTGGGTTTCTCCCCGGAGCAATTGCGCGACAACATGCGGATCGCCCTGGAGCAGATCAAGAAGGATGCCGTCGCCATGAACGATCGCATAGTCAAGGAGATCTACGAGGTGGTAAGTCGGCGACCATCTCCTTCACCCTCTGATTGTCGCTAACCCACTACTCCAGGTGTTGAGCTCCACGAATGGCCCCGGCTTCAGCTTGAACGGCGAGTTCAAGTCCGACAACACTCCCGACACCACCGGCATGCATGGCCCATAAATATAGTTTCTTGAATATTCCGAGTGTACAGAATATGTTTCATTAGGCAGGACACGGTGTATAATGGTATTGTTTGACATATATATTCAAAGGCATAAGACTTTCCCCAAAACGCCGACGCTATGCACGAGTGGCTTTCACTCTTGTTATGAGGAGAAAGGATCTAGGATTTCATGTTCTTCAGTGCAGACACCGCTGTGGCGTCCTCACCCATGATCTTGTAGAGGCGTAAGATCGCCATCGTTCTCTTGTCCCGCTTGTCACCCGCACGGCTGGCCTGGTCCAGGGCCGTTTTCAGATCCAGGAGCAGCGCCGATCGAATCTTCGAGACCCGGGTCCGCTGGCCTTGGATGAAGGGATGTTCCTCGCCAATGCGGGCCGCCAGCCGCGTCAGGTAGAGATATTTCTGGATATGGTGCTCGAGCGTTTTCAGCGACACGAGCGGGGTTGCCGAAGCCCCTTTGGCCAGTTCCTCCTCGTCCTCCTCGCTGTCCTCGCTGGCGCTGTCCAGCAGGTCCGAGTCCGACTCGCCCTCGGGAGCGGAGGGCTCGGCGCGCGGTGGGCGAGCGGCGTCTCCGATCATGAGTTTCCTCTCCAGCTCCTCGATGCGATCGACGTAGTCCAGCAACGCGCGTCCCACGTTGACCTCACCCTTTAGCCGCTTCTTCTCTTTCAGCAGCCCTTCGACCTCCGCCTGCCGGGCCTCCACCTTGTCGCGGATCGCCCGCACATCGCGCTGGAAGGCCAAGAGCCCGACGCGCACCTGCTCGACCTTCTCCTCGCCACCTTGCAGTGCGATCCCCAGCGACAGGAAATCCTGGTAGTTCTCGTTGACCAGGTCGAGCAGCTCCCGGCTGAGCAATTGGTCGAGGTCTCGTAGTTCTTGTCGCAAGTCTTCCAGACTCTGGTGGCGGTTGGTCAAGGAGGAGAGGTAGGCGGCGGGGTCGAAATCCGGCGCCAGAAAGGAGGCGCGGGACAGAGGTTCGGGGAATGGCAGGCCGGAGGTATCGTCGTCGAGATCGGAGGCCGACTCGTCGGAGTCGCCAAACTACCGCGGAGATTGGATTGTCAGCCGGGTGAGGGGAGGTGGGTGGAGATGGATGGATGGGTGGGTGCATACACGAAACTTGTTCATTCTGGGAGTGAGATAGGATATGGACCAGGCGGAAGGACGCGCACAGGTGGTAGACAAACAACAATGTTTTGGAGAAGTCGGGGAGGGAGTGAAAGAGTGGAGAGGAGATGGAGAAGTGGAGAGGTACGGGAAGTTACTTACGGAGACTGGTAATGGTAGTGGCAGTGGTAGTGGTAGAGGTGGTGGCACGTTGACCAGTTGGTCCCGCCGCCCACCGGAAGTACTCGAAGTATACGGAGTACCGAACAACCTTATACTTCAGTAATCTACATCTACATCTACAGACAGTATACACTACATACACCATCTTCATTTCTACGTTTGTCTTGCAGCTAGCCGGGTCGCATTGATCAGCGTGTCATCCGACGCTCGGGAGTCATGACGATCATGGTCTCAGACAGCCACACCACACACACCCTTACCCGGTTACGCGGAGCTCATGCGTGGATGTGTTCCCAGTGCCAGTGATTGATGCGCTGGAACGACCTACGTGTCTCGTGCCGTTGGTCTGTCCTCCCCGCTGCTGCTGCTGTTGCCGCTGCCACCGTCTCAGCTGTGCGTTGACCGTAAGGTGGGGTTGATCATCACCTCGGGGAGGGTGGTGGTGATGGTGTTGTCGTCCTCGCTTTTCGTTGTCGTCCGTATCCTCCCCCCCCCCCCCTCCCCTTCGGTCTACGTTCTAGTCTAGTCTTGCATCCACACTGGCTGGGATTTTTGTTTTTCATCGGCTGGCCGGAACAATGGATCTTCAATCAGACAGGTTGTTCACCCACACGGATGCTTCTGTTGCCCCGTCATCCTCGTCGTCTTCCTACCCGCGCCGCCGATGGTCGCAGCTCAGCCCTCTGCATAATCACCCCCATACCCACACCCACACCCACACCCATACCTCCTCGTCTGTGGTGGTCGAGACTGTCCGACCCTCTCCATCCACGCATCATTCCTATCGCAACGATGACCTGTCTCTGACTGCTGAGTCCTCTCGAGCACATCGCGCCACTGCCCTCCGTCAGTTGAATGGTTATGCCAGGCCCTTATCAGCCAAGGGCGGGCCCGCAACGACTCGGCCATCCTCCACCACCACCACCACCACCTTGGGGTCTCAGCCCGTGCTGGTGAGAGCATATTCCGGAGGAAGCCCTAATGAGACTTCCACTGCAGCCACGATGCCTTTGCGGCGCTCATTCCTCCTCTTCTCTTCGCGCTCGACCAGCCGCCCTCGTGCGCCGGCACTCCCCTCCGAAGAGGATTTCAGTATCGATGGCATCTTGCGCGCCATCGAGCCCGATATCCGGGGCACGCTCGACGCCATCGGCGAGATCTGCGGTCGAAGTAAGTTGAGCCTGGCCAACGAGTACGGGAGCCATATCGCTCCCCTGGGCGAGATCCGCGCTCCGCCCGGCGGTCTGTTGACCGTGGATGAGGCGAGCTCCGACCACGAGCGACAGGCCGACAACGACGTGGTCATCTTTGACGACGATAACAGCGTGGCCGAGGGGCGGGATTTCCACTCCGCGCCGCCCTTTCGGTCCTGGGGCCACGTCCGGCAGGCGGCGACGGGGTCTCACTCGAGAATGTCCTTACCTGCCGACAGCGCAGCGCTGCAGGCTCAGCCCACGACCCCACGATCCCCGGCAGCCTTACAGTCCGCGCCTGGCGAGACGGGGTTTGACTTGCTGCTGACCACCAGGGAGATCGCATCCAAGTCGAGCGCGAGTGGCCGAGGTCTCCTGGGGAAGCGGGTGAAGCACGACGCCCGACGCCCGACCTACGAGATGATCACGCCGGCACTGGTGTCGGAGACATTGCTGGAGGCGCAGGCCGAGAGCCGCTTTCCACGCTCAAGCGCATCTGCTCCCGAGGCACCTCGTCGCAGTCGGCCGCTCATTACGAGCAATCCAGGAATCGCGCAAGCTGGCGAAGATCATCTTTCGGGGACACCCCGGCCGTCCTCGATGGTCGATATGCGGAGTCTCTTCGGCTGGCTCCGGTATTTCATGAGCGATGCCGAGTATGGACGTAGTCCGGTGACGGCTGAGATGAGGCTGCGAGCGATGTTGGAGCGACCAGCCCATGGCCATGATGACTGAATGATGTTTTGTGCTGATTAATGATTGACGATGTACGACTGTATGGTATTCCACGAATTCCAATCTTCCGTCCAATTAGCAAATTCATAGTTTTGGGTAATAAGCTCGGCTATACAGACATATGTTCAAATCGCAGCCCAAATCTCCCAGACAGTCTTCTCAGAAACCATGGTATCGTTATCAACAGACGTAGACGCAAGGGAATGATATATGAACATGAAGAAGATCGATACATCCAACCTTTCTACTCATCTCAGAACTCTATAAAATTTCCACCCCCCCTCCCCCTCCCCCAGAAACAAAAGATATCACCCCTCAATCTCCGCAACCAACGTCTTCGCAAACCCCTCAAACCGAGCATAAGACCACCCCTCCCGATACTTCTCCACCAACGGCCGATCATCCACCTTTCCTTCTTCCTCCCCCTCCTCCCCGTCCTCCTCCTCATCATCCTCATCCTCACTCCCCTCCCCATCCCCCCCAATCCCTTTCCCCTCCACCAACGCCCCAAACCCAACATCCACCGGCACACTCCCCAAAAACCTGACCCCCATCTCCCGTGCCATAACCGCCCCGCCCCCGCTCGAGAACAAATTCGTCACCTCCCCACAGCACGGACACGTATACCCGGACATATTCTCAATGACGCCGAGCGTGGGGATGTTCGTCTTGACGCAGAAGTTGACCTCCTTGCGCACGTCGGAGGTGGCGATTGCCTGCGGGGTGGTGACGAGGACGGCGCCGGCGAGGCGGGGCATGTTCTGCGTTGCTGTTGGCGTGGTCTGTGTTTCGGGCGTGGCGGTGGCCGCGGAGGTGCTGCACAGCGTGAGCAGCTGCTCGGCCAGCGCGATGTGCTCGTCGCTCGTGCCGGGCGGGGTGTCCACGAGCAGATAGTCGGTCTCCCCCCAGAGCACGTCCGAGAGGAATTGCCGGATCATGGCGGTTTTCTTGGGGCCGCGCCAGATTACGGCGTCGGAGCGGGAGCGTAGGAGGAAGCCGAGGGACATGCAGTGTAAGGGGCCGCGGGGGGTGGGCTTTGGGGTTGAGGGAGTGGGGATGGGTTCTTGGTGCTGTTGCTGTTGCTGTTGGGCGGGTGGGAGGTTGGTGCTGGTGCTTGTTGTTGTTGCTGCTGCTGCTGTTGCTGCTATTGTAGGGCTGTTGGGGCAAGGTGATGATGCATCTACACCGGGATGCACAGGCACAGGTAGCCAGCCACCGGGCGCTTGGGTGATCTTCGCATCTTCCAGGCCGACTAGCCGCGGGATCGAGGGCCCCGTGAGGTCGATGTCGAGGATGCCCACGGATTTGCCTTGCAGGGAGAGCGCCAGGGCCAGTTGCAGGGTCACGGAGGATTTGCCGACGCCGCCTTTGCCGGAGAGGACCTGTTTTTCGATACGGTGTGTGAGTCGCAGACAAAAGGGAAAAGCTGGGCTTGTTGGGAGTAGGGTTTCTGGGGCCAAGGTGTAGGTTCGTAGGGGAGTGTGCTGGAGTGTGCTGGAGTGTGCTGGAGTGTGCTTGGTATGCCCTCCACTGCGCGTTATCGATAAGAGGAGGAGGAGGAGGGGCAAATGTTCTGGCAGAGCTTAGGGATTGGGGGTTCTCGTACCAGCACCACGTTCTTGACGCCGTCCAGAGGCATCTTCTTGGTTTTCTGCTGAATAGACGGGGAATCAATGGAGGAGCAGACAATCTGTTGATTAGCGGGTGGGGGAATCAATGGAGGTGATGGTGATAGCCGATTTCGGGCGCGTTTTTTTTCTGCGTCATTCCGCGGAGGTTTGCTTATCAATCGGGCTTGGCGAGAGGAACGCCGATGAGATTACAGCAACAGGCTACGCTGAAACTTTTACTAATGACTGACATCCCAGAATACTAGCTGAATCATTGAATCATTCTCATTGTTCATGAATCATCTCATCTCATTTCTTAGTTTTAGATCGCCAGGACTATCTATGCATCGGCTCATTGCTGAACTTCTAGACCACAGCCTCATAGCAGGCTCATTGCCACTTCTGCACCACAACACCGCCCCTCTTGAAGTCGGCCATCTCCCCCAGGACAGCACTCTTGTCCGTAAGGTCCTTGCTGGGAAAGGTGGTCATCAGTACCCACGGGCGGGACTGGCTAGCGGGGCTGGACGCAGACACGAATTCGTAGACATCCCCAATCGTGTGCGTAGTGTTGAAGCGAGACGTGAGTCGTGTGCCATCACCAAGGCGAATTTGCAGAGTGATTGTGGGCTGAGATTCATCGACCGTAGGCTTAGGTGGCTCTGAGGCTTGACTTTCCGGGGCTGGAGCCGGAGCTGGAGCTGTAGCCGCGGCAGAGGTCGACACGCCAGGCGTCGGGCTTCCCAGTCGCTGCCCTTGGCCAGAGAAGGGCTTGTACTTGGGCTTAGGCTTGACGTATTTCTCCTCGTGCTGGTTGATTTCCACGTCCACCTCCTGGCCAGACTGTACGTTCATGATCGAGAGGGGAGCACGACCCTGTCGGATCCCCTCCAGGATCTCGGCATTCCGGGGGTCATCGGAGCGGTACAGCTCGCCATCGTCGACGGAGAATCCGTCGGCCCAGAAATGAAGCGTTCTCTGAACCCGTTGCGGCACTTGCGTAGCCGGCGCGCTCGGGGCTTCGATTACCCGGCTCGGAGCGTCATCGCCACCAAGGGTACGTGCTGTGCCCGTGAAGTGCGACTGTCTGCTTGGTTCATCCGAGGAGGGCAGCTGAGTTCTACTACAGTGTTAGCCTCCTTCTGAGCATGCTACCAGTGGCGGGTTTCACCTCTTGGCCTTCTCGATAATCTTCTTCTTGATGTCGTCGGGGTTCTGCACGGCGAGGCCAGACTTCTCCCCTCCCGCGAAGAAGTCCTGATTCACGGAGTCCTCCTCTTCCGAGGACTCACCCGCCCCGGAGGCAAAATCGCCCAACGTCGCGAATCTCTTCTTCGGTCCGGTCCTGCGCGAGGAGGACGGCTGCGGGGTAGTGGATGGAGACTGGGATGAACTCCCACCGAGTGTGCGACCGGCGGCCGGTCCCGTTTCGGCTCCTATGCCCTGCCCGGAGCCTGTGTTTGCGCCCTGCATAGCTTCGTCTTGCTCGGCAAAGAATTCGGTCACTGCGGCTTCGAGGTCCCATTCGCTGGCTGCCAGGTATTCTTGAGCCTGTACGAAGTAGACGTTAGTGAGAAGATCATATCCCGGAAGTTCAGGGACAGACATACTACTGAGGCATCAGTGCCAGACATGGCACAGAACTGGGATACCAGCTCATCGTGAGCTGCTTGATGTTCCATGTTGATGATATAACCGGGACTGCAAAAGTCGCTGACGCCGGAGAAAATTGGTTCACAAGAATCACACGGTCACTTTAAGCAGAGTACCGTCCAGAATTATTCAGGAGTATGCAGAAGAGATCGTACTTGGCGAGAGGCGCCTGGTGTGAACGAAGAAGGAGATCTGGTGGATACAACTAGAAGCAGCTGTACTATACCTTCGTGAAGCTGGAAACAACAATGTGGACAAGCTGACAAGCTGAGGTACGTCACTGCTGCCTGATTGGTCATCCGGAAGAGGGGATCTTCCGTCTAAGGTTCATCTATTCTAAATCGACGCCTCAGGCAGAAACAGTCAGCAGAGTACTGTACGGAGCACTCCACACAAACTCGGTCCTGTTGAAGTAGTACTGCACGTCATAAGCTTGACCGGTCAACAGCTTACCGGCCTTCATTTTCAAAGCATAATATAAGCCCTTTGCAGTTTCACACGCGTCGGTGCTGGACATTGCGTAACTAACCTAGGTATCGAGCGAGCAGCCCTGCGGCTTACATAACCACCGCGCAGGTCAGGTGTATTGGAGCATTCATTCCATCCACTACTCGTTGACCAACCTCAACAAGATACCTTACAAACAGCTATCCCCCCCGTCCACTTCGGCCGTTGATTTGTCGGCCTTCATCTCCACCGAGAACCACTGATTCAACTGTCTGCGAGCAAATCCTTGTCCTTGGACAAACCTCCGCCCTGCCATCGTCCCTTTTCCTCAGATACGCCCGTTGGATATACCTTCCTCCCTCCCCGCATCATGGCCGCCGACCTCTCCAACTCCGGGGAGCTCTACGAATCTGGACTGACCGTCCATTCGGACTCCGAGGTTTACTCCGCCAACCACGATGACTCTTCGCATTCTTCCTCCACTTCGAGCTCCCCTTTGATCCTCTACAAGCCCCCGACGTTCTGGAGCATTCTGCGCGGCGCCGCGATCAACCTGGTGCTTCCTTTCGTGAACGGCTTAATGTTGGGATTTGGCGAGTTGTTTGCACATGAGGCTGCCTACAGGCTAGGCTGGTCCGGCACAAAGGTATGAAAGCATGGATCCCTGTCGTGGCGGGGGCAGGGGCGGACTTGCTCCGCGCCACAAGGCTGGCCGGAAGATGTGCTAACCCTACGATCATTGCAGGTATTCCCCATGCATCGACGATCTCGGCCAGCTGGACCTGGCATTGAAGTGCGCGAGCTCCCGCAGCGACGGAGCACTAGAGCCGCTGGTCTGCAAGACACCACGTCCTTGGAGTAGACGATGATTGGGGTGGGCAGCAGCATTATAGATCCTTAAAATCAGTGAAGCGGTCATCAGGGTAGGCTAGGGGACGGTCTTCCGAGCGCACTTCATCTGTCAAAACAAGCCGCGCAGGATGCGCGCGTTTGTGGAGAAGTTCTAGTGTACATAGATCTAAGCATCAGTTGATAGGCTTGACCTTAACGGCGTCCGGCGAAGCTCATACATTTGACAAGTTTGTAGCATATTATTCACAAGGAGAATGAACTAAACAATACGATATCTGTAGACTCAACTCCTAACCCCTAAGCACCAGGTATAGCTACATAATACAAAATAGTGAGTCAACGTTGCTCCGATCCAGATCGGAAGTCCGCCAACGATGCTGGGTCGCTCAACCCTCTGGTCTCCTCCGGCCGCCCGGCAGAAAAACACGGCTTGGCAACAAAAAAGCGCTCCGTCGCCGGAGCCCCGATTTTCCCATTCAGGTGTTTCCTCTCCAGTCCCCAACCCGGCATTTCAATTCAACCACCATGTTGGGAGGAACTGGTCTTGCTGGCCGCGGCGCGATGCCCGCCATCGCCCGCCAGCGATTGCTTGCTTTCTCGCGCTCTAGTCGATCGGTGAGTTGATTTACGCCTTTGTTTTGGTTTCCCCGAGTCACCCAGTTTAACTAACTCGGTTCTACAGATGTCCTCATTCCGCCCGCAAGCCTCCAGAAGCGCTCTTCGCTATGGAGCGTCCAGCCGGCCCATGGCTAAGACTTCCTCGCTGCGGTCTGCATCCGCCATCCCTGCTATCTCCGCTGCTCGTTTCAACTCGACCGCGGCCGCCCCCGCGGACGCTCCTACCGTCGCTCCTACTCCCGAGGTTGTTGAGACCGTGCCAGACTTGGTGGAGATTGACATCACGACGATTCCGGAGAAGATTGGCTACCTGAAAGAATTGGGGTTGGACTACGGCTGGGGTTTCTCCTCCACGATCGAATGGATCATCGAGCATGTGCACATCTACTCTGGACTCCCGTGGTGGGCGAGTATTGTCGGCACCGGTTTGCTGGTCCGTCTGGCCATGGTGAAGCCCACGCTCGAGGCTGCCAATGCCACGACCAAGCTCAACAACATCAAGCACCTCACGACCCCGATTCGGGCGAAGCAGATGGCCGCCTCGCGTGAAAGCAACATGCTCGAGATGAACAAGGCCCGGGCCGACATGCAGGAGCTGCACGCGAAGCACGACATTCAGCCTTGGAAGTCCATGATCCCCCTCATTCAGATTCCTCTCGGGTTTGGATGCTACCGGGTCATCAAAGGCATGACCGCCTTGCCGGTGCCAGCTTTGACCTCGGAGCATGTTGGTTGGCTCCAGGACCTGACCATTGCCGACCCCCTCTACATCCTGCCCGCCGTCAGCTCCTTCTTCCTGTACTTCTCCTTCAAGGTACGTGCTGCCACCTTTCTATCATTCTTCCTTGTCTCCCATTCGGCTCTCCTGGACCGAGGCACGCCTGCTAACCGCGGTCTCCCGCAATAGAAAGGAGGAGAGTCGGGAAACAACGCCATGCAGAACACCGAGATCGGAAAGGCGGTGCTCTACGGCCTTCCTGCCATTTCCTTCATGTTCATGGCCTTTTTCCCGGCGGCTCTGCAGCTGTACTTTACGAGCACCGGTCTCGTTGGTATGACCCAGGCGTACCTGCTTTCCAAGCCTGCTTTCCGCCAATGGGCCGGGATCGCCCAGGTGGAGAAGGTTGAATTGGCTCCCGGCCAAGAGCAGAAGAACCCCATTCGCATGCTCCGTGAGATGTTGGACGCCGAACAGGCTAAACAGCGGGAAGCCGCCGCTGCTGCCGCCGCCGCCGCCGCCGCTCGTGCTCCCGCGCAGGAGGTGAGCTATATCGACCGTGCGATTCAGAACTTCAAGCAGTCCAAGGACAAGATCAAGCAGGAGGCAAGCAGCAAGATCGACGAGATGCGTGGCACGGGACCCAAGCTGAACGAGGACGGCTCGGTGGCGGAGCCCCCGCGGTTGAGCGAGAAGGATCGCAAGACGGCGGAGGACTACGAGAAGCGGAGAAAGGAAGAGGAGGAGTGGAAGCGCGAAGAGCGCAACCGCGCCCGCCGCGAGGCGCACATGAGGCTGTTGGAGCAGCAGCGCGAGCAGGCCCGTTCAAGGACGAAGCGATGAATTCCACCGACTAGACACTTGCACCGGAAACGATGCGGACTGGACATGATCAGCTAGCTGGAGTGGACTTTGGGGAGTTGTATTTCTCTGTATATTATGGGTGCCTTGTTTCAATTTTGATTCTCATTTCCGATTCCATTCTCATCATTGCGTGTTCTCTGCCTGTGCTTTCAACCTCTTTTCTAAAGAATGCATTGGGATTCGGGGTCTGCAATGATCTTGTCCATATTTTCCTCCCATGGTTGCAGCTCAGTCTGGGCTTTGTCAGCACTAGCGATTTAGTTGAAGTCAGTACCTTGCTCAATCTCCTTCTTTTCTCTTGCACCATCCCCCCCTCCATCGCAGATACAAACAGATACAGCCATACTGCAGTCCAATCCAGCCAGAAGTATCCAAACGAACCAGATCAACAGGCAATGAAGAAGATTGTCAGCCATCGCACTCTACACATCGCTCTCTCGCCTGCTCAGCCCTAAACCCTTCCCCCTGGACATCAATTCTCGGCCTCAATCCTGGCATCGAGGTATCTCCCTGCCTGATGGATAAGAACCTGCTACCCAAGGGATCAGCACCCCACATCTCCGGGTCCGGGACGAGAAGCTTACCTGGACGCAGCGCCGGAGGCTGGGATACCAATACATGGAAGGCATCTCCCCGGTGTCGAACTAAGAGGACGCATCAACATCAACCATCAGTCGTCCCACCGCAACCCGACGGGCTGCACCTCCTTACCATCCGTGTGGACTCGGTGAGACCCTCATGCGTCTCAGCGAGGTAGAGCCGATCGGCATCCAGGAAGGGCTGCGAATTCCGCAAGAACTTCTGGCGGGCGCGGTCGTACTGCGCCCGGGAGATGCGGGGCCCAGTCAGCATCGAGCGCCGACACGACCAGCGGGAGAAGCGGATCTTCGCGTCCGCGTGGAGCAGCAGCGTGTGCTGGAAGTTGAAGCTCTATACCCCACAACCAACAAACCCGGGGGGGGGGTTAGCACCGTTCCGTTTCAACGCCTAACCCCAACCCATCACATCAAGTCTTGGGTGGTGGTGGTGCCGGTCAGCACATTGCGAAACTACCTACGCGATCTAAGAAGTCATGCGCCGCAGGCATCATGATGAGCCCGTCGATGACGAACTCGTACACGTCCGCGGCCATCTGGCCCGCGATCTCCTGCTTGATGAGGTGGAAGAGCACGGCGTTCGGGACGATCTTGTGTTCGCCGTCGCCGTCGGGGACCGGCTTCGAGAGACGGAACCCCAGCCGGCGCTCCTCCTGCTCGATGAGGGAGTCCATCTCCAGGTAGCCGAGCGCTTCGTCCTGCGCCAGGTCCTCGGCGACAGTGGTCTTGCCGGCGCCGGGAGCCCCTGGCAGATGCAGCATGTCAGCATCCCCATTCGAGCCCCGGGTCAACAGTCTCCGGACTTACCGGTGACAACGAACACGACGGCGCGGGACAGGTCGGGCGTGGGTTTTTCCGGGGTTTCTTGACATCTCATGGCCAGAATCCCGACGCTGGGGAGGGATCGATCTTGGATGGGGAGGGTCCTGTCGTGGCGGCTGTCGGGGTGAAGCAGGATTCCGGCACCCGCGCGATGGCTGTGGTTTTGGCGTGTTAATGCCACGCTTCGAGTGCGTGCCGGGGGCTTCAGGCGGATGGGCAGCTGGATCTGCTGGTTCATTTTGGGGAGGGGGGGGCTCATGTTCTGGCTGGTGGTATCAGTTGGTGCATGTATCTCGTTGATGGAAAGCAGGTCTTGCACGTAGAACAAGTATCCTCTGTCTGGTTTGGATCAGAGAAGCAGTCGACATATCAAGTGAGACGGCGAGAAAGGAAGCACGGTGCTGATCCCATTCAATATGGGCCTGTGAAGCCCCGTCGGATGCAGTTTAGTGTCGCTTAGTCGGCGACGATGCGATGCGATGTGATGCAGCACTGGCAACGAGCGTTGCCTTGGAGCGGACCCCATGATGTCGTCGTTGTTGTGAGCTGGTGCCATTGTGTTGCTCTCTTTTTGTGTCATCATCTCCTGTAGCTCTCTCTTTCTCTCGTGCATCTCCATTCACCGCTGTCCTTTGGGGGTGAACAAAAAGGTTCTACACTTCATCAAGTCCGATACTCCAGATCTATCCAGCCAAAACTCTCAAGTTGGTACTCCTTGTCCACCAAGAAACCGCTCTTGAGACCTGGTCCGGGTATACGAGTGCAGAAAGACATGCTGTCTGGCTGTTACTTGACTTACATCCCCTTCTACATACCACTGCTCAACCCACCAAGCGAACCCTTCAGATACAGCAGCTTCAACTCGAGCCACGAGCTGACTCTAGCGGGCCCAGCTCCTGCAAGTTACACCCATCCTCGGGTCAACCGCGATATCAAGCCCATCTCCCATCCCTCGGAAGAGGGGACAGAAGGGAAAGGGTTCGATTTAAATGCCCTGAGTACGTCCGTCCTCTCCAATGGTTAACTGCTTTGCCTCCTCTATCTCCTGTCTCCGGGTTCCTGCCCCCCCCCAACTTCTTGTCGCCGGTCTCCGGTCCCCTGCCTTCTCTCTGGGTATACAATCCAGCAACACCGTCAACCTCACAGCCAACACTTCCTCCCCCACAGATTCAACCCTCTCTATAGAGGAGAAGACTCCCTCCTCACGCCCTTCGCCAGAGGAAGACCAAGGCTGGAAAGAAGCACTCCCAAACTTTCCAGCCTTGGTCCAGCCGCACCACGGAAGGTCGGCCGTCAGAATCAGCCTCGAAATGATACTTCTGCCCTACCCACCGGCTCAGCCTCGCTCTGTATATATACCAAGTACATATACAGACAAGGTTCGTGATGTCGCGCCCACTTCATCACATCACAGTGATCTCCAACTAAGTCCCTGTCAGACCGACCTGCGGCTCCGATACCGCAATACCGTTCCCCCCTTGCCCTGGGGAGAAGGATAGCCCGGGGATTATTGGGGGACGGGGGACGGGGGAGGGGGGGCGGGGTAGAATGATCATGGAAAGGGGAGGAGATTTGCTTCTTTTGGGATGTGGATCATTGCTTCGCTACTCATGTATATGATGGACTTATATATACACATATCCGCATAGATGTGTGTGTGTGTGTGTGTGTGTGTGTGTGTGTGTTTGTAGGTATACATCAATTCATCCTGGATATAGTCCAAGCTTTGTGAGCTGGTCCGTGAGGGGATCACAAAACCAGAACAGGGTATCGCGTGGTCCTTTGGGGATTATAGCCAAGGAGGAAGATGAAGCAACCCTGAGAGGGAATCTCGTTGGTGATGTGTGGTTTGTGTGTCAAGTTCAATCCTGCATCAGAGTTCACCACATTTGTATATACTCCAGTCCCCCGCACAATCAGTGAGCTATAGTAGACTCATTTAAAATTCTTGAGAAGCAGGTAATCGAGATGGAGTGCATTTGCTACACCAAAATTTATGAGTACATGTGTGCCTGAGGATGCGAAGTATATGTCAGGTATCCCATCATCTCCAAATCCCACCACCATCCATCCCAAACCCAAGAATAAAAAGAAGCGAAAATACATATTTATATATATCAAAAGATGGCTATGGACAAAACACCCCCAGGACCTGGACCAGCCAGAAAGTAAGTCCTCTCTTCACATGCTGCTCTTCGAAACAAGGAAACTCCCCGGAACCCGCCTCAACGTGGTCGGTCTCATCTACGTTGTAGGCATCGGCCGCAACTGCATCGGCAGTTCAGAGGCCTTCTCTTCTTGTTCGTCAAAGACCTTCTTCTCGATCCACGCCGTGAGGCGGGCGCAGAGAGGGTCCACGTAGGCCGTCCACAGGGAGGCGCAGATGTACACCAGCCCGATCCAGAGCGGGATACAGAGGGCGACGACCCAGGGAGGGCGGATGGGCAACCACGGCGGGAGAACAGTCTGGCCGTTCTCGTCGACAGTCTCCTCCCATGGTTGGCCGGTGATGCCGTAGAGCATCCAGCACAGCACAGTGCGCAGGAGAGTGCCGTGGACGAGGTAGACGGCGAAACTCTGCTTGCCGAGCCAGAGGAGGAGGCGGTTCGCCAGGAAGGACTGCGTCCCCGGGGAGATGAAGATGGCGAAGATGATCATGTCCACGCCGATGGCACTGTACCGCTTGCCAATGTTGACCTCGGGAGGGAAGATGTAGTGGGACAGCTTGAACATGTAGTCGGACCAGGTAGCCCATTCGGGGTGCTCGCCGGGATAGGAGCAAATCAAGAGACCGGCGATAGTGATCAGGATGGCGAGGATACGGCGCGGCCAGCGGTGGGCTTCGACGAGGGAGCGGAAGGTGGTGTCGTAGGACATATCACTGAGAAGCATGCCATAGACAGCTTGAAGCTGGAAGGTTTCTACCGAGGGGGTGGCGAGTTAGTGAGGAGGGGCAGAAACCTAATAACCGGGCGCATAGCTTACCTGTGTCCTTGGCGGCGTCCTGGTGGAAGTACAGCATCATGCCGATGTAGATGGCAACGCGGAACCGGAACTGGACGTACATGGTGGCGCAGAGCAGGACGTAGACAAGCATGGATGCCTTCAACAACGGCAGTAACGCCCATTGGTGGTCATCATAGGCCATGTACCCGGTGGTCCAGGTGCTGAGGAAGTTCCCTCCGAGGCGAATGACCTCCTTGAAGAAGGAATCTTCCAAATCCGGGGCGGCATATCGGCACCACCAGCAGTCGGAGCGGTTGGCGACAATAAAGGCACCGAACTGGGCCATGACCCAGGAAATAAACAGGGCGATGGTGGCTGGGAAGATTAAGCGCGGAGGGCGGCGGAAGGCGCTCTTGGCAATGGTCGAAAACGCACTGAGGTGATTGCCGGCCCGCGACAACTTCAAGGGCTTCAAGGCACACACATAGCCGGTGAGGAACGCGAAGATGGTGACTCCGAGTCGTCCCTGCCACGGGATGCGGAGGATGGGCCACTGGAGGACCCGGGGAGGCACTCCCTCCTTGTCTCTTGGCGCGAAGAGATCATAGTCCCAGGCGCGGGCCAGGTGAGTGAGCACAACGAGGAAAGAAGCAATCCCGCGCAGACCCTAGCCAGTTCCGGTCAGTCTGTCAGTATGGTTCTGTTGCCCACGAGGGGTGACACCGGAGGCCGACGAGCACGAGGAAGGACATACATCGATCCACTTGACACTTTTGCGAGGGTCTCCGGGGGGAGCGTTGGGGTTCCATAGAGTATCGCGTAGGCGAGTGTAGATGCCGGACTTCTGTAATGACTGCATGCTGGAAATGAAGGAGGATGTAGATCTAATGTATATTCACAGAGCAAAGAAAGACAGGCTGGAGGTGGCACGCAAGCGAGCCATTCATAGATACAACCACAGCCGAGGTAAGAAGAATGCAGCGGTAGGGAGAGAGGAAAGAGTCAGTGAGTAGAAGAGCTGGAAGGAATGACAAGAGAAGGAGAAGGAGAAGGAGAAGGAGGAGAAGGAGAGGAAGAGGAAGAGAAGGAAGGAGGAAGGGAAGGAAGGGGAAAGAAGGAAGGAAGGAAGGAGGGAAGGAAGGGACAAAAACAGCAGGAGCGGCGGCGGTAGCGGCAGCGGCAGCGGCAGCGGCAGCAGGCGTAGTGAGAGTGAGGAAGTACAGGAAGTAGTGTAAGGGTAAGTGTAAAGACTGTAAGTGAGTATTAGTGAGTACTGAGTACTGTGTACTGTGTACTGTGTAGGCACTGCGTACTCGGACTGGAGGTGCCCGCGGGCACATCCATCCTCTACCCGATTTATCAGTGAGTGAGTGGAATAGTGGAATTGGAGTCACCCCGAAAAGGGAGCTTGCCAAGCCCTCCAGCCGAAACCCGTAAGGCTCAGGGCCTTTAGGGACTTTCCAGGGGACCTCCAGGGGTGGACAACAAGAGATTGGCCAGTCTTGGCTGGCTAAATTGCGCCATGCCGAGCCCTATGATGCCATTAATGAACTTGCGTGGCCCTCTTATTCGCCTTTTGGCATGCACAATGCAAAAAGGAAAAAAATAAATCAGAAAAACCAACTAATAATAGACCGATAAGTCACAAGTCTCCTCTTCCCCCCCCCTCTTTTGCCGTTGCGTTGCGTTGCGTTTCGTTGCGTTGATCAATTGACTATCAAGCCTCCATTGAAACCCATCTCACTATAATGGAGACAAGTGCGTATTATTAGTCTAAAACATCGCCATCGTCGACCTGTCACCATCCTTCGCTTCTTCGGCAGGTGGTAGATGGCCGCGAAGCCTGGAGAAGAAAGAAGAAAAAAAAAAAAAAAAATAAACGGGGAGAGTACTCCGTACCGTACACACTCACTCACTCACTTGACACTGACAGACCCAGGGTTTACCCACGGTAGGGATGATGGATGGGTCTCTTTTTGTCTTGGCACTTTGACCCTCGCCCTCTCTCATTCCCTCTTTCACTCAAATTCATGCTCCCCCACCCGAAACCAAAACCCATTCCTCTTCATGATTCAGTCCCTAAAACTCTTGGACTCTTGGCCGGCTCATCAGCGAAAGATGCGCCGTCCTCCGACGCTACCTGCAGCCCAAGTCACCGACCCCCGAACCCCCAGATTGCCCATACTCAATCCGGAGAACCCAACGCCACCTCCTTCCCCATCTCGCTTATACCGCCGAAGCGCTTCCCTCAAATGGGCCGGGAGGAGCTGGCCCCGGTGCGGATTGGGAGGCAATCTGGCCGTCATTTCGTTTTTGGCCGAAGTCGTCGTCAGCAGTGGTCCGCCTCTATCTATCATGCCCTGTGGCTTGACCACTCCGGGATAATGGTTCGTCGGGGTGGGAGTCGTCGCGGTCGTCGCGGTCGTCGCGGTCGAACTAGACGCCGCCACAGCAGCTAAGGCCGCCTGGTCATGAGCTTCGGCCCATTCCGCCTGCACCGTTCGAGCCTTTTCGATAATCTCGCCCGCAAACACCTTGGTAAATCCGTTAATCGTCGTCACCACACTAGCCGGCACCGATTGCGAGAGCGCATGATTGACAATTCTCCGGAGCGTCTCCTTTCGTAGCTTCGCTCGCTTGAACAGATCGTATCGCTCCGACTGCAACGGATTAAACGCGTCCACGAGTAATCTGTTCGATCCAGCCGCGCACCACACACTGGTTAGCCGGGGATTCTTTCTTTTTTTCTGTAGTGCCATCCTCTCGTGCTTTTGTCTTGTCCTCTCTCACCTCCATCACCACAAACCACAAACCACACCCCCCCCCCAACACAAAACACCCAAGAACCGGATAGAGGATCCCAACAAAAAACCCGCCACCCCCAAAAAACCGCACAATAGATCCAAAACACCAGCGGAACGGGAAAGAAAGGGAGTAAACATACGCAAGATTCTTCTTCTCAGCCTCAGTATCCGTCGTCGTCCCCTCCTCCCTACCCAACAATTCCCCCTCATCATCGAAATCATCATCCTCATCGGCATCATCCCCTCCTGCCCCAGCACCACCAGCACCACCAGCACCACCACCCCTCACCGACGCGCCCTCCGCATCCACCGACCCCATCCGATGATCCATCATCATCATGCCCGCCCGTAGACTCCCCTCCTCGGCGCGCAGCTCGCGCTCCTTCTCGGCCTTGCTCTTGCGCCCGCGCTTCTTGCCCTTGGCCGTGAGGAACACCCCGTCCGCGCTGGTGCCGCCCAGGCTGCCCGTGAAGCTGCCCGTGACGCTGCCGGCGTCGCTGTAGGCCCGCGCCGATGACGCCGCCGCCGCCGCCGCGTCCGGGTCCATCGTGCTCGGGAAAGAGGTCTGCCGGAGCGGGTGCATGCGCGCCCGCTTGGGGTTGAAGCCCGGCGCCGGCTGCGAGGCCGACGAGGAGATCGAGGGCCGTTTCAGTGGGTTCGTGGGCGGTGGGGAGGACATCGTTTGGTTTTTTCTGTAAGGTAGGTAGGGGTGTGGTTTAGTTTTGGTTGGTGCTGCTGCAGCTGTGTTAAGCGGGTTAAAAAAAAAAAAAAAGAGGTTTCGTTATGTTCAAAGTCTCAAGATGGCGACGGTCGCAGAGTTTGGTCCAGTCGCTGGAATTAAAGCCGCAGAATCGGATGGGTGTGTTTCATGGATGGATTTCATTAAACATTCATGTGATGATGAAAAACTTCGTGCACGGATCGAGGGAGTGGGCGAGTGAATGACATGCAGGTTGAGTGAAGGTCGAAGGGTTAAGTTGCGACAGAAAGAAGTGACGGAAAGCCGACAACCTGCCCTTATCGGAGGGTCCCGCCCCCATTCGGCAACTCTGCCGACCCACGATGCGTACGCAATCCTCTTTTTAGGGCCACTGCTTATTTCTACCTCACCTTTTCCTTACTTCCGACGTCGCAGACTACGGTCGGTACATCATCTACTCATGAATCAAAGTATAGGTAATCATCATGTTCAAATTGGCGAGGGGAAACTCAAGGCCTAACGCACAGGCGGCACACCACCGCGCTCAATAGATATAGAGAACTCGATGAATTTGATGCTGGGAACGCAACGAAACTCAAATCGCTAGAAGCACAGGCAAGCACAGATTAGCGACACAAAATCAACTCATGGTAGGTCGGAATGCACATCAAAGCAAGAACACAATCTCCCGGTTCCACCACCAATTTCATCCCTCATGACCTACACGGACACCTGGGTTCGCTCTCAGACGCGCTCTTCTCCGAGCCTGGGGGCCCCCCCTTTCCAGTCAAGACGTTCGTAGTAGCGGAACACCAGGTCGTATCCGTCCAGGTCATGCACAATCCGGTCCACCCGCCGGTATCCCTCCACATGCTCCATCTTGGAGGTTCGGCGCAGCAGCTGTCGCTCAAAGTACTTGGCCTCCTTGATGCTGTCCCACTCGCCCTCAACCACGGGCAACTCGGGCTTGGCCTCGAACAGGGTCACAGTGAACCGGCCCGGCTTGAAGATGTTCACCACCTGTTGGATGATCCCAGCAGTGGTCTGGCCATTCTGCGAGTGAGGCACGTTGGTCTCGAACGACGCATACGAGCACTGCGGCTCAGGCGTAACGTGCACCGTGAAGTAGTGAGTGCCAGTGGTCTGGTCGGGCGATGGGATTACACCGTTGGCCGAGAATCCGCACGGAGTGAACAAGTAGGCGTCAATGCGGGACTCCGGGAATTTGGACATCGGGTAAACATCAGACAGGCCGCACGACTCCGACACCACAGTACCCAAGGCGTGACCCTCGGTGGTCAGCTCCGCAGGCAGGATGCGGCTCCCGTCGGAGGAGGACACATCGTCCATGTCGGAGTTGTTGCTGAAGACATCCACTGGGTCATCATTGTCGGTTTCAAAGTTGCGGTACCGCTTCTCTGCCACTGCAGTAGCATGGTCCAGGTAGAACTGCTTCGCGTTCTCCTCCTCCAGGTCGGTCATCAGCACCTCAAGAGTCTCATCCATAGCATCAGCTCCCGGGATGACAGCATGGCTGGGCACACTGAGAATCTTGGTCTCAGTCATCTCCTCGTCATCCGCCTTGGGACTCGCAGGAGGGGTGAGCATGGTGTTAGGCTCAGTCAGGTACAAATACCAGTGCTCGCCGTTCATCTTGCCGATCATGTAGGCACTACCGTTCAGGAACAGTCGATCCATGGTCCGAACCTCGTCTCTCCAGCTACGATGAGGACCGCGCTGGCGATCCGGGAACAGGAAGTTCTTGCGACTGTAGAAAACGCGGTAAGGCGCCGCAGCAACGGAAATGCCACGCGAGGGCGCCGCAGCGCGCGGGAAGCCGCCAAACAGAGTGGCGATCTCGAGAATGCGGGGCAAGCCAGACAGCAAGGTGGTGGTGCCACAAGTCTTGAGAATCAACTTGTGAGGCCAGACAAACATGCTGGACTCGGACAAGAGGTAGGCGTCCACATCCTCGGACGACACAATGGAGAGCACTTGACAGTTGACGAGATCCAGCATATCCTTCCAGATTTCCTCTGGCACGGCCTTCAGGCCGGCGGGACCAGCAGATCCCAGCTCTTGGGCGGAAGGCGCAAACCAGACCTCAAGGAGCTTCTCGGGTCCTATGAACACATCAGCACCCCACTCCGCGCGTGAAACCAGGAGTAACACCGGAAGAAGCCGGCTTACCTTCGAAAGCATTGGTGGAGTCAAGATCCTGGGTCGCTTCATGGTTGATCGTCAGCGACGGCGTCCCCATGAAAGAGGACGGCGACTGGGTGTAGTTCTTGGGGATCCCGATGTAAACCATCTTGGCGGAATCTGAATGCGACAGGGATAGAAGAGACGGCGGCGGAGCAAGTGATGGAGCAAGCGTGTGACTGGAAGTGTGGACCGTAGACAGAAGAGCCTAGGAAGCACTATCTGCTGCCCAGACGAACAGGGGGGCTATGTCCGTCTGAGAGAGTAGGCCCTGAATCGCAAGGGCGGAATTGGCGCTCAGCCGGAGAGGGGAAGGTTCCAAAAGAGCCTCGAGGGCTACTAGGGAGGGCGGAAGGAGAGGGAAAGGAGGAAAAAGCCTCTGGCGAAGGGAATGGTGACTATCAGGTGTCGACTCCCGTTCTGGAAGATTCCGATACCGTTCAAAGTATCGGGTCTAGCAGACGAGAGTATCTGCTTTTAGGATTTCGAGAGGGGGGGGGGAAGAAAACAGGTTGCGCAGGTGAAACAAGGTCGAGTGTTAATCGTGCTATCGAGGTCTGAAGAATCACAAGTCAGTCATGAGCAATCGGTTACACGGCGGTCTCTTCTGACGCAGAGGAAAGAACCGTGGAGGAAGGAGAGAAATGGACCACCTACTTTGCGGGCTTGGACAGATATCGCAGTAGATCCTTCGGGTTCATGGAAGGCGAAACAAGAATTGAGCTTAAAACAGCACGGTGTCGCGAGAAGCCAGAATATCGGACATCTGCGAGACGACTTTTTGTTGCAATGCGATAGAACAAGCGGGGGTAATGGAAAAAAGAAGATTGAGCAACCGGAATTGACTTTCAATGAGCAGTCAACGGTTGACAAGATATGTGATTTCACAAACAAAACAGGCCTCAACAAGGTGAGGAATGGGGAAGGAGGGGGGAGAAGAATTTAAACAGAGGGAAAAAGACGGCGGACGTGAGGGGGGGGCAAGAGAAGTTGATGCTTTTGAGTGATTATTATTCTGTGGGCCCGAAAAAAAGTTTCGTGGGGCGCGGAAGACCAATCTGGGTCGGGCTTTTGGCTACAGCGCAGAACCTGGCAAAAAAAGGACCGGTCAGAGAAAAGAAACAAGTCTAACCGGGAAATGCAGGATAGAGGGAGAGAAAGAGGGGCAGGGGGTACATACGTAATTGGAGGGAGATGCAGGAACGGGCTTGAGAAGTCTAGATAAGGTGTATTGTTGTAGGCTGGCAGACTCCTCAACTGCTGATTTGACCTGGTAGAAGGAGAAGAATGAGCAGGTGAGTTGAGTGAGTGAGTGAGTGGTTTTTTGACGCCTGACCGTCAATCTAAGAAAAGTTCCAGGCGGGAGAGAACAGGGCCAGAGCACTGGAAGAGGTACTGTTTCCAGTAGGCGGTCAGTCCCCGCTCATTTCCCCCTCCTTATCTCAGCTGATCGTCCCTTTCTCAAGCAGTGACGTCGTGAAATTCAATCAATTCAATCGACTCATTCGGAAATGGCAGAAAGTCACATGGCAGGAATGACACCGTGGTACTCATACTTAGTTGTAAGGTTAGGAATTTGGTCTAGACTATTCTTAGATTCTTCCTTAGTATTATTCTGAGTTGTCACCCCCTCTTCCCATCTTACTTACTTCCTTTCACCTGCCGCCTGGCACTTCATCCCTTTCTACACTCTCCTCACTTCTTCCCCATCTTCTTTCCACCTCTCAACTGAAAGTTATGCATGCGTTATTTCTTGTTTCTTATCATTATCGACACCGCTAGAATGCCAGTACTAACTATGTATGTATGACTCCGTCCAGTCTGTCACAAAAAAGAAAAAGAGGGGGGGAGAAAGGAAAACAAGAAAGAACAAGAACACCTATTTCCTTTTCCAAAACGCCATATCTTGCTGCAACAGAAGCAAAAACGAGAAGAAATACCGAACCATCCCATACGGAGCGACAAAAGAGGGGTTACTGTAGCCTAGAGCCCTAGTACCACCTTAGGTACTGTAGGGTTCAGCCAACCAACCCCTTCAAGCGTCGAGAATGGCCCGGGCGGTTTCCACCTCCCCCACGTCCTTGATCTTCGCCGCCAGAAAGTCACCCACTTTCCCACTCAGTCGCTCCCGCAGGTCTTCCGTGACTTCGCCCCCGTGTCCATTGGTGAGGGCCGTGCGTCCTTCCCGCAACGTTGCCAGAACCCCCATCAAAACCATAAGAACTCTCTCGGCCTCCGGTCGCCGTGGGCTGTCCTCCGCCATCCCGTCCTTCAACAGGTTCCCGTAGGTCGGCAGGTTAGGCAGAATCAGAACCCGCACCGCCTCTGCACCGCCAACCGCATGAAGGCCAATGATGGCGCCGTAATGCGCCCCAAATGGTTTGGATGGATCCAAAAACGTCTTAAGACATGAACGAGCCAGTCGTGGCTTGAGCGTATGAGAGGAATGCGAGTACTTCTTGGCAATGAGACCCAGGAGCGACGCGGAAAGATCACGGAGGGCAAACTGCTCGGTCAGTTCAGCGCTGCCGCCCAGTTGTCGGGCGATCAGGCAGGTGAGAATGGGCGGGACAAGCGATGGGATCTGCCGATAGCTCATTAGCAACTGTGCAAAAGTCACTCCGTAGTGGTATACTCACATAAGGGTCAACGTATAGTGATTTGTTCTGCACGAGGGCCTCCGCCATGTGCATGACCTGCGTAAGGACAAAGATATCCTTCAGACCATGGGTCACCTTCTCGGAAATAAACTGAACAAAGTATGGGACCAGCTGGTGCAGTCCCGGGTCCTCTCGTAGGCTGGAATAGCCTGATGTGCGATATTCTTCGCTGGAGTCGTCCAGGAAGGCATTGCAGACTTTTTCGAAGTAGAGCTGGAGTTCCTTGGACAAGACATGCTTGACCAGCGGCTTGACGGCCACGTTGCCCCCTCCACTCATAGCCGCGAGCGTCGAGCTAGCATTCGGACCTTTGGACATCAATTCGAGGTTTCTCGAGTCGGCCGCGGTAGGGTTCTGAGGGATGGACGGTTGTACTCCTTCAACGGCGAGCCAGTGCGCTATGCTGCGTCAGCAACGGAAGACCAAGCGACAGACCGGGGATCCTTACCTGTGAACGAGATCTCTCGGGGCACTCTGGGTAACGGCGCGTTGATCAACTTTTCGAAGTCCACCTCCTCGTCCTCCACGTAGAACAGCGGTTGTCCAGGTCCCAACGACGCCTCCCCGAACCGTAAGGGTCGCGTGGATTCATATCCGTAGAGTGGCTCGACATCGAGCACGCGCAAGGCTTGCGCGATATCTTGTGTTGAGAGCAACGTCCGTCGACTGTGGCGCATGAATTTGAGGGCTTCTTCCAGGACCTGCGCGATGCGGTATTCGACGTCACGGGCAAGGTTCTCGGTCACATCGTTGTTGAGGTTGACGATCCCCACCGACTCGGCAACATCGCGGATGTTATCGGGGTTCCAGACCGACATGGCGATGGCGAAGGCGATGGCGATGGTTGGACTGAGCTGAAGCGGAGCGGAGGACGATGCGGTAGAGGTCGTAGCGAAGGCGAAGGGCGTATCGGAGGCTGATGACGGAGAGGTATTATTACAAGATGAGAAGCACAAGAAAGAGAACTCAATCCTCGATTGAAGGAATCATGAAAGTGAAAGACGGAGTCAACACTCGTGTTGATCGAGCGCCCAGAGAATAATTTGGACTGGAGCTGATGGAGGAGGAGGACCGGAGATGCGATGCGGAAAGCAGCCGAGCTGTTACTGAGAGCGGAGGAAGAGGAAGAGGAAAGCGGCAGGAAATTATTGTCCCGCCCTCCCCCCGAGGATGCCTCCCGCAGTGTTTCTATGCTATTATCCTCATTCAGGACATGATGGACCACAATAGATCGATAGATCAAGTGATAGACCCCACTGCTACATCTTGTATTGTTTACAAGGCAGACCACAGCCATTCTGCATCATGAATGGACATACTTCAAATCCTCCTATCTATATATCTATTTATGCCTGACGCTTCAGGCCACACGTACAGTTTACTACTACACCGTGATACTATGCAACCTCTACATAACTAAAAGCTTCCTGAAACTGTCCTAATCACATTAAAAGAGCAGTCAACCAAAGAGAGTGTACAGGGTGTAAAGTGATTCGAATTGCTGTGGTCTAGGCAGCTATAATACTCTCCACTAGATTCCAGCCCCACGAATATAGAGTACACCATCTATACGCACATACTACATCTCAAAGACCAACTTAACCACCCTGAATGACACCATCAACTCTAACTTACAGTCCCAAGAATCCAGCCATCATGTCATTCATTCCACAAACCGAGTACCCCCTCAACACAGCCTCCCCCTTCCCCACCGAAGAACAGAATCATTCTCGTGTGAAAGACTACATCACCAACACCTTATCCAACCTCCTCACCGAACTCTGCTCCCCCGACGGCCACCCCTCCATCACGGTCAAGCCCCGGTCCACAAAAGTCTCCATACGGTTCATAAACCCGCAGACCGGGGCCCTGGAGACCCATGTCTCCGAGGCATGCACCACATACACCTGGCCGGGGAAAGACTGCTACGAGGCTTGGAGGTTCAGTATGTTTCTTCGCCCCTCCTCCTTGCTCTACCAAATTTGATTGCTCTCCACGGGAGTATAAGCTGTTAATGCAGGGTCTGTCCTTCAAACCAGCGGTCGCAATGCGAGTTCTAAGCGGGATCGCTGACGCGGTGGACAAGGGAGTGGTGGTTTCGAAGAGGTAGAGTTTGCACCAGAGAACAAGTAGCCATCGGACAAACAGGCTGACCACCGAGTCTCTATACTTCATCCCGGGAGCAGAGATATATACTACAACGACCCGGCGATATTTGGATCGCAGCGCATCGTCGACAGACTGGTCGATGACTTCGCGCATACGGTTGGTGTGGATCGAACCGCGCTGAACGTGGTTTGTACTGTCTTCTATGATGCCACTGATATAGAAGAAGCTGGGTAGGAGAAATGCACGAGCTGACCACAGCAATGGCCGAATGCCTAGGGCGCAGCAGCCAAGGGACTCGTCGTGGGATGTTTCCAATGGAGGATCCAGGACCCAGCGATGGTTGACGATGCCCATTTCTTCAATCCGGTTGGCGCACACGATGAACTTCCGACCTGGGGACTTTGGCAGCTGACTTTCACGCCGCCGTGCAGGATACCCTTGTCCCGAGACCGCAGGATATCCAGGGTCTGGAGGTTTCCGATATCGAGTGGGTGCTCATTCTGGAGAAAGAGGTAAAGTGTAGTCCGCCGCCTTGACAAATATATGAGCCTTGGTGTTGATCGCGAACAAACAAACAGGCAGTGTACCGGCGCCTCGCGGGGATGAACTACCATGTCCGATCTATGGCAGGTCTGGGTATTCTGGTCACCGTGAGATCCCAGCCCTATCCCTGTTCTTGACCTACAGGAGGGTAACCTGCAATAGGGCAAAGGCTACCCGGACCTCAACACACGAGCCTTCATTCGCCGGCTTTACGACGAAAGCAGACGCCGGCAAGCAAGCAAACGAATACGATTCTATGCGCTCGTGGACGGCGACCCTGATGGGATGGGAATCATGTCCACGTACAAGTACGGGTCCCTGGCATATGCGCACGAGAACAGCGCCCTGAACTGCCCGGACATTCAGTGGCTTGGTCTCCGGACCTCGGACATCGTGGCAGGAGTGGACCCCTCGGGGAACGATGCCCTCCTCAGCCTGACCGAGAGAGACAGGAAGAAGATCCTGGCTATGCTGTCCAATAATCCAGTGTGGGCGGTGGATGGCCCTGAGCAAGAAGCACGGGCTGAGTTGCTGCAGATGCTGATGCTAAACGTCAAGGCGGAGATGCAGATCCTCTATGACGGCGACGGGGGGCTCGTCCGATGGCTGGACCGCAGAATGACGCACTTCCCGTGAAGGAATATGTGTCACAGCTGTCTTGGGATGGTGGTACAAAAAGAAAACAAACTTATCTGCACCCCCCACAAGGACATATGCATTGATAAAAGATATCAGGTCGGGCCCTAAAATCTGCGTGTGAAGAAAAAAACTAGAGCAAGAAGAAAAGAAAGATCAAGAAAAGTAAAATAAACGAATGAGCGCACCACGAAACGCCAGCACCGGCACCAATGCACCCAAACAGGCTATGCCACGCACTTCTCCCGGACAGCCAGAACAAAAGAATGGTTTTACGCACGTGTAGACGAAGGACGACCAGCCTTCCTATATATTTTAGCCAGCCCGTGCTTGCTTGTTTTTCTCTTGTCTTGTGAAGTTTATAGCCCCAATAAGCATGCCCCCCCCCTAAGGCAGGCAGGCAAGACGATCACAACCCCAAGCCTTTCCGGACCTCATCACGGACCTTACGCTCGTACTCACTGCGTCGCTCACGCCACATCTTGGCCGCCTCGACATTCGCGGGGCTTTCGTCGTTGGGCTCGGCGAGCATGCTCATCACGGAGATGAGGATCTTCTCCACGCTCTGGATGGGGGACCAGCGCTCCGAGGCGTGTTCGTAGTGGTTGGGATCGTCACCGGGGGGGTGGAGGATGGAAATGCAGACGGTGCCATTCGGGTACACTGTAACAATCACAGCCCACGTCAGTTTGCTAGCTCGCACATGTATGGAAAAACGTAGGGAGTTAGAGCGATAGAAACGAGAAATAGAGCTCAACAAAAGTACTGACCATTGGGATGCCACACTCCACCGCCAACGAACTTCATAGTCGGCGGGCTCAGCGGATAATCCTTGGGGAACTTCAGCTCGGCCGCGAACACGCCGCCCTCGAACGGCGTGCCCTCCGGGCCTTGGATCAGGGCTTCCCAGTGGAACATGTCATCTTCCGTGACGGGGCCAGCGGTGATGCCATCCGGAGGGTTGGTGGACAGGTTCTTGTACTCGTGGAAGAGGCGCTTCTGTGCGACGGATGACATGATGGGCGGGACTCTGTGTGAGAGAAAAAGTGGCCCGACGAAAGATCTTTCAAGAGAATGTATGTTGGTTCTTGCTGTGCAGGACAGATCAAGAAGAAATTAATGTGCCCGTGGGAAAATAAGAGGGAGGGTTTTGAGGGGGGGAGAAATGATAAAGAGGGAAACGCGGAAGATGAGCTCCGGGTGCGGAGAGAATGACCGGGAGCTGGTACGAGCGAGACAAACGGGGGGCTTAATGTACCTTTTGGCAAGGGAAGGTGAGGGGCAAAAGGGACGGGACTGGAAGATTGGATACTGGAAAGGTGGGAAAGATGGGCAATTGGAGAAATGTGATTCAATTTCTCGGGATTTGCCACTTTGATTAGGTATTGTCCATTCAAAGAAGAATCCAAGAATCCAAGAATCCGATCGATGAACGCATCCATTGATTGATGAGGGGGAGTGGAAGGTGGCTGCCTCAGGCTACGAAGTTCCGTCCTTATCGCCCCGGCCCTATCGAAACTGCTTATCGGCAATTATAGTAGAAATTCTTAGTAGAAAGACATGGTAGAAATTATAGTCGATAGCCAGGGACAGAATTTGAATATGTAGAGTGGTGACGCCTTCATTTTGCATCTGCATGTAAGCCACTAGCCTGGCTTTCCAAGTCTCGTCAACACCCTTGTACTAGGAGAGCGTGCGTAACCTGGAGTACTCGAACTATACCAAGTGCTCGGGCGGTTCAGGAGAGCAGTTGAATGCAATGCTCTTTGATATGCTAATCGGTCCTCATTGTCATCCAGATGGCAGTCATTCTTGACCATCGTTTGTCAATGACTGACTAGCCTCTACACTGTGAGCACCTTGACAACTTTCACATCCAGGTGGTCGGTCTTCTCACAGCATGTTCTTTGGTTTGTCGAAGCTATACCGGCTCAACATGCCTTGTGACACGTCTGTAAACCGCGAGTTAAGACTTTATAATGCTCCTCAGAAGAAGTCCCAGCTATCACCGTCACCCCCGTCGCTTCCGTCATCTTCCTCATCCGCCCACGGGTCCTCTCTATGATCCGCGGGTTTATCTTGTGGTTCATCCGCCCAGACGTCACCATATGGACCCGTCTGACCTTGTGCCGGAGGTTGCTGACCCCCAGGTGTAGCTTGGGAGTCGGGAGGGGAAGCTGGTGGAGTTCCTCCCACGCCCCGCGACATGGCGTCATATCCCGCCATGGCACCGGCACCTGCTGCGCCTGCCATTGCACCATCGGCTAAGCCGCCGGCGGCCCCAGCCCCAGCCCTACCAACAGTACCTGCAGCAGCTTCTCCCACGGCCCCAGCAGCTCCAGCGGCCCCTGCCTCGCCAGCAACAGCCCCTCCTGCGGCGGCACCTCCCGCGGCAGCTCCCCCGGCGGCGGCCTCTCCGCCGAAACCAGGAAACCAGAGGGGCATAAAGCCAAAGCCACCGGCGCCGCTATGGCGGCTGAAGTAGTCAAAGTCAATGCTGACTGCAGTGGCCAGCATGACAGCACGCTGGTCTAGACTCATTGCAGTCACTGCGCCGGACTGTTCGGGAGTCTGCTCGCTAGGAGAGGCAGAGTCCATCCGCAAGGCATAAACACCAGTGTCCGTGAAAAACTCGCGGGCAAACCCGGCAAAGTTCCGGTTGACAGAGCCAATCAGCCGGCTGTCAGCAGAACGAAGAGCAAAGTCCCACGATAGGAAAGGCTCATCGACATACGCGAACTGATTATAGGCACCCGTTGTCTGACCACCCTGCGAAGACTGAACCAGCTGCATTTGCTGGGAACTTGACAAGCCGGTCTGTTCGAGTGGTAGTGTTTTCGTTCCCATGTCCAAGGCCGAATTGGGCGAATGGTGATACGTGAACAGGTTGTACTTGCGACGTAACGGAGCCCATTGTTGCTGGGCTTCTCCAATAACTCGCATGTCCTCGAAACCGAGGGACGAAACGCGGGCATTCGAATCACCAGAGGCTTGAGCTAGTGAGTTGGCGGAATTGGTCTGCAGTGCCGTGGACGTGGAATGGGCACTCTTGGCCACCTCGAGAGGGTCGTAGACACGGATACGGGAGTTGATCCATGAGAATGGGCGGTGGAACTAGATTGCTGTATTAGCACTCGAGCTGAATAGCCTCCATCATGTAAGACTCACCCGCAACACCTCGTTCTCATGTTTGTCAAAGACATGCGTGACAAAGCTTCGGTGTGTATTGAACCACTGTCGCGCCATCATGTTTCCCATGCCTTTCTCTTGCTCAGCCATGAAACCGATATGGTTTCCATTAGCATCCATAATAACATATTTGTTGGCTTGTTCAAACCCGCTGCGAGCAAGAGAGCAAACGTTAGCCTCCATAGACTCGTACAGCGGAAGAAGACACTCACATCAAGACATTCATCAACTCTAGCTGGCGCTGGACAACCAGGCCCGAATTCGCCAGGATGGAAGTTGCCGGGTGGCTCTCTTTGATCACTCCATGAGGATCTTCGGGGATGTGAACGGGGGCAAGTAGAGTGTTCTGAGAGGGATCGTAGTGGGGATTTGGTGAGTCGGAAGGGGGAGGTTGTTGTTGTTGTTGTTGTTGTTGTTGTTGTTGTTGTTGTTGTTGTTGTTGTGGATCTGAGAGTTGCGATGATGGCACATCTCGTCTGATGGGTTCTGGTCTGCGAATTGAATTGCGAGGGCCACGAGGATTGACTCGTCCGCGATTCAATGAACTGGCGAATGCCCGGCCGGGCGTTCGGAAGCATCGCGCATGCGATGGTCGGAGTATGGCACTCCACATCTTGCGATAGGCAAAACCAATGACCTTAGAGTAGGTAGAGGATCGATATGTTTTTGTGGAAGAATATCGTGTGAAATGGCGCGATGAGTTGAGTGATAGTTAGATTGTGGAAAGAGAAATTCATGGATGGCGGCGTTGATGACGGAGGTGCTCGCCTCAGGCCCGCATCGGCGGCTATAGATCGTTATCAGCTCGCCGCAGTATTGTTACATGAAAGCTTGATTCTACATTTGCATGAGTAGCATAGATACACTTCTAGGATATTAATCTGGTTGCAATTGATTAAATCCAAGGCATTCTCGTTGTGTTGGAACAATGCACTTGCGCCTGAGTCCTCAAAATACGCATCTTACCCACCTGTCGATCCTCGCTAGATCCTCTCGCAAACGATGTACATTATGCGCCATCAGCAACCCCAAGAGCCTATATTATTTCTGAGTCAAAACGATTGAATGCGCTATCATAGTGAGGCATCCTGAGCACCTATTTACTGTACTGACATAGAGCTGGGGAGACATGTGCCACGTTTGAATCCATCGAGCCTTTGAGGCAAAGCTATTGAAGGGTATTGATAGCCATTCGCGTAGTGATTAGACGTTCGCTCTCATCCAGCCAAAATGCTCCCTGGAAGTCAAGCAAAGCAGACTTCGACAACCTATTCTCAACCTGCGAAAGGTCCCAGTACATGCTCCGTAGCCGTCGCGTAGCTTAACAGAATGCAGTAATCCACCGATATCCCGCATACAATCACAAAAGACCCTTGCGCGCCAGTTCGACCTTACGCGCAGCTTCGCCGGCTTTAAACCCTCCCTTAGAGACGCAGACAGCACTCCCTTCTCCTAGCTCAATCTTCTCTTCGACATCGGGATGCGGGCATGGACAGTGGTGGGGAAAGTGAACGCATGCTAGGGTTCCGGGGCACAGGTAGCGATCGCAGTGAGCTGAAGTTAAGGGAAAATTCATGTTAGCTCTAATCTGCAACATCATGCAAACGACAAAGCCATCGGCATCCGCAAGCTCACCTGACTCCCATTGATTCTGATACCGAGAACTATCGCTAGGAACATTTTGCGGAGCCTGATGTTGATGGCCGCCGCCGCCGCCGCCAAACATATGCTCGAAGAATTGGAACTGGGCGTGGACGACAGACGCCAGGAGGACAAGGAGCCCGAAAGATTTGATCCAGCCGAGCATTTTGAATGAATGTATTTCCTTCGTCAAGTTGCAAGGCAATAGAAGTCCACTAGAAATCGTGCCAGCGGGAAGTCATTAATACTGTATAGATCCAGACGGCCAGTTGGCCCTTCGATAGCAACACGTGACTGCCCAACCATGCCAAGCCTTTTCTCATACCGCAAAAAAAAGGAAGCCGCCGGTCTGGATAGCTTCATTTTCCCCTTCTCCACGCCCGAGGAAAAACCAGGCTGCGGTCGTCTCCCTTCCCGCTACTACACGCAATGTTTCAACCCCGTGGAGTTCTGGCGCCCTTCCGGGCTCTAGAACGAGCCATTGCGCCCTCCACCCTTCGCGTCGCCTCGTACTCGACCTCGATCTTCTCCTCCCGACCCATCCTCAACTCCGCCCTCACAAACCCCTCCTCCTCCTCCTCCTCGTCCACGACATTACCAAGAACCAACACCACCCGCCTCCTCCCGCCCACCACGACCTCCCTTCTCACTCTCCTCACCCAGCAACAAATCCGTCACGCCTCGCACGCCTCCCAGGGAACCGCGAACCGACACTCGCGCGATCCGGCCGGCAAGCGTCTGGGCGCGAAGCGCTCCGCGGGCGAGTACGTGGTGCCGGGCTGCATCATCTTCAAGCAGCGGGGCACAAAGTGGTACCCCGGGGAGAACTGCGGCATGGGGCGGGATCACACGATCTACAGCATGCAGTCCGGCTACGTGAGGTACTACCTGGACCCGGAGCGGCACCCGGACCGCAAGTTCATCGGCGTCGTCTTCGAGAAGGACGGCACGCTGCCCACGCCGCGCAACGCGCCCACCCGCCGCCGCCTCGGCCGCGTCGCCGTGCGCTTCGATCCCGCCGACCTGCCCACCAACAACCAGAAACAGTCCGACCTGGTGGCCGAGGTCACCGCGGAGGGGACGACGGTCGGGGACGTGTCCGCCGTCGACGCCGAGGCCGGCCTGCGCTTCCGCCCCGGCTACATGTACCGTGAGGCGAACTGGCAGATCGGTCGGGCCGCGGAGAAGGCCGGCATCACGGCCCTGCCCCATCGTCGCAAGAACCGCTGGCTGGCGTGGCGAAAGAGGACGGCCAAGGCTGAGCGCGTGGCCCAGATGAAGAGCTTGAAGGGCTCCAAGAAGTCCGCTAAGAAGGCGAAGAAATAGACGGAGCCGGGGAAAATCCCAGGCCGTTGGTTCTTTTCTTTTTCGAAAGCCGGGTTTTTGGACTTCATCTTGTAATTGATAGGGTCCTATAGTCCACTATCGCCTTTCTTGCTCGCTCGACTGTTTTGCTTGCTCTACGTCCGTGATATGACTTGGTCACCTTGCATGCAGTGAATTTCTTTTTCTTTCTTCTCGTTCTCGTCTCTGGCATTTGCGTACAGTCATGGGGTTTTATTTATATCGGGTGTTTGCTTGTCCATTTCCAATTTTCATGTACTATAAGATAAGATGTCTCCAGTATGCCCCTGTTTCCGCCTACATGTGCGAATAGAACACTTATTCAAGTGGCTCAAGAGCAATTGTCGTGATTGTTATTATCGAACTAGTGGATTGCGCAGCTAAATTCTCACAAGAAGGGTATATGCACATAAACACTCCTAAAATCCCGCAGAAGACAAAGTTTTATCATGGGCCCGAAACATTGCACAAAAGGAAGAACCCCCGAAATGCGCCCAAAGTGAAGTGTCCAAACCCCCCCCCCCCCCCCCAAAACCCAATCCCTGAAAACCCCGAGAATTAGTAGCCAACGCGGTTGGAGATGCCATATCTAGCCATAGTACATGCCACGAGACAGCCATTAATCACTCACTGGTCGAACAGTCGACCCAGAATCAAGCTCTGGCAGACGAACTCATTCCCCACAATCCTGACATTCGTGCTCAGTCCTAGATCATCGCCGGTTACCGACTCCATGAGCTTGGTGGTCCGCTTCCGTTTCCGCGAGGTAGAGCCAGAGCCAGACACTCCAGCCGAGCTCAAGGCCATCGCTCTCGCAGACGGCTTGTCATCGTCATCGATGTAGATCCAATCCCAGCCGCGCTTGCGGACGTGCCCTTCCTCTGTCTGTGCGTTCAGGATGGCTCGAGCAGACTTCAAGTCTGAGACACGCTCGATCCGCGACGCCCCGAGAGCATAGGTCAAGAACAGGTAGGCCTTGCGTCGCTCCTCATCGATGCGACCACTGCGTCCTGTGACTAGAAGAACGGACTGTCCGTTCAGGAGATTTGGTCTCCCTGCGATGGTCTCTGAGAGTCGTGCCTCGGTGGCCGGGTACGGCGTAAGGATTCGTGACTTGGTTGCTCCGTTGAGGTATGTTGATTCCCCGGCGGGGAGGAGGTATATCTCCCAGTCGATGATCCGCCCTCGTGCGACGCAGTCTTCAACCCAGCGGTCTGAGAGACATGGGAGGTTGAGTGCTAGAGCTTGCATGTATTTTGATCGACGAGAATGTCTGTCCGCGATCAAGCAGGCAAAGCCTACGTCTGCGGCGCTGCTGCTGAGCTGGAGGAGGTCATGTTGTGTGTTTGATTTAGTGGGTGGCTGCTTGGTAGGAGTGGCGACGGGGGCGTTCAGCGGTAAATCGAAAAGCTCGTTGAATCCATCTTCTAAGATGCGCCCGTCGTTTTCTAATATCAGTTTTACCACGCGAGCCTTGGCGTCGTTGTTGTCGCCAAAAGAGACAGCAAAGACCATTCCGGCGAATAAGCCGTTTGAGAAGCGGATGCTGCGTGACAGGCGCGCGCCAGGAGAGGAAATAGGCGTGGAATGTTTCTCCGATGGTGTTGGAGCGCCGCGCTCAATAAACACCGGCTCGGAGATATAGGTGAAGGAGCGGTCTTTGAGTTGGTTCCACAGAATCGTGTCGAGGTAGATCTTTGAAATTGGTACTTCAATGAGGCTCTCAGTGACGGCCAAGCCAGCATTAGGAAGACTCTTGCGCTGTTTTGGGCCTACCATCACAGCTGAATAGCCGTAAATATCCGTCATGGGAATCACCCCGTTCGCGGCGCCCTGTTCAATCTCGTCTATGCTCAGCTTGCGGACAAAGCTCCGAATAACATGCGTGACCTTGGGCACGTTCGGCATGTCCACTTTGACGGCATCGCCGGGACGAAGTTCCAATCTCTTGATAGCTCCCATCGGGATGTCCACAGGTGCACTGTCTTCAAATTTTACCCGATACCGAGACTGCGACGTTCCGAATGGCTTACCAAAACATGTCGCCGGATAGTACGCACGCTTTGCTCCACACCAGGGAGCGAAGACTTGGTTTGCTGCGACTGGGACTTTCTCAGTCAAAGACGGCATGGCAGGTTCGACCGTAGGCATACTATCTGTGGCAGGACTGCCCGTGGGCGACGTCTCTATCGGATCTTGACTCGTGATATCGCTGCGTGACTCCTCAGGCACAGGGCTGATTGCTTGGCGTTGCTGCGCAATTCCCGGCCGCTCCTTGCTGGGTGATCCGCCTCGCTCAGTCTCTACAGGCCTTTGTCGATTCAACGGTTGTGGACGAGGCAGCAACCGTGTCCTGTTTTTGCGCGGAACGAAGGTTCGCGGAGGAGAATCGTCCATATCCCACACACTGTCCGCGCTCCGAGGAGGTCTAGAGCGTCTCTGGTAAGCCTTTGCTGCTTTGCTCTGCAGATTTTCCTGCTGTGCGTCTGGCTGCATGCCCATCTGCACCTCAGTCACAGTTCTCGTCGTCGCAGGTTCAACAAGACCCTGGGAAACAGGTTGGGGAGGTACAAGACGACTGGTAAGACGAAGAGTCCCTGGAAGAATAGGATCAGAAGCAATCACACCCTGTCCGTCGTTACCTCGGCGTTTCTTCCTCGGCGAGTCTTGATGCCTGGCAACTGCAGCATTGAACTCCCAGTCATCGGCTGACATAATATCAATGTCTGGATTAAATGCTCCAGTCCCTCCTTTCGGTGAGGCATCAGCAGCAATCTCCGTAAGTGCCCTCCGTTGCCGCCCACTCGGGCTTGAAAGAAGCTTCGAAATTGAGGTCAGGGATGGCTTCAAAGGCGAGGTGCTGTTCAAGACGACCTGATGCGAATGCGATGCCCGTTCATGCGCGACCTGATATACCGGCGGCAGATCATCATCTTCCTGATCCGCTGTCTCATTATTGTTCATGTCGGTGGGCCATCCTTGATTCCCCAGTCGGTTGGGACTAGTCCCCGGAATGCTGGTCGTTGGCACCACATCCGCAAGGTCCATAGGGGGAACTGGTGTTTCAGCCACGCGAGAGGGCATCGACGATGATTTACCCTGGAAATCAAAGGTTGAAGGCTTGTCACCTACAACTCTGGGCTGCTGAGACATTGTATTACTCGAATCTAGTAAGCTGCCCTCTGGAGCCTGCGTGGCTTTCGGTGTGGGAGAGCGCTGGGGGCTGCCGGATATCGATCCTCCAACATTCATGCCCTGGACTTCACCCAGCTCAAACGACAATCCAAGACGACGCGATTCCGCGGGCGGGGAAGATTGCATGCGAACTTGCTTCGTGGGCGAGGAAATGATCCTGTCAATGTCCGATGTAGGATATATCTGAACCTGAGAGTCCGGACAATGTGATGTTCTTCGGCTGCGATTCGTCTCGACTTCTGCGTCGGCTTCCCTCTGCCTGGGAGAGCGCTGAGAATCTTTGACGATTGATATCTGTGACGACCTGCTAAGCTCATAGGGCTCGTCCAAGTGGGTGATATTGCGAGCTAAATGTGGTTGAAGCTGTTGCTTTTCTGGGCTTGCGTGAGCTGGTGAAGTGCTACCATCAAAGGCGAGGACTTGCGAAAGACGATCATGTGCGCTAGTGGTGGCGGCAACAGGAGTTGCTGCTAGATCAAGACAATTTTCTTTGTCTTCCTCTGTCACAGAAATATGCTCCTCGGATGGTGGAATGGACTGACCCCTGTGGTCTTCTTGCTCTTGTTCAGTCTCTTCTTCGCTCGAGCCTCCCCGCTGCGGAACAGTAGGATCTGAGGCAGCCCTCTGCTCACCATCATTCTCTGCAGCAGATTCATCGTTCCAGACTTGCAGACCCAAGTCCCCTTGTGGTGACAACGAACCCTTGCTAGCTTGTCTGCTTCGGGTACCCTCCGACCGTGCAGGTGCCGTAAGACCTGCAAGCTGGGGTGCTATCTCCTCGTCTATCGTACGGTGCCGTTTCATGCGTTCGACAAAGCTAGGCTCCTTGCCAAAGTCGTCATCACTTGGGTCACCAGGGAACACATGATCCGCCGAACGAGTCATCCTCTCATTCAACAGTTTATCACGATTCGCCTGAGATTCCTGCATAGAAATATAGTTGAGCTTGTGCGCTGAAGAGTCCCGCGGGAAGGTTGCCGCCATACGATCGTACGGGGAGGACAGATTTGCGGCGAGAGGGTGTTTCTGAATCGGGATGTTGGGTGAGGGCCGGTCCGATACAAGATCAGAATGTTGCTGGCGATTGACTAGCGGGGAGGATGGCGCCTGGGTAGCTCTGAACACTTGGCTCAGAGCCATGATTCCACCACTCGACCCAATATCTGTCGCAAGAGGGTTCCGTAAGACAGTGGGCGAAATGGTAGTAAGGCCGTCTGAATGAGCTCGCTTCACAGCAGTCGCAGGAGTCTTCATCACGAATCGCTGCGATTCAGGAAACAGATTTGATTGATACTGCGCGGGCGATGACTCCCCTAGTTTGGAGCTGCTCCGGTCATCGTTATCGTCAATGTTAACCAGTTCTGCATTAACGTTGTCGTAACCCGCCAATAGGTCAAGATGACCGCTGTCCCCCTCATGCAGGGTCATAAGTGTAGCTTGATCCCCCATATTACTGTCATGGTTCATAACAGGACCTTCTTCCTGGTTTTTGCGAATGATCTCATCGTACACCCGCTGGGAGATCAATTGTGTATCCGACGGGAGCGTTTCTGCGGAGCCCATCTTACCCAGCTGAGTTGCCGCGCGGCTGCTGGGGCGGTCTTCGAAAGAGGGTAGCTTTGGTGAGCTCACGCTGGCGCCATTCTGTGCTAGACTGGATGACGAGGTCGTTGACACAGGTTCGGAGGGTTTCTGCGCACACTCTTTGTCGTCGGCCGGCAATTGCTGTTGAAGTCCTTGTCGACCGTTATCTTGATCATTCAATACAGAATACTCTGCCATTAATTGCGAATGTATGAATTCCTTTCAAATTGCCCAGAATCAATCGAGTTAGTCCAATGCGGAGACTGGATCAGAGACGCCGCCGCCACTGAAGTGGTCACTCACCTGGCCCAACGCGACGCGCTGCAGCCTCGCGATGTCGATGCTATCTTCTTGGGTCTCCATAGTCCCGTACACTCCGTAGAATTTGGGCTTTCTGCTGAGTATTATCACATCATTCCCATGCCCCAGTCCAAAGATTTAGGGAACTTGGCGCCGAGGCTGCATTGATGAGCTGGACAGTTGAAGTCGATGACATCCAAATCACTGCGCTCCGGAACCACAAAACGCGAGACGCGTAGATCACGTGATATGCGATCAATTTTACCGTTTTGAGTCTAGGCCATGCTGATTGT